TACTAAACCGTTATTTTATTTGTGTGTGTATTCTTTCCAGATGTCCAATCACATTTCGCTAACTTGAACCAGTCCATATCTGTCATGGCGATACCTATCACTAGCCACTGGGCCCTGACATAGTTTTTATTTGTAAAATATGTAAAAATATAAATATGTAAATATATATATATTAAGCCTCACTATGAGATGAATAAATGTACAGCATTGTTCATTAGGTGAAAGACTTCCATTTTACTCTGATAATTGTATTTATACTTTGCATTAGACTTTTCTCGATTGCTACATATATTCTTCCAGGACAAAGTAATACAATATGCAGATTATTCTTCTCTCACGACCTTTGATTACTTTAGGTATATGCAACTCCAGAGTTTGGTTTCCACCCCATTGGTGAATCAAGCTTTTGATTGAAAGCCTTTGTGCACCTACTCCAAATGGTCAGATTTCAGATCTGTATATCTCCATGGACACACACACTACACAAATTACCCTCCCTTAAATTACAGCCTGGGAAAAAGATTTAGAGCCCGCGGAGTAAGCCTTCAATTGGTCAGAGATATGAAATGTATTAACATCTCTCACCATTTGCATAAACCATAACAAACAGGTCGACAAAATATTATTTAGTTGAGATACTCTTTAATTGGCAACAATTCACCTCCTCCATCATTTGTTAAAAGGGCTGTGGCACTGCTGGTGGACCTGTCCTAAACTTAAACCCTTGTGGCACCAGGTTACAGACTTGCTATCTAGACTCTTTAGGACACCTTATCCAATGAACCCATGAGGTTTGCTATTGTCTAAGCCTTTATAGTTATATACACTGGACAAAAACAAACTGGCAGCTAGGGTAGCCATTGGAGGGTTATGGTCGTAAAGTGAAGCATAAGACCATCGAAACACTAGACATCGATAGACTAACTTCCCATATTCACATCTCCCTCAAATTGTTTTACAAATTTGTGACCACTGGCTGAATAGAGACATAATGCTAAACACCACTTCCTACCTAAGAGAATACTAGAAACCAATGAAACTGATAATAGAAAGGGCTTGTGAGACTCTCTTAAATATCATATTACCTATTCCCCATTCTGCTCTCCCCAAGCACGGGCACTCCTCTTCTTACTCTTCTCTTTTCCTTCTTCGACCTTTCTTTTCTTCTAACCTTCCTTCTACATATCTGAGGTCTCCTCACTCATTACTCCCAACTCCCGCTCCATTTTCAAGTTCTTTTCCTTGTACTTAACAGTTGGTCCATGTCCCACCTTTTTACTTTTCTTCCAAACCTGTACCCCTCCAATATGTTGATCACATATGGATAAATGAGGGGACTTACCTGTACTGACAATTTATCCGACTCCTCCTCCCTATATAAAACTTAAAGGGACACTCCAGGCACCAAAACATCTTCATCAAAATGAAGTTGTTGTGGTGCCAGGAGAACCCAGGGGGCACTCTTGCCTTAAGGAGCTAAACCATTCTTCGACAACAGTTTACCCCTTGAGGTAAGAGTGCCCTTGGGGCTTCCTAGCACAATGGCAACTTAATTTAAATGAAGTTGTTTTGGGGTCTGGAGTGTCCTTTTAAGTATCGAAAGGCCCTAACACCTGATGGAGCATCCCCATCTATACTCAATATCCCAAAGCCCCCTGTTTACATCTGGTGCATTCCTCTGAACCGTTGGCAGTTTAATAAAGAACAGTTATCCTGCAAGATTACGTGACAATAAATATTAACTTTGCCGATATATTGAATTGATGCATATGCCGATTCCCGGTGTACCAGACTGAATTTGATCTATTTAATGTCTGGGGGACAGCCACTAAATGTTGATTTTATTCACAGATCAAGGGAGAACTGACAAATAGAGCAGTACAAAAATATTATATAATTTTTTTTTTAATATATATGCATAAATATATTTTTTGCAATATTAAATATAAATATGAATATGGATTTGTTTGTACTATTCTTATTTTTCCCTCTGTTGGTTACATTTTCTCACTTGATCACTTGAACCAAATGGCGCGAAACTGCTCTTATCATTGTCCTGCAATATATATAAATAATATGCATTCTATTTATGTGTTTTGCAGTACACCGATTGGCTAATTTTCATGCTCATTTTTCATTAACGAAATTCAAATAAGCCGAAATGCCATATGGCTGAAATTTGGCCATCTCTGAATTTTTTTTATTTTCAGATTTGGTTTGGCCTTAACAAATATTTCTGCCATGAACTAGTATATTATTAATCAATAAAATATTTATAATAATCCATGCATTTGTATGTTAAATAAGATTCAACAATGCAATGATTTTGTGCATTTAAAGCTACACATCTTATTATGTTTGTGTCCTCTTTAAAAGATTTGTAAAGAGTTTGAAACTGGAATATGAAGACCGACCAGTAGAGTTTCCTGAACGTTCACCTTTCTTTTTCTGCGTCCTATTGGTGGAGTGATCAATATTTTATCCAATAGGATCCCCGGGGCTACCAACAGTTAACACCTAGGAGAACAGGAGAAGCATTGCTTCCTGCTTCTCTTTTCCTAAATGTATTAGTAATCAGTCAACAGTATGTTTAAATTGTACCGCCAAAAATATATAATTATAATGTCTTGAGATCATCATGGTCACGAATGCCTTAAATAACCTGATTGACCAGAACAGTGTCCCCCAGCGGTCCATGTTCTGCTGCAACTGCATAACAGATTGGAGAAGTTTGTTTTTGGTATCCATTTGAAGTTCAGAGGATTCTCCAGTGTGTAGCCATAGTTATTTGAAGAGAGATGATACCACTGGAATTTTGCAGCATTTTTCAAGAGTTCTATAGAAGCCTTCCTAACTCTGACAAATGAGTTGTGGATTGGGCAATGTCTGTTGTTTGTTACTGTACATTTTACAGCTGGGCACAGAAGTTCACATTTAAACAAATGGTCATGAAAAGGAAGAGGATGTATTGTGTGATGGATTTTCTTTATTGTAACCAGAACTGAATTAACCCCATTCCACGCTGAGTTATTTCCTCGGAAAAATAAATCCTGTATCATTCGTTAAATTCAATGTAACTAGCATTTTATGAGTAATACAGCAATTCTGATACTTATTGTAATTTGAGGTTAGGTAAAAATTCATAATATACATACATTCATATTTATCTGTTCATTTATTCACTTATTAGTGTGATTGGAACTATAAAATGTTTTACAGATGCCTGGTTAATACTAACAATATGTGCTTGCAGGGCAGCCTGCAATGAAGCTCTGTAGAGTGCTCTTAGCTCTCCCTTTTGAGGGACAAAGGGAAGAAAAGTTGGCCTCTGGTGCTAAATAGTGAATTAATGCAAAACAATTATTCTTCCTGGATGTTACACTTAGGTAAAAGCTACTCCTGTCCTGGCTTTGCTTACATCCTAATTTCTGCTTATAGAATTGGTTCTGGTTGGAAACAATTCCGAACGCAGGACAGAGTACTGTATGATGCAGATAGGCTGGATCCATTGCAAACACCAGTCAGCAGAGTCAGAATAGAGTGACATGTGTCACTCCATTCTTATATCCCCCGAGCAGAGCACAAGAATTGCCAGCTGGTTTTGTTGTAGCTGCTGTGAGAAAGTATAACAGGGTTCTCTGGCTTCTCTCCTACCACTCAACCCTCATCATAGCTGTAATGTGGGCATAGCCCACTTTGCCAATAAATGATTGACAAGGGAGCGGAGAGATTAATTTAATTTAATTTAGAAATGTCAGAATGCTACCACCTCCAAGTATTCCTAAATTTGTATTAATTTTTCCTTCCTGAAATTGCACATTGTTACTGTTTGTTTGTATGCTTGTTTGTTTTTGTTTAATAATGTGTCCTTTGGCATCACCCTTTGGGTTCTCTTCTTGTCAGATATAGATAATGTATGATTCTTTGTTATTATTTATGTTGAATTGATCATCTGGGGTGATGGAAGTGTAACCCTGACACCTATACTGTTGCTGACACACTGCATAATTTCCAATAAAAAAAATGTGGAAATACTTTAGAAATGTCTAAAATCTATACATTTGCTATCAATTGTTCAAGTTGAATGTTCAGATAAAAGTTTATGCTCTTGTCCAATGACAGAAAGAGGGCTTACTCTGTGTATGTGCGATATAAATCAACAGACAGACTCTGGACAGCTGGAGGAGAGAGAGATAGATAGGCAGACTAGTACACATTTTGCAGTACTCGCCCTTTAATGATGCAATAGTCAATAACAATGAATTATATGGTATCAATAGACTCCACAGCGCTATACAATAAGTAAACAAGACAAACATTTAATTCTAACAAAACAGGGAACAGTAGGTGAAGAGTGCCCTGCCCAAACAAGATTCCATTCTAAAGAAGATCACTAAATGTTGTGTCCGCCAGAATACATGTGAAATTTTGGATTATGTCTTATTTTCTGGGAGTATGCTGTCTTTTTTCGTCTTTATACCTTGTTGAGAAAAGCTAAGAGGAAGTTTAGATATTCATTTATTTACTCTTATACTATAAACAGATAGAGAATAATACCTATATCACCCAAAAGGGTAACCAGTAATAAAAATGTGTAGCTTGTTAAATTATGGTTACACTTGGCATTGTAGATAATGACTGTAAACATGTTTACTTATGTTGTAGATCCAGGCTATAGGCCTAAGAGCTCACTTACCATAATGAAGCATGTAATGTAGAAACATCTGTTCCACCATGGTGACACATCACTGGCCTTTGGTTTCTTATTTACCTCAGCAAACAGTGTATGGCAGTAAGTATTCAAAGAACTTCCTCCCTTGCTCCCTACCGCTATTGTAAGGTTTGTGCAAAGTCTGGGGATTGCTTATTTCGAATTTTTTGTTGGACTGGCGAAGCATAAACAGGACAATTCTCTCTTCTGATATCCGTAACAAAATGGCACCCAAGGTAAACGTTCAATGTTTTTAGAATTCTGCCTTCTATGTGTAATATTAACTCACCTTTTACTTTGTAAGATGGAACATTTGTTCATCTCCAACTAAAAGGAAATTGTAAACTCAACTAGCATCAATTTATGAAGGAATTTAGTCTATCCTACATCCTCTAATCATTGCATGAAATTGTACTAGATATTGGTCTGATACAGACGTAGTTAATGCCTAATCTTAAAGCTTTAGTGTTTCCACCTATTGCAGAGTCTGTAGGTAGAAGTCACTATGACCGCTTTATGGATCTAATGATGTTTATTTAACACGCGCCAACCACCTGTGTTAGGATCCTGGTCATCACAGCTTTGGAGTCACTAAAGCGTGTATTGTGAACTCCATTGTACTTGGCTTCGTGTTTGCCTCTGGGCACATGGACTCTGAAAAGCAGCTAATCATCTTAAACAACAATGCAAGAGCTCTTGTGAAGTTAGAGCATTTCCCGAATGTAGCCCCTGCCTTTTTCTTTTTTATTGTATGCAATTCTTCCTAATTGCACGTAGTACATCATTTCTTTGAAGTGCTGTATAAAGCATATAGACATATAACTTTTTCAAAAGGGTTCCGGTGACACCGGCCTTCCTCATTGAAACGTTAGCATTCTGTTAGTAGAAGCCACTGTTTCCCTGTCCACTTTACTGGCACTAGAATGAAGGTATGTCATTTACTACCAACCAGCCTGAGTGCCTCTGTTTTGTTTAACATATTCAACATTTCTCAATATACTTGAAGGATCTTTGCTGTTTCAGTTCCATACTGACACTTATGACACATAGCTCGTTATACAAAACAAGGCCTATCGCCCACCACACCAAAGCAGGGCTGTCCAAACTAGACTACATTGGAACCCAATATATATATTGTTGACTTCCATCCCTCTCTCCTCCACTCTTCAGACTTACTTCATTCCTCACAGTTTTCCTGTGGTTCCTCTCAGTCGAACCAGAAGTAGATTGTTGGTTTAGGCTGCACAGTTAGACTAACACCAAATTGTTTTATAATTGATAGATATCTGCACGTTCCTTGTGGTCACATGATCCTGGAGTATAATGTATGACGGAGAAAGTCAACTCTTGCCTGCGGCTATCCTATGACTTTTTAATAATTCTGGTTAATTATGGGTTGCTTTGCTTTCACGATACCATGGACTAAACAAAACAAAATATGGACGCCATATTATAAGACTTGTTCACCCAAGCAAGGCCCTTGTTACATCTTCTTTCTGTACTAAAAACGTGCACAAACGCAATGACTAGTGTGTTTTGATAACCCATTGTACATGTATTATCTATTGTATGTTTGATCTATATCTGCAAAAAAATCATAATAATGAAGTAATAATAAAGATTCATGCAATTCACATGAACTTCCTTTGTTCATAGGACTTATTGTGAAAATCTGAGAGGACGCTAACCCAGGCGTCAAATATTCTGACATAGCAGTTTTTTCCCAGAATGATATACCATTCATCAAGAATAAGATAGACAGTCCATTACAAAGTGCATATAACATTTTCCGTGAACCTTCTATGAACCTGTGTATGTGTCGGAATTCTATGTAGTTTGAAAGTGAGAAGCATTTGAGGCTGAAATTAACCTTCTCAGCATCAGAACAGCAAGCAACGCACTGCAGAACACATCCACTCTGTCCTCAAGAGGGTTAAGAGACACGGGATAGATTTGAAATGGTTATGGGAAGGTCACAAAACTGTTCTTAACTCATCACGTCTGAAGTATGAAATATTCTGGGTGTTATATTACCATGCTCAATGTAGCACATTCTGGACTTAGTTACTAAACACATCGAAGAGGGCCAGGAATTTAATACCAAGCACTTTCCTAACACACAGCTTAATCCAAGTCTGTTTGAAGTAAAATCATTGAAGATTTCATTAGACAATGGCAGTCAAATGGGGTATAAGGGATACCATACTATGCACCGTAAATGTAAATGGCAGAAAATATATATATATAATTTTTTATTTTTTATTTACAATTTATATAAAATAAAATTAGTTCTTATTGAATATTCCAGTCGCCTTATTAGTAAATATTGGGTATTTATTTATGTATAACTGGATTTGTCTGATATAACATTTGCTTTGATTGCAATGTTTTGCTTAGATAAATGCAATGTAACAAAGTCACAACTGCTGGCCACTTGGCTAAAGCCAGTAACACACTGGTATAGTGGTTCAGCCAAATGGTGAGTGCTGCATTCCAAATTGTGTTTGTTTTGGGAAGTTTGTTTTTATTGGTCATTGAAAATCATGAGTTCTACTGAAGATTTTCTTACAGTCACGAGGATGATCTGCATTTTAGCTACAAAAAAAAAAAAAAGACTCAGGAAAAAAGTATTGTATGTGAAAATAAATTATGGGGCAAAGTTCAAAAAGTAGAGAAATAAGCATGAGTAGTTCTTTTTCAAATTCCTCCAGTACCAAATCAGTACATATACTGTGTCTTTAATTTTAATATGGTTCAGAAGGTGTGCAGGACTGTGTTAAAAAGACACACTATAGAGGGTATGAAAGAATATTGTAGAAGTAAAAGTTCTAAAACTTGAGCTATAAACAAGAACATGCTTTGGGTTTCTATGGTGACTGCTCTAATGTTACAATGAGTCTTTATTATTATTATTATTTTGTTATTTATATAGCGCCAGCAAATTCCGTAGCGTTGTCTTTACACATAATTACCCATCATTCCTCTACAATGTAGCATCACTCATATGTAAATTTAAAGTATTGTTGGGGATGTCACATGATGGTACTTGAAGCAGAGATCCCTAAAAAGTTCCAGAAATAGAATATCTCTCCTAAATCTTTTAAATAAAGCCTATGCAACAGGTTCTATGCAAAACCCTATAACTGTGAGCTCCTCACCTCGCTACACTTGTAATGAAGCAGCTGGTAGCAATGAGTAAGTTGATGACCAGTGCTGTCAACAGTTGATTTTGGTAAAACGATTATAACATGATTTGCAATGATTTGGAATCGGATAGGACAAGCAAAGGTCAGTTTTAGGGTACATTGGTAAATTTACTATTTTCTGAATAAATATTATTTTTCATTCCCAAATGTGAATGAATGCAATTGTAAAGAATAGGATTATACCATGCTACAACAAAAGGAATATAAAAATCTTCCCACGCATTGATTGGGGCTCTCTGTGTGGGAAAGAGGTTTGAATGGTTCTAGAATATATGAAGATTGTCCATCATTGGATTTTATTAAGATTCTAGAAAATTAGGAACAATTTCAGCAACAACACATTTTGTAGATGATGCATGAATAATATAATATTATTTTATTTCAGATGTGTATTATACAACCCTTGTTCCTTATTCCAGGCAACACAACTCCAATAGTCAATTATTCTCACAAGAACTCCTTGTGACCTCAGTGTGACTTCTCCCAGCCCAGCCCTGGTGCAGATACAGGCCAGGCCATAAAACTGTCTCAGGGTAGGTGAATGGTCTAACCAGTCATCCAAAGAATCAAAGCATTTTTTTGGTCATTTCTCTCCCTTGTTTTCTGTGATTTTTATCAGAATCTGTTCTGGTTTTTGGTGCTACAAGATCTGTAGATGCAATCTGATAAAGAAGATAAAGGAAGGAAAAAAAGACACAAAAAAAAGAGCATAGGAAGTGTAAAAAGAACATAAAACAAAATATATCTGTCAAATGATTTTATTTATGTATTTATTTATTTATTTGTTTAATTTTTTGTTTTTCAATGTGTTTTATCCAGAAATGAGAACTGATTAAGATGCACGATGTACTTTATTGTTACCTCAACTCTGTAAACGCTGAAACAAGCTAAAGAAAAATAGGAGCATACAATATGGTGTTAAGAGAAAGTTGTAGCTGTGTGTGCTTCCCCTCGCCATGGTATAACGATATAACACACTTCAAGCCCTTTCCAGGGAAAAGTGACTTTTTTGGGGGTGGGAGGGCTGGCGGGTAAACAGTAAGTAATATTGGGATGAGAACTGATTTGGTGAATCAGAAAAGTAAGCAGAACTGATTTAGAAGGAAATAGCTCAATTGGGGAAGGAAAAATAATATCCAATTCTTCTTAAATAAAGTTTGGCAAATTGTTCTTTGCAGATTTTGAATTCACTGTTTAGTGAATAAACCCCTTACTACGCCTTAGCTATCACAAAATGGATTGTGTCCATTAAGTGTCTGAGAACCTATGTACACAGAGATATATTATTAAATGGTTACAAAGTTGTCCCAGTGAAATTTTTACCAAAATATCATCTTGCAGAACCACCCCTCAAAAACTCTCAATTTACCATAAATACATAAATAGGAGGGATTGTCATTTATAACCACAAAATAAACAAACAGCAATACTGTCCCACCTATAATGTGTTTACTAAATATTGTGTGCAGCTGAGCAGTAAGTCATAGTAATTAGTAAATACCAAGGCTTGTTGCTTTGTAAACAACTGTGTGTTTTTAAGCCCAATGTTAATGTCATTAAATGTAACTATTTTGTGACTATGAAGATGCAATACTCTATCTTCCTTTATCAGACATGTTTTTATATTTACACCAACCCAATATGCCATCCATTCTCCCAGGATTGCTGGTATAATATAACAGAGAGTTAGTTGATTGTGAGGACCCTATAGTTTAGCTGATGTATGTAAACATTGCTCTGCAGAGTAAATATTAATAGAGGCCTACTCCTTGTAACTGCCATGCCACAAGCTCCCACTACAAAACTGAAATACCTGCTGTTAGCAAACAATGGCAGAGACTGGAGTGTCTAGAAGGGCGAGGCTGGAAGACCCCACTGAATGACCCTATTGTCCCAGACTAGGGTCATGACCGGGGACATGCAGATCTAACCTGCTGCCTAACACTGGTACTCTCCAATAATTATAGCTGGCTTTAAACACTGGGCATTGCAAGCTATTCACCAGCCTGGGTCCCCCTACCATCACTCTACAAACTATAGCTGCATTCTATGCTAGGATACTTTGTATGTATATTATATTGATAAGTATGTGTATTGTTTAATATGTATCTATCATTATATGTGTATATACTATGCAATATATTATTTTATGTATAACATGTGTGTATACTATATAATATATAATAGTATATATAATCTCTACATATACTATATAATGTATCATTTTTTATACTATGTATACAAACCATACAATATATCATTGTATATATAATATGTATGTATAATTTCTTGTATATATATATATATATATATATATATATACACACACACACAATTACTATACAATATATCATTTTATACAATACTATACAATGTCATTTATTATATATAATATGTATACAAACCATACAATATATCATTTTAGGTTCAACTAGCTGAGATGGATAGCCTATCCAGTCAGACAGTGGGATTTTTTTTTCTTTCTTTGGTTTAAATTTTGCAAGTCTACCAAAATCTATGGGGTTAAAGTGTACAATAAACAATTGTATTATTTTTTTTTACTTAACCCCATTCAATTAACTAGTAAATGAAACATGTGTTTATTTTACTATAATTACATATACCATAATGTAAATATCTCCAGATCAGGACAAAGTGGGCCTTTGCAGCTGTATTCCAACAACAATCTTTTTAGTGCTTTATATATGTATAATATATGTATATACTCAGAGAGATATCAGTATGAGAGTATTTAGATAGACTTATATAATGTGCATGTGTGTCTGTATGTAGATGTATGTGTGTGTATTCACAGAGACATAGAGACCCAGAGAGATGTATGTTTTGTGGATATCATTTTCAGATTGTCAATAAAGCCATTGAAATGCCCCTTATTAATAAAACCCACAGGCCCCATCATCACTTTACATTATATGTGATATACCTCTGAGAATTTAGCAAATATTACCCTCTGCTGAATTTATTGATACTCCTTGTAATCTGGTTTTCTATATCCAGATGTAGATAATATAGGGGGAAAATCCAGGGTCATTTATTACTGCACAGAATAAACAGATATCCTTATGTTGTTTAAATAATTACAGCATGTATTGCAGGACTGAATGTTACTATTATTATTATTATTATTATTATTATTATTATTACCATTGTCATTATTTCCTTTCCAGTTTACACTAGTTGTATAATTAACTCTTTCGGCGCCGGTATGCAATGCACAGACAAGCCTCACTGTCTGGGAAAGGGTTTAAGAAGTTATGAGACCCATTCAATATCATAAAACATAAAATGATGTATGAGATTGGCCTTAGCAGTGTTCAGTGTTACAATCAAAGGTTTAATCTGCGATCACTAATGGTTTTTGATTAATAACAGAAGTGTACACTGTTAATATGTTATTAATACAACACGCTCCCTCTATTTGAATACGTGTTTCTTCTTTGGCTGCATTTCAAATTAACCAGAGGAACCACTAAGTCTAGTAATCTAGCAAGGAAAAAATTAATTAATTAAATAATTAAATAATTAAATAAATAAATAATAATTATAGAATCTTGTTTGTTTTAGGTCATGTAACAAAGTTCTGACATCACTACAATTGGAATTCCAGGCTTTTAACATTACTGTTCCTTCCCTCAGACCCAAACCTGTTTGGTTTGGTGATTTGCCATGGGGAAATAAATCATAAGGACATATTAGGAAGTGCATAAAACTATATTTTGAGATAATGACATGCGGATCACAATAAATATAGCGATCATCTGTGTTAAACTGGCAGTTATATAGAAATGATCGTAATTTACACACTTAACTCGGGGTGGCTGTCTTTTAATTGTATATCTACTAGCAGCAAAGTGTAACATTGAACTGCAGGCACAAAGAAACAGGTTTAAATCCCCAGGGGATGGGAGTTCTATTCACTAAACAGTGATTTGTTAAGAGCTGAAATTCACATTGCAACGTGTATGACAAAATAACACAGTTTTGAGAAGAAAAAAAAATGTAGACTAAATGGAGATTTTATTTTTAAACAAGATACTTTGGCCTATATTTGAACTGGGGGTTGTGAAAGCGTCACATCTCGCCGTTTAGTGAATAGATTCCAAAATGTTTAATGATATCTGATAAGGTTGAATTACCACCTAGAATTATACAGCTACATGAGTTTACATTTCAAAGTATAAACAGGAGTGATCTTAAATGCCTTTAAGGAGTGAACTATTTATATTTGTAAAACTATTTCCTTTTTGTACTGGCCAAAATATATGTTCACACTAGTTATCTAGGTATCTCTTTGATATACACCTATCTCGGTTTCTTTCTTATACACAAGCAGAGTTAAAAGGGTCAAACACTTAGCTCAGAAACTTTGTTTAAACTTACAAGTACAGCAATTTAGTTCCTAAGTTGCTCCTGAGAGCACAGTTTGTGTCCTAACCCACCAAAGGAATTATTTTTTTTATATTATGATTATTATTATTATTATTATTATTATTATTTTGATGTGTCATCTAGTTTACATAAAACTTGGAACAAAAAAAAAAACAGTGTTATCTTATTTGGTGATATGAATGTATGTGTGAGAATTTGATTGATTTTTGTCAATGAAGGCAAATCTGCTTGTTTACATAATCCTGGTTCTGGGAGCACAGCAGAGAATAATCAGTATATCTTTCTAATGCTATTTAAAGTTACATTTTAAGACCACGTGGGAATATATTTTTTATTTTTTCAGAGTGTGACTAGAATAGAGAATAAAAGCGTGGGAATTCCTAATGATTGTGATAATTGCAACAATTAATACAAACTTAAACTTGTGTGTTTTACTTTCTTTATTTTGTGTATTTTACTTTATTGTTTGTTTTGATTTTATTTTTTAAAGAAACACTTCCTCTGAATCTCATCATGTGCTGGAGTGTACTCAGTGAGAATCCTTCCAGTCCCATGTAGAAAAAAAAATAGAATATCCAAGTTGTGTAACCTGTGTGGGTCACAGGGGTTTAGAGGTCAGGCTGTTACCCTAAAATAAAGTTAATGGGATAGAAAACGTGTCCTTTGCCTGAACTCTGCATTCTGCTGTTTACCCGAACTTCAATAAAATACCTTTTCACCCTCTCAACGTGGAGGAACCAATGAGCTCTTTAAAACCCACAGTGGAGGCTGTTTTAGATGGAGGGAGGATATTTTTTATTTTTATTTTTTGTCTTATACTCTGCACCCCCCCGTTTCAGGCATTCACTATACAAATCCATGCAAGAATCCTGCAAGTGTCATTGTCATGTCTGTAGGACTGACTGGGTAAAGATTTTTTTTTTTTTTTTAAATATCAGACAAGCAATGACAAAATTGGATTTTTAATGTCCCCCTCTCTAGCTCTGTAACCCAATCGATATTTTAAACCGAATGATAAACTTTCTACCTACATCTGATGTTGTTTTATTTCTTAATTCAATATATTCAGCCTATAGTAAGGGACTTGATTAATGTATTGGCTCCTTTCTGGGAAGACACAAGGAACACAAAAGTCCCCCATATGATTCAAGCAGCAAGAAGCCTGTGACATTCAATTTTAATTTATCAAATTTTGAAGTAGTTTACAAAGAGACAGTGAGAGACAGAGGGATGAGGGGGTCCACCAAAGGGTGAAGTTAACCCTTGAACCACATGTGTTAACATTGTTCCAACAAAATGCTCTCTAAACAACTCCCATAAAACCAAATAAACAGCACACAAACTTTCAGCAAACAGTACTGATCTGAGATTAGTGTTTTATCATATATTAGAAAGCAGCCATCAATGTGTCTGGATTCAATTATTGTTATGGCTAAAAAAAAAGAAATATTGCTTATATACCATATATGTGAGTGTACTATATATTTGTGATTTTGTAAAAACACATACAAGCGATCTGATTCAGATTCAGATTGATAAATACGAAGAATATTTGAAAAATATTTTAGCTGATTAATTTAAATCTGAAGGTTGATTGATTCTGCTATTTTGTTACCTAAAAATAAATGGCACTGTTCTTATGTAGCTTTAAGATCCAACATAATTCATAAATAGAGTAAAGGATCGAGAGAAAATAATCCAAATAGTTTCAACTAGATTAGTGTTTGTTTATTGTCACTAATACAGTTTTAAAGCAATGGAGAGATAAGAGATAAGCATGTTTGTGATAAGCCCACATTTACGCTCCTGCTACAATGGATTGGAGGTCTGTTGCAGGCTGTTGGACAGGCCTACCTGAAATTCACATTATTTGGTTAGAAAGAAAAGAACAGTTCATATTAAATATTATCAGAGATGATCTAGGCCTGGGCTGATAGATAAAGATCGCACTAGGCACCTCTGGGTTCTGTACATTTACATTCCACAGAGTTCTTTTAGGAGTATTAATTCATCATTTTGTAAAAATATAAATAAATAAATAAATAAATAAATAAATAATAAAAAAAAATAATAATAAATATTTATATATATATATAATAAGAATAAAATGGTGGATCTAAATCATAAACTCAACTGTGTTAATTTAGACCTATGCTGAAGCAAATCATCTTAAATATGGGTTAAAAATAGGAGGGATAGGGTTATTGGGAATAAAAATGTCAAAATTGTAAATATTTATAGCTTCTGCATCAGAATGCTTGTTAAGGATCTGTATCTACAGATAACATAGAAAATGCACACAAACCACTGTAAAAGCAAAGTATACGTCTTATGTTATATTGCTAGAGGTACACGTGTATATACCCTATTCCTGGCTGTTGCAAACCCTTGAAGGTGACACTATATTGACATTTGAAAAATAGCACTAAATCCATGAATTTTAGCCCTTATTAATAAATGTGTATTCTTTTTTTTTCTGAAACCGGATTAAAATGAACAATTAGACTTCCAGGTTCAACTAAAACACAGACAGTATTTTATTGAACATAGAGACGTCACATTACACTAGAACTATATATATATATATAGCATTTTCTTACAATGGAATCCCAACTGAAATTAAAAAAATTAAAAACACACGAATAATTATAATAATAATTATAATAATAAAGAAACACAGTATCCACAATAAAATAAAATCTAACTATCTACGACTTGGAGACTGTCTTTCAATATCTTCACATTGTGGTATTTAATTTAAATCAGATACAATTGTATCTGGTGTGCTGTCATTTTTATTTAAATAAGATTATCACATAATAATAATAATTAATAATAATAATACTTTGTACAAAAAAGATTTTTTCACCTCCATTTTCTTGTCCTTCTCATGTTAACAGACCTACATAGTTTATTTTAAATACTTCAAGGGCAAAGAAAATTGCAACCCTGTATTTTTTTTTTTCATTTTAAGAAAATTACTTAAAACAAAACATTCATTGTTTTTTCCCTTTAAAAAATAAATAAAGACAGAACTGGCATTAAAAAAAAACAAACAAACAAACAAACGAACACTTTACATAGAACCTGGCTACATGCTCTGTGACATGCATTTTTAAAGCCTTTTTGAAGATCCAAAAAAAGCTCTCATTTTTCCCAAAGCACAAGGAAATTTTTTTTACAAGAACCAAAATATATATATATATTATTAGATTCTATAAATACTCAGTCATCTGTGGTTTTGTTTGTGGGGGTGGCTTTGTGTTGTATATTTATAACCTTGTAATATCCTCCCGTTGATCCTGAGTCGAATTTTGCGTTAGATCCTCGTTGGTAGCAGAATTTGGTGCAATGATATTGCTTGATACATTGGACGAGGCGGTAGATCTGACTTTTGTGTTGGGTAACCTGTGGTCTTTTTTCCATTTCATTCTCCTGTTCTGAAACCAGATTTTGATTTGCCTTTCAGAGAGACACAATGAATGGGCAATCTCGATGCGCCTTCGCCTAGTCAGATATCTGTTATAATGAAATTCTTTCTCCAGTTCTAAGACTTGCTGTCTTGTATAGGCAGTTCTGGATCTCTTGGGATCACCCCCAGTATAATTAGGGTTCACTAAGAAAGAAAGGAGATGGATCAAATGGAGGAAAAGGGAGAGAAAAAAAAAAAAAAAAGAATGTGGAAGAAAAAAAAAGAGGGATAAAAAATTGAAAAATTAAACTAAATAAAAATGAAAGGGGAAAAAAAAGAAACATACAAGCAGAGCAAACAGATCACAAAAGACAGAGAAAGGCAAAGAACCCCAACTAGTAGAAAGGTGGTCTGTTAAAAGCCATCCAAAATCCTTCTAACGATCCAAGTCTTTCTGTCCTGTTAAGAAGGGGTTCCCTTAGCTCCAAAGAGGCTGAATTATTTATGCACCCCTTACAAAGCTTATAGTTTTGTTCCCTCTCTCACTCACACACACACACACATACAGAATAGTATGAGCAGCCACATGGCTGAAGCAGCCCAGACAGGCTTGGCTATAAAATTTATGGTGGGTGTAATTACCCATTCTAAGTCGTAAATCCAGTTCAATTGTGCTAACCCAAAGACTCTTTGAGCTTTAAAAAAAAAAAAAAAAAAAAAACAAGAAGAAGAAAAGGTTAAGGGAGAAAGAAAAGTTTCCTACCAGAGCTGACGTGTATTTTCTTCATCCAAGGGTAGACTATGGGCTGTTTGGAAGCAGTGCTGGTGGGATGCTCAGCACTGGTCTGGTTGCAGGCTGGGGGTGCTGGGGAAGGAGAGGTGGAGGTGGTGAGAGATGGGGTTGGATGTTCACAGATCTGAGGTTTGCCTACAAGGTGGTGGGTGCTCTGAGGTTGCCCATGGACCCTGGCATGGGGAGGAGGAGGGTTCCCTGGACTCTGCAGGCTGGCACAGCTGTACTGCCTCTCAGTATAGGCTGGTCTTGGAGGGTACACTTCCTGATGGTGATGCTGAAATCCAGGGTCCCTGGACCTGCTATAATACTCCGGACTGTGATCTGGGATATAGTTATTTTGAGAATATTCCTCGCATGGAGGAAATTTCGGATCGATGTAGTTAGAGTCCATCAAATACGAACTCATGATCATTAATTTCTGGAGTGGAAAATAATTTTTCTCGCTTTGTCGTTTTTCTGCTTCATAAAGCCCTCCTACTAGCTGTAGACCCCGTAAAGTTACTTTCACCATGTGACTCCGGCAGCCAATCACAAGCCGCAAGCTAGTCCCCGGATAAGGAACCAAAAAAGCTGATTTAAAATGAAATTTTCCTTCACATGCCTACTCTTGTCATTTCAGAGGGACACATACCCTCAGCCTGGGCTCCCCATGTACCTGGTGTGAGCTGATCTGGCTGCTATACAGGACAAATGTGTTGGCATTTGCACAAAATGACAGTGTTTGGTTGTTTGTGTATTATAAATGGGTGCTAGGGGTGGGTGGAGAATGTCACCCCCACCCCTTTCCCTAACACACACAAACACACACACATACATGTATTCACAAAGACACACAGGCATGCACCCATCATATGATATAATATCAGCCAGGGTTCCATTCTGTGTCCTTTGATTCCAGCCAGGGTTCCATTCTGTGTCCTATGATTAGAATGTTGCAGGGAGGGTGTATTTGAACCATACCTTTCATTCATTGAGCAGCTGCTGGGTGCTGTGGTTCAGCTTCTTGTTTTCAGGGAGCTGTAATCCTGATTCAGGACACACTGAAATCAAAGAAAAGGGATATTAGAAGCTGGCCAGTGAAAAGACATTTACAATCTCAGCTCTGCTTAAACTGTGATTCCATAACACGAACACATATATACACATTCCAAGTCCCCTCCAGGTATTTTACACCATGCTTGTAATGTAACACTAATTAAAGTAGGCAATATAATACTACTTATCTGTCCACCGAAGGCTGCATTTTCCAATCCTTTCACACTGGAAAAGAAAAAAAAAAGAAAGGATTTTTTTAATCCTGAATTTGTCACAAAATTCACAACAGGCACAAAATGCATTTAAAACCCAAGGAAATCAGAGTGGAGCAATAAAGCTGCTGTAATAGTGTTTCAGAGAGAGCCTAGATGTCCATGTGGGTGTTAATCTGGATGCTTGTTTTTGCCCTGCTGCTGTTTGATCCATATCTAAGAATCAGCCTGAAACTGAGATGAAGATATTAGAAGCAGGGATGAAGACAGGATTACTCTGGATTATGGACCTGCTCCAACCATGTCATTTTAATTTCTAAAAAAATAAGCATCGTGCTTTTTCTTTAAGTGGGTAAAAATGGCTGTAGAGGGACCCTTGGTATTTCAACGATGGATCTAATTCACACATCCCACTTTCAGCAGATAATATAGTCCTCAAAAAAAACAACCCTGGGAATTGATGTAAACATTTGGAAGCAAATAGCTATTACAATTAGGTATTTTATCAAGAGCTTAGATTAGGCATTAAAAATGGGAGTGAAAAAAATCACATTGCTCCCTTGTTCTGCCTGATAACAATTATAGCATAGAATCATAGCTCGCAGGGCAATGCAATATTTTACTTGATAACAATAAAAGTGACACATAAACTTAGCTGTTTATGTTTTATTTATTGGACTAAATGTGCCAGTGAAGTTTCAGGCTTTAGGTTCGTTGTAACAGTTTTTATAGGGCAGTAAAAAGCCATAAATCAAGCAGAAGGAATGGTTTAGAGTCTGTGTGTGCTGGTTGGGGCTTGTTCTCTACGATGACTGTTTCATCTTTATAGGAAATGTAATAATGTGTTATTTTATGATTATTTAATCTACACCTTCAATCCACCCCTTGCTACCACCCCCCCACCCCCCCCTTCCACCACCAACCCCTCCATTGCCCCCCCTCCCTCTCCCACTACACACACAAGCACCAATTCAAAACAAAGTGAGGAATGATTAAAACAGGCTGTGTCATTGTAACCACTTTAAATAGCTACTAAATATAATGGCATATTAAACGCCAGGGATTTCACAATATATATCTAAGAGTCGAGACAGAAAGTGCAATCGAAGTGCTTAGCATCACCCATATACCCCCCTAGAGACGAATCTGTGACAGCTATCCCCACACAAATTCGATTCTACAGGGTGCATATAAGCGCCTTATTGCTATCCAGAACTCTGATGGGGGGCTGTAAAATTACCCTAAATTAAAAGAGCCATTATCAAACAGTTTAGTTATGAAGGAAAAACTCTAACCAGATGTTGAAACCACTGGAGTCAGTGAGCTACTATTGCATTTGTATTTCCTAAGCACCAATTGTAGTGTGCTTGCATAAACAAGGCAACTTGCAGGCTTGTAATGTGCCTGGAATTTCAATCCCATAGTTTGGGATTTATTATGTAAAAAGCTATTCAAGGAGCACTGATAACCTGTGCATTACCCCCCTTCTCCTCCCCCCTTCCATCCCCAAACACGTGCTTTTTTATGTTTAAATATTATTTACAGTGAGATTCAGAGCCTACTGGCTGTGCCTGTGTTTGCATTAGAGAATTAAATGTTTGTACAGATCCCATGGACGTAAAAGTCCATTATCAAATACTAATATGGGCAATAAACCCTGTGTGAAATATCAAATACAGATAAGGGATCAGCTATCGCACAGATCACATTAATGACACTAAATCATGTTAGTGCACTGATTATAAATCGCATGTACTTTGTAACACAACGAAGGAAAGGCAAATGTTGTGCTTTATTTTACTTTTTTTTTTTATAACTTTTAAAATGTCTTTGTTTCCTGATTTATATTATTTGAAAATGTCAAAGTGTATTCTAATGCAACCCTGGTGTTATGAGGCCTTATCAGAGCTGATTATTCATTAATAAGTGTTTAGGGTTAATATAATGAATTCACCAATCACTCAGAGACTTTTAAGTATATTCAGGGATTTGCATTTTAACCTATTCACTGCTGGAGGGTTGATACCAATGTAATATGCACTATTCAGTACAGTCATAACTTGGAGGGAGCCCTGTAATTTGTATGTTCTAAATATACAATGTCTAACCTATGGATAATACATTTTAAATCGAAACTGAAATGTATTAACTATAATTTTTTTTTGTAAGTGTTATTCCAACTGGTTTATAATAATCCTTTAGAATCACCAGCCAAATCTCTATTTAATCTATTTTTAAAAAAACAAAAACAAAGAAGAATATTCTGTGATTTCTCTCAAAACTTTTAAATTTACTTTCTCAACAATTCTTAATTTATTACAAAATATACCAGATCTCAATAATGGTTCTGCAGCTCGGATTACGATTTTTATGCCAAGTATATTTTATATGATTTTTTTATTATTTATTTATTTTTTTGTCTTGAGTTTTTTTTTAAGTGAATGTTTTTCTGGTGGAATTTCTGCGGACAGAGTTTATAAAATAGATTGGGCCAACGTTGCACGAGGTTCGGATGGGGAGGAAGGGGAAACATTTTGGAGTTAGATAGAATCCCAGCATATTGTGAGTGCAGATCATCTGCCTTTTTGTGCTGCCTAAAGAGGTGGAAAATATCTGACTGTGGAGTTACTGAAACATTGGAAGTACAAAGCGTCTTTTTTTGACAGTTCTGAAGAAAAATAACCAGCCATTGTCCCCCAGGGTTCATTGGAGGTGCTATTACCATACTGACCGTTTTGCTAACCTGCAACTCACGCCATTAGCAATCTGTGCATGCAGGAAAAATGAACTACCTTCTATCTGCTTTGTATAACAAGAAAACAGATCTCAGCTCGATTCTCTCCCACTAATACAAGCCTGACCTTTCCTGTTCCTTGCTAGTTACTGCTTCACACCCTGCTTAGTACACCCAGAGCTGCATTGCATGGGACACATACTATCAGCTCACATAGAACATGGGCAAAATACAGGGAGAGAGCATGTGTGCAAAATATCTGGTATATTTAATAATATGTATTTAAATATTCAAATTATTTCAATATGCATGTGTGTATCCATATCTACTTACATACATACTTCATGCATATATAAGAGAACATGTATATGTGTGTGTATATCCATACAACCACACTCATACGTGTGTGTGTGTGTGTGTGTGTGTGTGTGTTCTGTGTGTGTGTGTGTTCTGTGCCATACAATTAACTCTACACATACGTACATATATACCACAAAGATGCATGTTCAAAATGTAATATATCTGAGAATATATATAAATGTCTGTATATCAATACATTAATTTATACATACATACACACAAAGATAGATGATAGATAGATAGATAGATCATTTTTATATATCATGTATAGCTGCCTGTAAATAAACTAAATTAGCTCATTCTTAATGAAATTAGTAAGAGATGAATATTGTAAGATCTATAAGTAATTCGGTGCTTCTTTTTAATCTTCTATGTTCTTATTTTTTTTCCTCCTGCTCAATAAATAGTAATTTTGCAAATACGCCTGCCTCTCCCTTTACTTAAAATTAAAAATGCATTGTGCGTTCAGTATGGAGAATACAAGAGATGATTCCACTCCCATAGTGGGATTCAATTCTGTTTAAATCTCGCTTAAAGTGGCTTTTTTTTGTTGAAAGTGCACGCATTTTAATACTGGTTAGACAGCGTGACCCGAATTTCACCTCGGCTGTTTGACTTGTACCAATAGGTCACTGCCAAAGAATATTGATGACTAAACTCAGTTGAAATCTGTCTCCGCACAAATGGCCTTTAGATCTCGTAGCTAGTTCAATAACTAGTTATAATGTAGAAGGGAAAATGGGAGCCAGAGGCAAAGTAATTTGATGTTTCATTTTTATGCTAGAAAAAAAAAAAATATTTGTGTTTTTTTTTTCTCTTGTTTTCCAATTTTTAAAAAAAATAAATAAATAAAACTAAAACAAAGCTGTCCTTTCCTCCTCCATATGCAGCTCAGTAGAAATTTGAATTTATATTGTACTTCTTTTTTTTTCTCATTTCTTCCTGGTTCCCTGACAATAGCTCCTCAGTTCATGAACTCTGCAGTGCTGAGGGTCTGGGGACACTGAATCCCAGCTCCTCACTTTGCTGTGACATCCTCCTGCATTGCAAGGTTCCTTATTTATATATAGATTTAATGACAAAACCGAAGGTGCGTATGTCAAGAGGTAAACAATGACATTTATTTTACATGGGGAATGCATCTTGTACTTATGATAAACACACAAAATGGAAACATAATATAACTCACCAGATGGGAACGTAAATCAATATATAGCAACTTTAAAGGAGCTACTCTTATTTTCAAAGGTTTATTTAGATATACAGTTTGTGTTTTTGTTTTTATAAATATGTAAATAGACATGTAGATATTTAGAAATAAGCATAAATCCATAGATTCTAAATATCACTTAACATGTATTTTGGATAGCATTAATTGTGAAATATAGAGTTAATTGTAATGTATATATATATATATATATATATATATATACATAAACAATATCAGTATATTTTATATAGAGCATATATAGAGAGAGAGATAAAAGTATTTGCAGTTAATATGTTAGTAGAAATATAATTTTATTTTAAAAAGTGTCATATATGTGTTACTATTAATTAGCATAATTTAAGTAAAAATTTATATGTTTTAGATAATTTATTCATGATGCGTATGTAAACATGCTGGTAAAAATGTATAATCTGTTTGTAAATAAATGCAAAACACTGAGTTGTTCCGTCAACAACAGTTGAGTTAATACTAATCTTGTAAATACAATGTCACTGATGTCAATTTGTGCTTATCACAGGTAGTTTAGGAGAATAATGATCGAGAGATTGAGGGTCAAAAACACCTGGAGATCAGGGAAGATCTACTAAAGAGTTAAGTTCCATTACAGAGCACGATATTATATAGTGAAAGAGCTAATATTCCCAAACAAATCAATGTATAATCTACACTGTTTGTATTTAACCCAATATTGCACATGTAGATCACACTTACAAGAGTCTATTGTAGAAGATATTGCTTTGGAAAATTATCCTGAATGTATAATTAAAACCTTGTGGGATATACTACAGTGGGGACTTACTGTACAGTATATCTGTAGGTATATAAATGTCCATTTTGTAAGGTACAGAATAATCTTCAATATTTATAACAATAAATACTTTCTATATATATAAACAATATGCATATGTGTATGATAAATATATACATATATAAATATCTAAAAAATATCTATGTGAGAATATTTTTATATGTATGTGTATATATTTCAATGTGCACGTACATATACATACTTCTAAATATACTTTTACGTATATGTGTACATACACACATCTATATATTTTTATGTATGTTTTTGGTTTCTATCTATCTCAACCCTTTTACTCCCCAATTACCTTCATCGTTAATTAATTAAATATATTTAACCCCTGTTTAGCAGCGATGGGGTTAATTTTTGTGTAACAGAAAGCCAGTCCTTTCTTACCTCCTGACAGAATTACAGAACTGGGACCAATAGGTTAAAACAGTGTAGGGTGAGTTATATTTTTTCACTTTTAACTGACCACCTGGGTATATTACAGATCTTGTTTGTGTGAATATTACACAGACCGCATCGAATAAACAGCTCCCATATCACATGCAATCGATGCCTCTCTGGAGATTAGGAGATATTGCTTCAATACACTAGTAAGAGAGATTAAAAAAACACAAGTTACCAACGTAGATCCCCCCCCCCTTCTAATATTGACAGATCTTGCAATTGAGAATCAATTTAGTGATATAGCGATTCTGTACTATGTATGCAGATCTCAGCCTGCAGGAAAGGTTAACCAGAGGTCTTGGTAGCTCTGTACTTAGTCTAATGTCTGTAAGGTGTTGGGGTGGGGACCCATATAACATAGAATTATAGAATTTTTAACGTGTTTAAAAAAAAAAAAAAAAAGCACATTGTGTAGTTAGTGAAACACTTGAATATAACATATTTCTTGCTCAGTCCTTTGATCTTGAAGTTCCCAAGTGCCAGCACATGTGTTTATAAACACTGATCCACTCAAACTGGATACTTGAAATATGTATAAACATTGTTTTATCAGTAGCATAAGGGCACTGATCTTAGTGAGAGGTGGAAGGAAAAGATCAAATGTGGGATTTTTAGAACATGTTGCAAAGATCTATCTGCCTGTTGCCCATCTAAATCTATAGCGTGCCCCCATGTGTAGTCTAAATAAAATGATAAAGGCAAAATAAGGTGAAACGTATTTTTTTTTTTATATTAACCACAATACAATAATTCTTAATGAGTGCAATATATCAGATCTGTTCGCTCGTTTAAGGACTGATTGCAAGCAGGATGCTAAAAATGCTGTGAGTACTGAAACAATCGTGATTTCCTTTTCATGAAGCACATTCTCCTGCCATTTATGATGCTCCTGTGATCTCCTCACGGCCCTCAGTGCTGATCCCATCGAGAGAGAGAGATACATTGTTCAATTATTTTTTTTTTCTAATTTTTTTTTTTTTTTTGTCCACTTCAAACTATAAAGGGTCTGGGAGAAGATAAATATGGATCCGTCGTGATGTACAGTAAAACTCAGAGAAGTGAAATAAAAGTGGATACAGTGTTTCAGATTCTGGGTGCATCAGAGTCATCACTCACCAACCACAAGGCGCCCAAAACTGAGCAGAGATTACACATGGAAATGTGTGGAACTGAGTGAAAATCTGACCTAAAAAAGCCCAGATGTCCCTGGTATAAGGGGAACTAGGGAGTCATGTTCTTTAACCCTTGAATGACGCAGGCCAGTACAAGAGAGTGCAGCACTGCTAGTGAGGGAGATATTGGGGCTCTAACAGTTTTTTAGGCTTAGTTGGTAACAGATTGCACCATTTAGCCAGAATAGTAGCAATGACAAAAAATTATATATAATAAATTGGCAATAATGTTATATTCATTTTTTTATTATTATTATTATTATTTATTTATTTTTTACTTAAATATTCTATTCTAATTACTTTAAACATTCTAGCATATATTTAGCAAGTTGGCTGTGAACTCTTCGCAACTCTGTGTTTAGTGAATAGGAAACTTGCGGGTTTGTATCAGGGGCCTAGTAAATGCCATCTCCTCAGACCCTCCCAACTCAGGTGCACGCGTTTGGGAGCAATGCATGCCTGGTGTTATCAGTTCGAAGTTTAGATTCCAGATGTGCTCATCTATCTGTTACAATGCGAACTCGCTGGTTAGTAAATTAACCCCACAGTGTGTGTGTTTCGTAGAGATCAGTGAAAGCAAATCTTTGGCACTGTAATTCTTGAGACTACGGTTGGCTGAGAATGATGAGAATGGCAGTTAAGAATAATACAGACCCCCATCCATACCATTGCGCCTAACATGTGTTTGATATTGACCAGAATTCAGAAACTGTTAAAAATTTTAGAAAATTCAGAAAATGTTAGTATGAATCCCCTGCCCTTAGCAAGAATCAAAATTAGCTGCTATTTCTTTTTTTCCCCAAACAAATTTGCACTCACCTTCTCTGTACAAATAATCTGCAAATAATCTCCACAGAGCCCCAAAACATGGTACTATAAATGGTGAAAATGTGTGTTTAACTCAGAGGCAATCACGTTAGTCTGAAACACTTTAGGGCCAATCTACTAAATAGTGAACTGTGTCCTGTTATTAGGTTTTATAACATGCGGTGTGTTTGAAACATATGTGAACACTCGAATTGATAAATACACATGTGCACACATGTTTATTGACCTTTATATATACTGATATTTGTGTGTGTTTGTTTGTGTATGTGTGTGTGCATGTATGTATGTGTGTGTGTGCATGTATGTGTGTGTGTGTGTGTGTGTATCATAAATTATGTTCTATGAATCAGGCTAGTGTGTGTGTTCTCTAATACGTTTATTTTATTAGTCTTATTGCTAGTATTTATATAGCGCCAACATACTCCGCAGCGGTTTGCAATTATAGAAAGGGAATATTTTAAATGCCATGCAAAAGTTAAAAGAGACAGGAGGTGAGGAATCCCATATCCTATGAAATATATATGTATTTTTGTGTTTGTGCACACACACACACACACACAACAGTCATCACACACACATATGAACAGACATGAGACACATATGAACACAGGAACAGACACACATACACGGAGACAATTTCCATTTTCCGTGTGAATCATGATCATAGATGTGTTAGTGTGTCTCCAATGCCCCATTTGCAGAGGTTATGTGGAGAGGGGGGGTGCCAGCTTGCTTGGTATTACGTGTCTCTGCAGCCATCAATAAACACGGTTATGGGACCTCGATTCTAACGACAGATAGCCTGGTTGTAGGCCCACGTTCATAATTTATGCAAAGATTGAGTGATAGGCACCTAGCCCTGATTTATACCTTGTCAGACTCTCTTTGCTGAAGCCAGAGGCTCAGAATTAGCTTCAAGTCAGAGAAAATACACACAAAGACTTATTTTATTTGCCAGTATACCCGTGACCTAGAAGTGAGCCTCTCTGGATAGAAAGGAGCAATTTACACGAAGACCTCAATGCATGTTATAGGGGAATATATACACTTCAGTGAGGCTTATTTATATATTTAAGTTATAGCTGTCACCCTTCACCTATCAGCCAGATGTTTTATGCTGATATAATATGTTCAAAGGTAATATGGTTGCCCTAGATCTGAGCCCACTAAATAAATTGCTGTACATTCTTTATATATGATTTTTTGGGGGGTGAAATATATATTTTAAATGTGTTGCCTGAGCTGAGTAGGTCAGTATATAAAAAGGGAGAAGCAAGGAAGATATTAATGTGGGCCTGTAACCTGGCTAATCCAAGTCATATATTTACCTTTTTGGTATTGAATACAATGAGGAGAATGTCACAATAAGGTTAACATAGAATGTGAAGGTACACAGCTCCATGCATTGAACGTGGGTCTGTTATTAGGCAGCTGAGGACAGACAGGGTTTCAAGAAATGCCTCATTCTTTGATGAAAGACACAGAGGATAGCCAGATGTGATGGGAAGGAATCTCTCAGGGATCTCAGCCCAGAGCTTCACACCTCATGCTCTGTTTACTTGGTACTCTGTGGGTCCTATACTCCCTCACCTTTGCTCATTCGGAATGACTGTAGCCCTTTTCAGTCTGAGCTATTCTCACTTTGTCAATCCATCTGTTTCTCTGTTTATTTACTTGCTTTCTCTCTGATTTGTACATTGTCTCACTCACGTCAGGTTCCACTACCCAGTGTTTTATTGGTTTTATTTTTATTTACAAACTAGTCTCCTCTGCCTTGTCACAGCTGGCCTGCCAAAACCTGATTTGTACAACTCAGTTACTTGTCAGGGGAAAGCTCCATTTAAATATTAACCCTTTATACCAACTTATACAGCACTCAACCTCTACATAACACACTGGTATTAGATATAATACAAAATATAAAATATTACACTAAATATGAAACTTTACACAAACATATCATCTGATTGGGAAGTACTACAATAAGTAAATATAAAAAAGTATACCGAAATATAAAACTTTTAATCTACCATCATTACACTAAATCTAAATTAAAAAAAAACATATCTCTCTCTCTTTCTCTCTCTCTCTCTCTCTCTATATATATATATATATAAAACATATACTATGAACCATGTTATGTGTGTGTATAGATATATGTACCTAAATGATACAATTACAGAAAAATTTTAGGTAAATATAAAAGATATAAAATATTTAAACAAACATCCCACCTGAATTATTTAAAACACAACAATATATTAAGCACTTCTCCAAAACAAAACACTACACTCGAATATAAAACACTTCACCTAAATATAGAATACCACGACTGCATTTAAACCAAAATATAAATCTCTTCTCCATATCATAAAACAATACACTAACACATAAAGCACTACACTAAGATATAAGATATAGTAAATAAATAAAAAACGAATTAATCCCCAGGTGTTGTAAGGGACAGAATTGCACACATGGTGAGAATCGTACATTGGGGGGTGGGTTGTACACACCTTTCTGCTATTTTTTGACAATGTGTTTCATTTATACAATACAGATTTATTTAATATGTCTGTTCTATCAATCTCCAGAAAGCATTCTGCTCCCATTTGCCCTACAATAAAAAGGCATGAGTGCTCCTGTGTATTTGTTTAGCCAGCTCTTCCTGTATTGCACTGTGCACTATGTGTTTGTTAAAAAGCAAAAGGCTTGTTTTAACACATGTAGGATAGTCTAAATGAGTCCCCTTGTTTTTCATTCCTGGTTTTGAGGCACCCCAGGGACTTGTGTAACAGCTCGGTGGCAAATCAGTCCAATTTACAGTGTAAAGCGAACACCCTGCTTCCTGTGATTAGAATTATCCAGGTTTATTGCCCTCTCTGTCCTGCAGACTGGAAAATGTGTAACAATCAAGCCCTGCAGTCACTTCTAAACTCACAGGCTGTTGGGGACTCATTTTGGTGCATGTATTTCTGTATACCTCTGCATATGCCCATGTATGTACCATCAATTCCTTCTCCAAGCACAAACAGACATGTTTTTATCTCACCTTACTGTCCTTAAAGATGAACACTTACCATGTGAACACAGACTGCTCTGATTCCAAGTTTGGGAACCTGGGGTGGGAACAAAAGAGGGGCAATTGTTTGAAATGAAACAGAGACAAGGCAAGAAGAGTCCACTAGATACACGTCCTTTATTTTAGGGGTTTGGGGTAGATGCACAATGGTTCTGACACCCCACGGTGCTAGCAGAGCTATTACAATGACAGTAAGCTGGATCAAGTACATATTTTATATTATTAACAAAATGCACAATATTATTAAATGGTATTTGATATTTTGGTATATGTGGAGAAAAAAAGAGAAAGAAGATAGATAGATAGATAGACAGAGATAGACAGACAGACAGAGAGAGATAGATAGATAGATGATAGATAGATAGATAGATAGATAGATAGATAGATAGATAGATAGATAGACAGACAGAGATAGACAGACAGACAGAGAGATAGAGATAGATAGATAGATAGATAGATAGACAGAGATAGACAGACAGACAGAGAGAGATAGAGATAGATAGATAGATAGATAGATAGAAAGATAGATAAATAGATAGATAGATATATAGATAGATGGATAGATAGATAGATAGATAGATAGGAAGATAGATAGATAGATAGATAGATAGATAGATAGATAGATAGATAGATAGATAGATAGATAGATAGGAAGATAGGAAGATAGATAGATAGATAGATAGATAGATAGATAGATGCAGCTTTTACATCACATTTAAAAAATAATAATAATCATGTACATATTGTTCCACATTTTACTCAGATGGCAGTCAGAAAGCAGAAGAAATGGATTGCTCTGGTAGAACTTACAAATGGAAATTCTCCATTAGGAAAGAAATAGCTGATTAAAATTGATTTTGTTTAACTTAATAACCATGTTTCCCCCCTAGGTTTCCTAGAACCTCTGTTGAAGCCAAGCAGCCCCCATCACTTTGCACAGAGTAACAATACGTCTCCAGGTTGGAGGGCAGACATCACACAGGAAAGTGGAATTATGTCAGAACCTGGCTCTGAACAGATCAATCCAAATCCCCCTGAACCAGCTAGAGTGGCATTAACCCATGCATTGCCGGATCTGGCTCCCATTCTACTGAGAAATCCTGCATTGGTAACAAGGGGTCTGAGAATCTCTCATTTGTAAAATATGCCCAAACACAGACAATAACCAAACAGCTGGACAATGAAATCCTGGGCACAGAGTCCAGATTTAGTTACATTTAGTAAAACAGATAAAATAGAAACTGTAACAGACAATATAGCTAATTATAATGCTATTGCGGTTGCTAGCACAATGTTTTTGTAACAATATTATGTTGAATAGTTTTCAAATATTTTTCTAAGACAAATGTATGAAGCTTCCTCAAACTAAATATTTGATTTGATAACTAACTGTTAAAAGAAAGCATGATACAATATGAAAGTATGAGCAAGAGAAATATGCACATAAATGTAATATTTGATGTTTCGTTTTCCCCTGTGAGTTATTAGTAAATCATGTCGAAATAAGGCTAATCAGATTATTCTAGATACATTTTACCCACTTCGCCCATACATATATTATATATTATGATGTTATCGTTCAGTCTGCTGTCTGATTGTGACGTCATCGATTGACATCACCATTCAACGTTTTGGTCGCTAATGAATATTATCTGACACAGAATATACAAATTAGCTTTGTGAAATTTTTGCAGCCATTCAAATTTTGGGACAACTGATTTCCAATGAAAAATTAAATTTTTGTTTAATAAAATTTTTTACTAAAAGGTATTTATTGGGGTGAAATTCGCCCAAAATAACATTGATTTACAAATCAGTAAAAAAAAAAAAATGAAATACAACAGTATCTTCTTTCGATCATTATGTCTTTTCAGAGTTGTGTAAATAAAGCACATCTACTAATGCAGTAAATACCTAATCAAAAAGTAGATTAAGAAGTAAATGTGGTCGAATGAAAAAAATAAAATGAAAATAAATAAATAAAAGTATCCTGTTATAATTTGCACGTATTGGTTAAAACAGCTTATTTGGTCCGAATTGGACGTTCCAAAACGTGTCAGTGATATATAGGAATCGAACATCGTTAGAATTTACAATTCGTTTTACCAACTCATACTAGGCGTTCATTTTTGTACAAAACGTGTAATTGCAGTAAACAAGGTTAACATCCAATATTGTTGCAGATAGATTGAAACAAAGCAAGTCGAATTGAAATCAATACTGACGTCAGATGAAGTTGCTCGTACCGAACCGTGTGATAAGGGGCAGGCAACGACGCTTAATTTAATTCTTAATTGTTGCACCTAAATCCCCAGCAAGCAACGCTCTATTATCTAATTGTTTAATGTTAGGCCTCTTTGTAGGTGCATTAAACAAGCTGAGCAGGTCACAGGCTTGTGTTTAAATATCACCACCCCTCCAGTTTCACAGCAATGTCACAAACAGCATTACAGTATGTTATGCATTTTGAGTTAACAGAAGCCATGAGACCAATATTTTAAGTTCCATGACTCTAATCTAACAGTGCTGGTTTTATGGCTGGAAGCATTAAGTGCAGAATTTATAAGCACTGGGCTTGTGTTTGTAGTCCTGTTTACACTAGGTGCTGCATATAATTCCTGGGGTTAATTTGCTGCTACAATGTCTGGCGTTTTATAATTACCCTTATTCCCCTTGTTGACAGCAGCAGTTAGACTGCTGGCTTTTCATTGGAACAGAGAATCACAATGGTCTAAAGCAGAACATATTCTTCCTCTATGTGTTTAACACAATCCCACATAACATCTTTTATTCTGTGTCTGCTAGTTCCTCGTTTCTTGGTATAGAATCAGTCATATTGGAAATGATGCTTAACTGGCTGGAGGTATTCATTTAACTATGTTTTTGATGGAAGCATTGAAGTTTAGAAGTTTAGACTGCTTCTTTTGTTTGTTTGTGCATTCAGATTTTAAACATGACAAATAAGACTGTAAGCTCTTTGAGCCTAGTCCTCATCAATCTATTGTTCCTGTAACATTTTGTAATGGTCTCATTTATTGTTAAATGTCCCCTTTATAAGCGCTACGGAATCTGTTGGCCCTATATAAATGGCGATAATAATAATAATAATAATATTCTAAAGTGCTGCAGTATAAGTTGGCACTATATAAATGCCAATAATAATAATAATAATAATAATATTTTGCAGGTGTTTCTATATGTAGATCAAATATATGCTGCCTGAGGTCTGTGTGTTTAGATATGCTGAAATAGGGATGGATTTGTTTTTTGTTTAATTTTCTCTATTTTTGAGAAATATCAGCTAAGTTCTCATAGACACACTCAGTTATAATAGACCAACATAAAACCTATATGTTTATTAGCTGTATCTATATGACCAAATGTGACTGCACTGAGAGCAGCATTTATAGCTAGTCAGCTGTCTCTGCTGATTATTTGTACTGCCAGTCTGTCAGTGTGCACAATCCAGGTGTGTTACAAGGTGGAGATGGGCTGTATTATTATTTTTATTATTTATAAAGTGCCAACAAATTCTGTAGCGCTGTGCAATAGGTGGACTAACAAGCAAGTATTTGCAACAAGAAATGTTGGACGCACAGGAACAGAGGGTATTGAGGGTATTGGGTATTGAGCTTCACTTATGCTTTTACTGTCATCTTTTCCCCATTATGAACGCTCGTTGATGTCATGGGAGGAACCTGGAGGGGTCTGTATGCCAAACAGAAAACTGTAAACCAAATTTGATAAATGTTAAAGAGAAAAATATCGTATTTTGAAAAAAAAATTCTGCTATAATCCACTATGACCTATTTTGGACCAAAACATAGCAACTAGTTTCACTAAACTAACGACATTGGAGATGCAGCAGAGTAGAGAAAACTTTGAAATTTGGTACATATAGTATCTCGCAAAAGTGAGTACACCCCTCACATTTTTGCAAATATTTTATTATATCTTTTCATGTGACAACACTGAAGAAATGACACTATGCTACAATGTAAAGTAGTAAGTGTACAGCCTGTATAACAGTGTAAATTTGCTGTCCCCTCAAAATAACTCAACAAACAGCCATTAATGTCTAAACCGTTGGCAACAAAAGTGAGTAAACCCCTTAGTGGAAATGTCCAAAATGGGCCCAATTAGCCCTTTTTCCTCCTCGGTGTCATGTGACTCAGTGTTACAAGGTAGCAGGTGTGTTAAATGTGGTGCTATCGCTCTCACACTCTCTTATACTGGTCACTGGAAGTTCAACATGGCACCTCATGGCAAAGGACTCTCTGAAGATCTAAAAAAAGAATTGTTGCTCTACATAAAAATGGCATAGGCCAGGCATAGGCAACCTTCGGCACTCCAGATGTTTTGGACTACACCTCCCATGATGCTTTGTCAGCATTATGGGTGTAAGAGCATTATGGGGGATATATTCCACAACATCAGTAGTGCCGAAGGTTGCCTATGTCTGGCCTAGGCTATAAGAAGATTGCCAAGACCCTGAGGAACTGAGCTGCAGCACAGTGGGCAAGACCATACAGCAGTTTCACAGGACAGGTTCCACTCAGAACAGGCCTTGCCAAGGTCGACCAAAGAAGTTGAATGCATGTGCTCAGCGTCATATCCAGAGGTTATCTGGGAAATAGACGTATGAGTGCTGTCAACATTGCTGCAGAGATTGAAGGGGTAGGGGGACAGCCTGTCAGTGCTCAGACCATATGCCGCACATTGCCTCAAATTGGTCTGCATGGCTGTCATCCCAGAAGGAAGCCTCTCCTAAAAATTATGCACAAGAAAGCCCGCAAACAGTTTGCTGAAGACAAGCAGACTTAGGACATGGATTACTGGAACTATGTCATGCGGTCCGATGAGATCAAGATCAACTAATTGGTTCAGATTGTGTCAAGTCTGTGGTGGCAACCAAGTGAGGATTACAAAGACAAGTGTGTCTTGCCTACAGTTAAGCATGGTGGTGGGAGTGTCATGGTCAGGACATGCATGAGTGCTGCCGGCACTGGGGAGGTACAGTTCATTGAGGTAACCATGAATGCCAACATGTACTGTGACATACTGAAGCAGAGCATGATTCCCTCCCTTCGGAGAATACACCGCAGGGCAGTATTCTAACATGATAATGACATTGCTAAAGAAGCTAAAGGTAAAGGTGATGGACTGGCCAAGCATGTCTCCAGACCTAAACCCTATTGAGCATCTGTGGGGCATTCTGAAATGGAAGGTAGGGAAGTGCAAGGTCTCTAACATCCACCAGCTCCGTGATGTTGTTATGGAGCAATGGAAGGGGACTCCAGTGGCAAGCTGTGAAGCTCTGGTGAACTCCATGCTCATGAGGGTTAAGGCAGTGCAAGAAAATAATGGTGGCCCCACAAAATATTGACACTTTTGGCCCAATTTGGACAATTCCACTTAGGGGTGTACTCACTTTTGTTGCCAATGGTTTAGACATTAATGGCTGTGTGTTGAGTTATATTGTCACATGAAAAGATATAATAAAATATTTACAAAACTGTGAGGGTTGTACTCACATTTGTGAGATACTGTATAGCTCCTGCTTCCCCCACTAGACCACCTAATAAAAAAAGGGCAGAATCCAATGACCTTGCACATAGCAGTTGCACAAAATAAGGAAAACCTCAGCTGTGTAAAAATCCAATGATAAGTGGAAGCTTCCCCTACTGTTATTTTTGGGAAATTGGGACAATAGGCCAATGAAAAGTTAATCCCCAAACTAGTTTTGACAATGTAAATGCAGTTTTTTTCCATTTTTGGAGAAACACATGCCAAAATAAAACTTAAAACTAACTAAACTGTCTAATGTAATACTTTAATAAGGGCTTAACAAACTATTTAAATATCATATTTTCTGCAAAGTCTATGACTTTTTTCAGTCAAAAGTTGGTAAATATGTTAACATTAACCAGCACACAGGATGAAATCAGACCAGATGTTGGGGTCCAGCCATGAGGTTCTTAGAAGTTCTGTATCTGGTACATTAATAAAGTGAGCGATCAGATCTTCACAGTGATACAGTGAGTTATTGGCCAAATATATTGGCTCCTTATTTAAATGTAATTCTTTGAAAACAAATGAATAATTCAAAATCAACAAATTGGATCCTAAAGTAGGTAATGTTAACTAAGCCGTCACTGAGTTGTTGGGTTACTTTTTATTTGTTATGTACTTTATTATGTTTTGTTGGGTAGTTTATGTCTACAACATCTATCTGCCAGTCTTGCTACATTTATGTGTGTGGTTATTATTCATGAGATATTTATGAGTATCCATTATATAACCCACAAATTATGTGGTGCTTTAAATAGAAATATAGAAATGAGCAAATAAATGCCAAATACATTCACATGAAAAGAAAACAAGAAGCAAGAAGGGCTCTGCTCAAATGAGTTTACAATCTAAAGGAATTTGTGCTTTGATGTGGTGTGTGTGAAGCCCTGTGGGTGCAAGCATGGAAACTGGTAAACATTGCAACTTATCAACAATAGAATCTAGATCTTTTCACTTTAGACAAGAAAAAAAAGAAAGAAAGCAAATATAGTGCATACTGAATTTCAAATCCAATTTAATAGTAACAAATACTTTAGATTTCAAGTCATAACCTAAAATGAGTCACAAAATGTGCAATCAAGAATATTGCAATAGTTTCAATTACATTCAATTAATCTGGAGAAAGTAATTCCAACTACAACATGCTCCTGGAGGTGGTCGCAAGTCAAAGTCTAGAAGGCAAATACTTTAAGCTTTATCTCTTTATAGACTCTCAATCAGCAGAACATAACTGGAGCAAAGCTCATGTTAATTCATACCCACTTTCAAGCAAACCTAATGCACTTTCTGAATCTCAATCTTCTCCCACAAGTCCTAACTAAACAATTACTTCATTATCACTCCACGTCATCTACTGTCTTCACAGCAACTACACAACAACTTTGATACTTAATGTCACAAAAAATCCCAAAACAAAGAAAGCCAATAGTCTATTGTTCCCCCACTCATCATACACTTAACTCATATTATTATTACAACCTTATTATGTTTCCCTTACTAAAGTGTTTTTGCGCAACCTCTTTCTTTAACAACTAAAAACCTTTAAGGATCAGTGGCGCTGTAATTAAAATCCAGTGTAGACAATAAACCACCCAAGTGCAATATCACATTCACACTTAATACATATATAGATCAAATAGGGAACAAGGTGATTGCGCACGCAGTGACATTTGTGGACATATTCACCTGAGGAAGACTCTGCGTTTGGTCAAAACACATTGTACGAGTATCGTTATAGTTTTACTTTGTTTTATGTGCACACAGAGTTTTTAACTTCATCTGGCTGCTTTCTGAAGGACCTGGCACTTGAAGTATGCTACCCTGCATCAACCTGAGATTGATGAAATTCCTGTGCAGTCTAGAGCCAACTCCTAACTGTCTCTTTAATGTTTGAGTGTCCCAAGTTATCTCACCATTCCAATTTGTGTTTACATGCTAACTATGCCATGATGTTTTTATTTTTAATATTATAAAGGTTTTAATTACCATTGCCAGCTGTGATGTTTTGGAACCACTGTGTGCGCAACCACCTTGTTGCCTCTTTCTTTTTTACATACTCCTTGCCCCGCCCTCCATCTTCTCAAACCTTACTCATTGTCTTAGCTCCACTTTTGGGCAGTTTCTAACTTTTCAGTCTCCCTGTTTTTCTTATATTTTCTTTTCCTATCTCGTTATGCTTTTTCGTCTTACTTTCACCTCCAAGCTTAATGTACTGCTTGTATGTACCCAGCTAACAAACGTTCTTAATTCCATCTTCCTTCCTGATCCTCTTCAATCTGGTTTCGTCACTAATAACTCTTCTGGGACAGCAGTATCCTAACGACGCAGTGACATCATCACTGCGAAATCCAAAGGTCGCTACTCATTCTACTTGACCTTTCTGCTACCTTTGACACCGTGGCCCATTACCCTCTTCTATTTCCCACTTCCTTTTATGCTGAAAGGGCAATTAATGGGGCCCTGATCACCTGTTCCTGTTTGCCTGAATATGACTGCAATTACTTGCATGTTTTGTGTTTGTTTGTTTTTACCCCAAACTTACATGACTTATTGATACAAGTTTTAACAGCTTTGGACAGAAACAGGACTAGTACGAGAGATACAGGTCTGATAAATATAAAAACATCAACAGCCACTTTAATACCAACGCAGCCTCTCACTAATAAAGATAAAATGACAAATAAGCAGCCAATGCACATTCCTACTACACAATATCCACCATCTACTAATGCAGGTTAATTGCCAGAAGAGCAGATTTAATGTAAATGAAAGAAGCATAGTGATACATGGATTGTACACTTCTAGCACAGTCTTAATATTATATTTACTTTCTGATATTTACGTACTTAACAGGTGACATATGACAGAATGTCACTGAAACAGGTTTAACCCCTTAAGGACACAACTTCTGGAATAAAAGGGAATCATGACGGAAATGTCCTTAACGGGTTAATGTCATTGAGTATAACCACTGAATTCTTTTCATTTCAAAACAATTTCATTTACAAAACGACTAATCTACAGAGTGACCAGTAAAGTCTAGGTCAATTTTTGTAGATAAATCAATTGAACGTTTTTTGAAAAGATCGTGATCATTTGAAAAGCTCATCTAAAAATATTAAATTGAGGCCATAGTGAGAATAAAATAGCCTAGTAAATATAAGTGACTTATCTTACAGAGACCTGACTAAGGCCACTTAATGATGCTACTCTTATCATTACTAACAGAGATAGATAACCTTTAGCACTCAAGCTATTGTAGACTGGTACCCACTATGCTAAGTCAGTATCATAGGTAGCCATACAGTTGGTTGAGTGGCAAAAGTCATCCTCACCTACTATTTACTAACAGCAATTCTACTGGATAAATTGTGTGCAAAATTCTAAGTGGAAGTATCATGGTGAAAATCCATGGATTGTTTTTGCTGTGCCCCAGAACTGTGATTTAGACATAAAACCATGGTCTGTGGTTTCCCAGCTGGTTTACTAATATAATAAAGTATGTTCATCACAAGCCTTTGTTTTATAGTGCATAAAGAGGAAGTAAGGGAAGTGAAGAATTGGGCGATATTGATGTCTACATTCATTACGAACAATTCTCAGCCAACACGCTAACATCGGAGAAGCACAATATTCAACTGGTTTCCATAGAGACTGTTTTGGATATTCAAAGAGAAAGGAGTGAGTTCTTGTTTAGATATACTATTATTAGATCTGCATTAAACAGCACCAATAAATCTCTGGAGGGATAAATACTGCCAGAATATTACATGACTAGAGGGTTGAGGTCACCGTGAGTTGACATGAGCCTTGCAAAATGTAGGCTAAAAAAACAAACTGGTACCATCTCCGTCTGGAGATGTTTCAATGCCGCTGCATTGGCCTACATTTTATCAGCTCAATCCAATTTACTGTTTGTGTGCAGGATACTTAATGTGACATAGGATTGCTGATTTAAGAGACAGAAAGAATTCCACTTTATATAATCATTTAAATACGCTACTCCCTGTGTAAAGTGAGGCCTAATAGTTATATAAGAATGCAGACCAACCCTTTTATTATCCTTATTATAATTAAAACATTTGATACTAAAAGGAAAGCAAAGGTTATACATAATGTTCACTATTTCATGAATATTACCCATTCTTCTACCTATTTACAAAGGGACATTCACAATATAAATATATGAGTTTTTTTGGCCTACAGTCAAGTGGAACCCATAGATTTAGTTCAAAACTTTAAAAATAAATGAGCTAACTTATACTAGCACAAATTCAACACATATTGGTTGAAGATTCCTTACTATTTCTCCTATATTTACTGTAACTTGTTGATATTTAAAAAAAAAGATTGTAAAAAAATAAAATAAAAATCAATGCATAACGTTTAAAGAATTACTCATGTCTTAACATGAATGGATTTTATTTAAAGCCACCCTTACAGGAGTTTAAATGTATTTGTCTAATAACTATTTCTGTACTCTGTGAATAACTGCTGCAAGAAACCCTTCTTTTAAACAAGCCTAGTAATAATAGTGAATGAAAGACACAGAGGAGCAAACATTGACACATATGAAAACATTCAAATTTTAAATTATAGCCATAATTGTTAATATTCTCTTTTTGCTGAACCAACATTCTGCCCTGTATAGTATCATTGCACATCCTCAAAGAAGCCTTCAATATTGAGCATCTTAACAATATACTGTAGTGGTTATGGTTTCTGTAATTCACACATACCAGTACATGGTAAGTAGTATGCTGTACTATGGACTTAAGTGAAATCTGAAGAGGGGTCAGGTAGTGGTCGGCTGGGGGACCAAGGTGAGATCAAACCTTTCAAAAACAGTTACTAACCATCGGAAGGTGCCAGAAGACCCCAGGCACTATAGTCACTACAACACACTGTATAAATTGCCTATTTGAATAATAGATAATATGTGAAGAGAAAAAAAAAGAAATAATCTGAGTAAAAACTAACAATCAGGATCTTGTTGCAATGTGAGTATTAGATATTATCAGATAATGAGATTTACCTTTCATGCTAATATTTGAATACACATGTAATAAATTCACACTATTCACATCTACATTGAAACCAAATGCTATTCTACTTGTTTGTATAATTAACTATAACTTTATCATAGGTGTGCGCAGCCTATTGTATAAGGGTGTGCACCCTAAAGCAGAAACACACACGCCGCGTATATATATATAAAAGTCCGGACTCTGGCACTCAACCCCAACGTGAAAAATAGAAAATAAACTACCCGGGTGCCTCCAGGCCAATAGGTACATGAATACAAACAGGAGCACTCACTTGGATTTTCCAATAGTGTATTTAAAAAATGTTCATCAATCTACATCAACGTTTCGACCCTTCAGATAAAGACCCTGAAGGGTCAAAACGTTGATGTAGATTGATGAACATTTTTTTAAATACACTATTGGAAAATCCAAGTGAGTGCTCCTGTTTGTATTCTTGTATTCATATATATATATATATATACACATACACATACATACACACACACTGCTGTGTGTGAGGGTGCTGTGTGTAGGTGCTGTGTGTAGGTGCTGTGTGTGTGTGTGTGAAGGCGCTGTGTGTGTGTGTGTGGGCGCTGTGTGTGTGCAGGCGCTGTGTGTGTGAAGGCGCTGTGTATGTGTGAAGGTGCTGTGTGTAAGGGTGCTGTTAGTGTGTGCTGTGTGTGTGTGTATGTGTAAGGGTGCTGTTAGTGTGTGTATGAGGGTGCTGTGTGTGTAAGGGTGCTGTTAGTGTGTGCTTTGTGTGTGCGTGAGGGTGCTGTGTGTGTAAGGGTGCTGTTAGTGTGTGCTGTGTTTGTGTGAGGGTGCTGTGTGTAAGGGTGCTGTTAGTGTGCGTGTGAGGTGCTGTTGTTTGTGTAAGGGTGCTGTTAGTGTGTGCTTTGTGTGTGCGTGAGGGTGCTGTGTGTATAAGGGTGCTGTTAGTGTGTGCTGTGTGTGTGTGATGGTGCTGTGTGTAAGGGTGCTGTTAGTGTGTGTATGTGTAAGGGTGCTGTGTGTATAAGGGTGCTGTTAGTGTGTGCTGTGTGTGTGTAAGGGTGCTGCTGTGTGAGGGTGCTGTGTGTAAGGGTGCTGTTAGTGTGTGTGTATGTGTAAGGGTGCTATTAGTGTGTGCTGTGTGTGTGTGTGTATGTGTGAGGGTGCTGTGTGTGTAAGGCTGTTGTTAGTGTGAGGGTGCTGTTAGTGTGTATGTGTAAGGGTGTTGTTAGTGTGTGCTGTGTGTGTAAGGGTGCTGTGTGTAAGGGTGCTGTTAGTGTGTGTATGTGTGAGGGTGCTGTTAGTGTGTGTGTAAGGGTGTTGTTAGTGTGTGCTGTGTATGTGTAAGGGTGCTGTTAGTGTGTGTATGTGTAAGGGTGCTGTGTGTGTAAGGGTGCTGTTAGTGTTGCTGTGTGTGTGTATGTGTGAAGGTGCTGTGTGTGTAAGGGTGTTGTTAGTGTGAGGGTGCTGTTAGTGTGTGTGTGTGTCTGTGTGTGTGTGCTGTGTGTGTAAGGGTGATGTATGTGTGTGTGTGTGCTGTTAGTGCACACGCCTATGAACTTTATATAGGTTGTAGATTTGTGTTACTCCAGTTTAAATGTTTTCTAAATAAACTTATTCAAGGCCATGGTATCTTACTATTCTAAATATAAGCCAGTTATGGGGCACTTTGGACTAGTTGAGTCAAAAAAGCCATTTCCCCTGCGTTGTTCTCAGTAGCCTCTAAAAAAAAAGACTCCTTTTACTTGCTGCTAGCACAGAGATATACATGATTAGGGTTATACTGCTGTAGATATGTCAGATTCAACTGTTTCTGCTGACCATCAAATATCTGCCTCTGTTCTATCTCACCTTCTCAAACCTTGAGTTTCTCCAGATTTCCAACCTGGCCTGATCTTGGTGACTGAAAGAAATAAAAGTAGGAATCTATATATATATATATATATATATATATATTTCATATTTGAAACACATTCAAACTTCAAACTCCTCCTTGATGCCTAAACTTTAACCACTCTTACCGGAGTCTTACTCACAACACTGACTCCTGTCCTATTCTTACTAGCTGTACCTCATTCTACAGCAGGTCTTTGGATTCTTTCAACTCTCAGCTTTGCAAAAGACTAGCAGCATTGCAGTACTGCGTGATGTTCTACGCTATAGAATGTCATGCGTTATCAGAATTGACATTGGCAAATTAAATTGACACCTACTCATTGTGACAACTTTTATGAACTTTGCAACCAAAGGTCCCTGAGTGTAGGGGACTCTGTTCACCCAACCCAGTGTGCTCCTAGTCTCTTTTAGGAAAATGAAAATTTAATATCTCTTGAGGATATCACAAGATGTATACACTTCACATGACACTTTACAAATAAGACATCGCAAAATAACAAGTATAATTCAATATACACAGAATATTTGTTGACTCATCTTTACACTTTTTGTGTAGTAAATGAATACAATTTCTCCTGGCATATTAATGATGCTACCTTTATTACAATATTTCTGGAGGTGACACATTCTCATCTGGTGGTATAACAAACTAATCATACTGAAAGTTTAGTAAAAGAAATAGAATAGTATTGATAGATAGAGATATTGAAATATAGATAGACACAGAGAGAGATAGATAGATAGATAGATAGATAGATAGAGAGAGAGACAGATAGACAGACAGAAAGACAGACAGATAGAAATAGATAGACAGACAGACATATAGATAGATAGATAGATAGATGGGAAAAAACAGGTCGCAAGAGATAGATAGATAGACAGACAGACAGGTAGATAGATAGACAGATAGATGGATAGATAGATAGATAGATACAGCTTTTACATCACATTTAAAAAAAAAATAATCATGTACATATTGTTCCACCTTAGATAGATAGATAGCTTCTCCGAATGTGTATACATGTTTTTACTGCTTATTTGAATATTTCTGACTCAAATGGAAACTATTAGGGAGTTTGAATGATTTTATTTCATATATTAGCATATTTAAAATTACAGGGCAGTTTTGCAGTTGAATATTTTACTGCACTTTCTACTTGCTGTTATATATTGTTAAATGCTGTTATAATAACATTACACATAAGTGTAATTTACATTTAACAGTATCTACAATCAGAGCCAGTTTAACCATTAGGCCGCATGGGGCCTATGCTCCGACAGGGTACAGTGGACCCCTGTCTGAGTCTTGAGTGCCGGGGCCCTGAGCCCCCTCACCTGCTTGAGGGAGTCTTGTGGTCTGCACCAATTTCAGGTGCAGACAACTGTAAGCACTCCCTCGTGGTCCCAAACAACTTCTCAGTTATACAGAGCACCACTGTCAGCATTCTCATTTACTGAGTGCTGGAGCTCTTAAAGAGGTTTGCAGCCTGTATTGGTGCAGACCATGATGCATTGCTCCCCCACTGGAGCCATGATGCTCCCCCACAAGAGAAGGCTCTCCACTGGAACTCCAGGGAAAAGTAAGAAGGGTGAGGCAAACCACACATACTCATACACCACACACACAGAACATAAAAACCACACACAGGCACACTCAGCCCTTCCACATACAGCTCTCAGCCTCCTCCACACACAACATTCAACCACTACAAACACTCATGCACACATTTAACACTCACACACCACACAAACAACACTCACAGAAGCAGAGCCTAGGGCTCGAGGACGGGGCCACCAACCTGGTATCTTAGTCTTGAGTCTATTAACAATAGATCTATGGATCAATAGATTATACTATCAATAGATGATAAATCATTCCAGAAAATTCTTAGCACTGTCCAGCCAAGACACCACATTCCCTAGACTATTTACATTTGAAATATTAATAGGACAGAAATTTTTTCATGAAATGATTTTTAAAGAAAACTTGAATGAAAATTCCTTCTTCAAAGTTTTCAAAGTGCATCCCATGAGTTAAATTGTGGTGAAAAGAAAACTTGTTTAAAAATGTTAAAATAGTAGCACAAATTGAGTTTGCATTTCATTATGGTTCATTGTTTGGTGAACAAACTCAACAGTGTTTATAGGAATACCAAACCCATACGTATATATATAAGTATTACAAATGCATTTAAATTTTCAGATTAAAGCAAATAATGTAATCTGCATTTATATTCACTAATTTGAAGTTGTGGAGAATTGACAATGGAATAGCAAATTTTAAACCAAAATAGCTAAACTAGGAAAATATCACGTAGGTAAAATATCAAAATAGGGACTGTCTCTCCTAAATAGGGAAACTTGAGAAGTGTGATTGTAAGTCGGAACAATAGCTGAGTTGGAAGATATTCTAGAATGTCTTGTGTGATCTAAACAGTGCAATTCTTTGGTCAATTGCTGAGAATCCCATGTTTAGTGCAGAGCCCTGACCATGTACAGACAGCACATATAACTGGTGATAGGTTGTGGAAATACATTTTACAAATGATTAATATAATGTATATAATGTATGAATGTAAACGGCAAATAGGAGATAAGGGATTATTAAAAGAAAATGGAATGGTTCCAACACTAGGACAATTACTTGTTTGAGATTGTATCTATTGTGTAATATGTGTTACAAATATGTATAAATAAACAAGGGCTCTAGGGCCTAAATCACTGTCTAGACATGCACAGGCAAATTTTATATATGTCTTCTCCACTAAAAAGGGAGTTTGTGTACACGCCATTAGCTAATACAGGAAAACATTTAACTGTGAGGAGAGAGCTCGAAAGAGAATTTGAAGACATGTACACAATCCCAGTGTTTCTCATTTAATCTGAGTTCTACTATGTAGTGTAAAAAAACTAATAGATTGTTAACAGATTAATGAAAAAAGGAAGGGTGAGCACAGGAAAAGGAAACAAAAACGAGAACATTAGGAGGAATAAAAAGGAGAATGTGAATATTGTTTTGGGGGAAGGTAAGGTTTGAAACGTATGCAATGTATGCATATTACTAAAAATATAAATGACAGTGATAAATCACCTATTATCTCACTGATTTTTAAATACAACCCTACTTTTTGCAACACATTATTTATATATACAATACTATGTCATAGTATCACATACATTATACAATAGTAAGTGGTTTTACGGATTCTCTCGTACAGACACTTTCCACTCCAAGCAATACCTCCATTTTCCCATCTATCCGGATTTCTACTTCCTTTATATCTTGCCTTTCCAGGTGTTTACTATCATCCCCAAAGACCTTCTCAAACGCATCACATCTTTGCAGTCTGAGCAAATGTTCTCAAACGTTCCCTGTCCAGAGTCTTTAAATTCCCCCCTGCTTCCTCTTGTCTTAACTCCCCATCATAACCTTTAGATTGTAAGCTCACAAACCATCTAGCTTAGTACTTTGTATTAAAGGGCAGTAAATGCTAAATCTTGTCTCTATTCCTTTTGTATTGGTTTGTTTATATTGTACTTTTCGCCTGCCACAATATGACAGTTCTTTATAAATACCAGTAATAATAATAATAATAATAATAATAATACATCTATGATAGCGCTTTAACAGCCACCATATTAAGCTTTATTCATTAAATAACATGAATACAAACACAAGCAAGCTAACAGAACCAGTTCTTAAGCTTGTATTACCTTCTACAAATCGTTTCTTGGTGTTCTTTTAGAATGGAGCAGATAATAGATGATGTGCTGTTGGCCATACAGCTAGTAGAAGACTGAATAAGTAATCTAAAAATCCCCATAAACTCTAACTTTCCATGAAGTGCGACTCACTCCTACGTGGAAACATACTGAGAACTATTCATCAGTATGCTGGTGCTTATAATACTCAATGCAATGCCTCCTGGTTTTTCATCTTGGCAATATCCAAATAAATGAATTAATCTTTTTCTTTTTTAGTTATTCATACAGAGATATACTATATATGTATTTTTAGGTACAGAAAACTATACTTTATAGATAATAATAATAATATATTGGTTCTATATATATATATATGTATAGGTAGACATTTAAGGGACTCCCCTTGTGAAACAAGCATGATCATCATCATCCACACCCATTAGAGATGTCCAAGTGCGGCTTTATTTCCCCGCAAGACTAAGGACCCATCCATGAAACATGCCCACGCAGTGGCTGAGCGTGTGACGTCAGTACCTGGAACAGTTTAAATCAAACCAGGTAAAGCAGTACCACACCAAATGAGAAAGTTGATATTTTGCAATAAAACACATATCAGGATGCAGCAGGAGAGTCTGGGACTTCACTTGTCTTTTTATTTCATATGTTTTATTGCCCATATGACTTTTTAATGTAAATAAATCTTTTTCATTTCTCCTTTTGGCTTCCTGCTATCTGCTGCTGGACCTCTGCCTGGTCAACTTGGGAAGTGCTAACCCATAAGTTGCACACTGCTTTGCATATCAGAACCGATGTTTATAGGCTCTGGTTCATGTGCGCAAGTCTCATTACCATATATATCTGTCATTTTGCATAATATCATCTGCTCTATTGGTTCCCTCTTACTATATTTGTTGTACTGAGATCACCATTCAGGAACGTTATCCATCCAGAAGGTGGTGTGGAACCTAAATAAGACACCAAAAGCTTCACATCCTAGAGCCAGGTTCTTATGAGCTCTACTTATGTGAGTTGAAAATTGGCTCTTATTATCATAGATTTATTATTGTTTTACAGAATCACGCTATTTATATTTATTTTCTTCTTTTTTTTTATAATGAAGTACTTATTATAGAAATAATTAAAGATGGCGTTTCAGAATATGTGCTTCAGTGTTTTGTATTATTTATGTAACTTTTTTTTATTGTTAGATCTAGGGTTCTGGCTACGACTACGGTTAGCTAAAGGGCCAGAGTTAGGGTTATTCCCAGTAAGCCTGCATGTTATTGCAAACTGCTGCAGTTAATTAATACATTCGTTAAAAAAAAAACCATTAACTAAGTCTAACGTTATCTTTTTAAGTATTTTTTGCAGTTTAATATCTGTAGCACATGATGAACATTCCAGTCAGTATAATCTATATTTGATGTCAACTGTTTCTATTTATTTATTAGTATGGTTTTATGGCTCTTTCAGTTCTCTTGTATTTATTTAGTTTATTGATCTTTAAAAGTTCAATGAAAAATGTATGCCCCCCTCTGAAAATGTATGCATAATGGTGAATGCAACAGATCAACTCACTATTTAGCTACGTATGACGTAAATGGCTCTCTCCTATTAAAGGCAATCCCAGAAACAAGAAAGTATTTTTCTGTGTATAAAAAAGTCTGTGAGATAAAATTTACTTATTGATGTTTTGCACAATTTTTTTTAGAGAAAAAACTGCTATAACTACTACCATAACTGTGCATGCACTTCCCACATTGTTCATATACTTTCCTATTTCAAAGAAGCTTTATTAGGTGCCGTCAAAACAATTACAGCAGTAAGCTAAAGAAATAACGTAAGATATTTTCTTCTTATTCATGTGGTAATTTATCAATTTGTATCAACACACAAGCATATAAGGTCATTATTTATTTAATCTCACCATTTTGCTCCAGGTTTTTGAATGTTTTTTATAACATTTATTGGGTGTACATAAGAGGATTATAGATTGGTGTTTGTAGTGAATTTTAATTGCAGTTAATATCAATATGTTTTCTTTTTTAGCAACCGTAACGATGGACCAGCTACTGGAAGACGCACCTTTATAATTGTCCGAGCTAATATAATAGATGGGCATAGCTTAGCTTCAGAAATTGTCATATCTGACAGCATTGCTATTTAATGTTTCTTCTACAGCATGAGTTTTGTTCCAGGTCCACGGGGCATTCTGTTACCATGTTTGCACCCAATATACCATGCAATATGTGAGAAACATTATTTCTTCATTAAGTAAGTCATGATGAGTGCCAGAGGAATCTTTCCATCTGCATCTAAGAGGTATCCTAATTCCATTCAATAACTGGCTCCGACTAATGTCATAAAAAAAAAAATGCTCTGTGCATGATTTACTTACAGTTAGATGTAGTGTTTGCCCACAGAAATAAATAATGTATCACTTATTTAACACAAGTCAGTAACATAGTTCTGGAATGAACTCACTCACCATTTCAGATGTGTCGATTTACATTGAGTTCCAGCTGAAATAGTTTCAGCCAAAACTGCTTGGCACTTTTATCATGTTTGTTTATGGTTGTTGAATGGCCATTATTTTTAGAACTTTGACATGCAGATACAGACTATTTAATTATTTATTGCACTATTTATCATCCAATACTTAGATAAAAGGTATGTATATTCAATTTCAAGTACAACTATACAATAGTGGATAAATTTGGCTTTATGCTGGGCCATGAAGAAAGAGATATGCTGATCCAGTTATGTAATATATACTTTCTCAAACAAAGTATTTTAACTGCAAAACACTTTTAATTTTTTTAAATAATGTAGGGAAAAAAAGATGTTGAAAGACAAAACATTTGGCAGGATGGACTGGACTTATAGGCTAAACTAAAGTGATTTCTATTTTGTAAGAATATATGCAAATAGATGGGCTCTCTTTACACATGAACCAATAAGTGGATTTAGGTGATTGGGGTCCTTTTCTGAAACATACCCAAATTAAATTCTACAAGACAGGGGTGTCCTCTATCTCCCTTATTGTTTATTGCCTCCTCTGAACCATGCACTACTAGGTTACCTCCAAGATGACCACTCAACAGAAACTAGCACGATATTAAAGGGACACTATAGGCACCCAGACCACTTCATCACATTAAAGTGAATCTAAAACACTCCAGAGAAACTATGTCTGTTCTATTGGTTTTCAGAGAAACTGCAATGTTTATATTCCAAGGTTAAGACTGCCTCTAGAGGTGTTTCTGTTGTTTCAAGGAGTTTAACTCCGTGCCGACACTGGACATCCAACTTGATTCAATGCTTTCCTACCGGGAAGGACTAATGCGTGCGCAACCCTTGCCGCGCATGTACATTAGGTTTCCCCTCAGTGCTGATGTCAGAAGAGGGGGTGATGACTTTGGCTCTGGAATAAGGTAAGTGTTTTAAAGGGTTTTTAACTTTTTAACTAATGAGGAGCACAAGGGAGGGGGAGCAGAGAGACACTATAGTTTTAGGAATACAGCTTTGTATTTCCAACACTATAGTTTATAGTATATATGAATATAGGAATACAGCTTTGTATTCCTAATTCTATAGTTTTCCCCCGAGGTAGACTACATCTCCCCTGATTTTATTAATGACACAGAGGCTCCTATTATGCAATCTCTTCTTTTTTTTCCTTAGCAGCAAAATGAGAGAAAAAATATTTGAACTCAAATAAATGTATACATATAACAAAAATACTGCCTTGAATCATTTTTTTTTTGTCAATCTTTTTTTATTGGAATGTTTTTCCCAAGAGTAATTAGAGATACAGAAATAATAAATAGGTAAGCATTTGAATAACAATGGTATGGTATATAAATGTGAGTAAGTACATCCCTCAAGCAGCTTCCACCTTGCAAAATGTACATAATGGTTTTTGAGTCACAGTGTAAATTCTTACGTCAATGAATTAGCTCTTTCGCATAACCACAAATGATCCTGTTCTCTGAGGCCCACTGCGCTGCCTTTGGAAGGTAGTTGAAGTATAGAGGTATTGTAATCCCATAGCATTGCTAAGGTGCCTGGTCCCTTCATCTTAGGGTTCCCCATGCCATTCCCCCATGTATGTTTGTTCCATTTGCCGGGAGTCCCGGTGCTGTGTGTGTCATGGAAGTAGTCCATCCCTCTCAGCTCAGTCACTCCTGTAGTCTCTGTGCTGTGCATTTTACAATCAGTCCTACAAGAGAGCGAATCCTGCTTATACCCTCTAATTAGAAAACAGATTGTGGAACAAATGTTAATGTCGGTCATAAACTGCAGGGATGTAGCATATGCATCTGTGCCACAACCCAATCTTAGTGTACACAACTTGCATTATTCATGATGTCACTTTCTGCTTCAAACTGCAGCACTGGTAATTCTGATATGTTGAAAGAATTGAAATCTTGAATCCACACATAAATTTAGTATTTCTTCCCTGGTTCTTAACTATATTTCTTGAATACACAAACTTCAGATATGTCCACAGCTCAAACACTCCAGAACACTAGCAGTACTCTACTTTCCGTCCCATACTGCCCAAGCAAACTCCTTATACAGAACTTTGAAAATTTAATAGAGAAAGCACCAAAATCAAACTGAGTCCATCTACATGGAAGGATCTTCAATCAAAATCAAGTGCAATTATTATTAACGCATATCTCTATATTTCTCAGTTAAAAAAACTTTTGTTCACATGTACTCTAGGACATATTGTAAAAGAAGATAACTATATATATAGTTTAAATTGTAAAAATATTTAAAAATAGGGACATCTTGTAGATGCGCATTAAAGCATTACTGTTATTTTTTAGTATGGTTATTTGGTTATGAAAAACACGTTTCAAAACAATCGGAACATATATATGAAACAAGCAGGAAAGACATTTGTTAAAATGTGATACATGACAACGATTAAAGCAGATTACATTATTGCATCCTGCTATTTCCCATCCATAACAGGGACCTTTCCACGTTATGTGCTATAAATGTCTAAAGGGAGTCATGTGGTCTTGTGAGCTCTTTAATAGATCTCTGTTACGTACTTGTCGTCAATGTGCAAGGATATGATGTAGGCATTGACAGATGTCAAACACTTAAAATTATAAGGTGCGCTGTGTCTTTAACACCCAATTATAAAAAGGGCCACAAGTGCAAACACTGTAATAAAGTGCAAAGTGATACAAAGTGCACATAAAGTGTATAGTGTTAATAAAAAAATATTATACATACATATGTCCTCTCAAATAGAAATGTACATAAAAGAAAGACACAGAAAAAAAACCCAATGATGTAAAACTGTTTTGAGAAAATAAATATTAAATATAAATGCCAAATATTGCACTCACAAAGGTAGAGCAGAGTAAGCCTGTTCTAACTTTAACAGCTTCTTCAAATATAGGACTGCACAGACAAAATATTCCAAAATATTTATTGCCCAGCAAAGCACAAGTATGTCACCTTCCTCCACATTCAGTACAGGGTTACAGAGTGTTCGGCTATATGCAGCTTAGGGTGTCGACTATTCCCTCTGTTTGTTCGCCGCCGTTATTGCCGTCCCCACTGCTGCTTCCTTTTTTTATAATTTCTTCAGCAATCTAACTAGCCTTGCTCAGGAAAGGTTTAGTGAGGTGCAAATACTGGAAAGGAATGTCATTGAATGTGCGGAAAGAATCCTCAAACACTGTTTTGAGTATAAGGTGTCCAAGAAAGTGACTTTTTTTCACCAGTTTTTTGTATAATCTTTTTTTCATTGGCTGATGCTCTTAGCGAATGAATGGCCGGTGGGATCAGCACCCAGCTTCTCCAGGTCTGCAGAAACCGGATGCTGTTCACCCAGCTTTTAGTATGTTAGGCAACCGATGGGGACCCACATAAGACGGCAAACAGTTTGTCCCGTTACTGGTGAATGGCGCCAAGATAGTTCTGGCATCATAACAACTACAGGGGGAGTGGAGTAACCCTTTAACATCTCACCAGAAAATCACACAGACAACATAATTAAAGTCTGAAATAACCTTGATTTTCTTTTTTTTCTTTGTTTTGTACAATTATAAAATATTAAATGTACCTTAAAGTGAAACAATAGTTTGCCATAATGCTCACAGCAAATCACAATAGGAACACAATTTACCAAGCACACATTGCCACTTATATACTTGGCAAAGGCACTGACGTTCATTAAAATGTATCTATTTATTAAATAGAAACAAGTGAACAATAAGTGCAAGAACCAAAACAAAGTGCAAAAACAAAACAACAAATCAAAACACTCAGCAGAGCTCAATATTATCACCAAATATATCTGTCCTTAACACTTGAAGGTGCTGGCACTTAGCTTATTTATATCTTCATTTACAAATACAATTTTACATAAATATAATCTGAGTCTTTTTAATATGCTCAATCTGTCAGCATATTGTGCTATATCTAAATCATGCATGTCGAGAGCCCTTCTATAGCACAAGTCATTTTGAAGATTACAGGAACCCTATAATATCGGTAATACAAACATGTATTCCTGACACTATGATTCTAACAGCGCTGTTTAGGTGGCCAAAGCACCTGTCAAAAAAGTAAAAGGTGATTTTCTACACTTCATACCCACCTCCTCTGTCCCGCAACACTCTTATCTTGTCTTTTATTTTATAGTATTTTAATTTCCTTGCTCTTTGTTTGGTTTATTTTTATCCTGGTGAGTAAAATCTCCTCCATTTATATTGTACATTAATATTATTATTATTATTATTATTATTATTTATGCACAAAAGTGTGAGGGGAACAGGAGAAAAATGATATTGGTAGAGTATCCTATGGAGTGGAACAATTTCCACTCCATAGGATACTCTACTAATATCCTTTTTCTCCTGAACCCCTCACACTTTTGTGCATTATTAGTGAATCAATTTCACTAGGGGTTAACCACCACTCAGAAGATAAGCTACTGCATACCTTCTATATTTGTGTTTACATTATTATCATTAACCCCTTAAGGACGGAGCCAAATGTACACGTTGTGATCAAAACAAAACGTAAACAAAACCTGTCATTTGCGCTATATGTCTGTTCAACCGTAATTCACCTCTTTCATATTAAATGCACCCACACGTTTCATATATCATTTTATTCAGGGGAAACAGGGCTTTCATTTAACATTAAATATTTAACTATGAAACATAATGTAATATGAATAAAATATAAAAAAAATGGGAGAAAATAAGATTTTTAAAAAAACTTTTAGTTCAACGTGACATTTTAACTGTGAATGTCATAATACTGTTTGCTTTTACTGTAATGAAATACACATATTTGTATTCAGCGATGTCTCACGTGTAAAACATTACTCCCTGTGTACAGGTTTTATGGTGTTTTGGGAAGTTACAGGGTCAAATATAGCACATTACATTTTTCAGTTTTTTCACATTGAAATTAGCCAGATTGGTTACGATGCCTTTCAGACCGTATGGTAGCCCAGGAATGAGAATTACCCCCATGATGGCATACCATTTGCAATAGTAGACAACCCAACTAATTGCAAATGGGGTATGTCCAGTCTTTTTTAGTAGCCACTTGGTCACAAACACTAGCCAAAGTTAGCGTTAATATTTATTTGTGTGTGAAAAATGCAAAAAACTAATTGGAATGCCAATTTTGCTCAGTGTTTGCGATCTGCAGTGGACGTTCTATGCCGCCCGCCGGAGTTTAGAGCCAGCCCCTTAAGGACGGCATAGAACGCCCGCCGTCCTTAAGGGGTTAATAAAGGGTCAACAAAGTCTGCAGCACTGTACAATGGGTGGACTAAGAGATACGTATTTGTAACCAGATGAGTTGGACGGACAGGAACAGAGGCATTGAGGGCCCTGCTCAATGAGCTTACATGCTAGAGAGAGTGGGAGTATAGTGACACAAAATGTAAGGGTAGGGTAGAAACGTTTTGGTTGCTAGGATAGTATTCACGAAGGGAGTCATGTGGCTCTGGAGTGCAATGTCATCAAATATATTAATTCTACCACTGAACCTACTTATACTGCTTTGCTCTTTTAAAAAAAAAAAAAAGATATAAACAAAACAACAATTTCATTAATTCAGAATAGCATAGAGAACTAAGAGGACACATACGAGATTAAAGTACATCAAAATACAACAAAGAGTGTGAATCAAAACCTATATCACACAAATCTGATGGGATATTCACGGGATGGGATCTGATGGGATATTCATGGTATGGGATCTGATAGGATGGGATCTGATGGGATATTCATGGGATGGGATATTCATGGGATGGGATCTGATGGGATATTCATGGGATGGGATCTGATAGGATGGGATCTGATGGGATATTCATGGGATGGGATATTCATGGGATGGGATCTGATGGGATATTCATGGGATGGGTGTGGCAAAACTAACCTCGCCACTGGGTTATGGAGAAGCCTGATTGCCAGCCTCCTGCCTCATGACTATGGACTCTCTCATCAGCCCACGCTAGACTTAAACCCCATGGCGATTTGACTGTGTTTGTGGAATCTGAGCGCTGTTTGGATATATTAAGCGCTGAGATCCAAGCCATCTGGGGATAGGTGTGGGGGTTCTGTTCAGTATGATAGGAATTGTGTATTTTTGCTGTTGTTGTGAACAGAGACATTTTCTGTATCAGGAGATAGATGGCTTACCACACCCAGTTAAGCCAATTATCTCCAGGATAGAGGACTCTGTGGAACTAGTTTTGGCTAGAAAGCCATGCATCAGTGGTCACAAAGGACTTTGACCTAACTTTTAAACCAATGGAAGGAATTGTCTGATTTTTGAGAATGTTTGTATTTGGAGTATGCTGATTCTGAAAATGTATGTGAATGTGATGTATACTTTTAAAGTTATGAATATTGTGTAAAACTGTGTATTTTCCTGCCTGTGATAATTACGTTAGCCCATTGTGTTCAGTAATTGTATCACAGGCAGAGGGGAGGATTTCTGCTGGTATGAATGGGAGTGTTTAGCTATGTTCTAATGTATTGATTGGTTTGTTCTTTAAAACCCTGTGGGCGGTACTATGTTTGTAAAATGGGCATAAAATCAGAGTGTTTGATTAAAAGCTTCAGTTCTACTTCACCCTCAATTTGGAGTCTTGTCTCTTATTGGGGGAATCTACTACAAGGGATTGCTATGCTCTGCATATTCCCTTGCTGTAATCACTACTAAGCTCTTTTAAGAGCTTGTTCCTGTCGTGCTCTCTGAAGGAGTCTACAGTGGTTATGGTGTCAGCTGGAGTGCGTGGAGACCTCAGGAAGTGCTAGGAGCATCCTTCAATGGAGGTACCCAGTCGGGGTGCCAGGTGATCCGTTACATTGGTAGCAAGCGGTGGGATGGCGTCCTAGTGCGAGGAGAAGCAGTGAGGAGACACCGGTAATGTGTGGATTTACAAATTGAAGGCACCGCTAGCAGTCTTGCAGCGCCCCTATCTACAGAGGAGCTTAGCAGAATGCATCGAGCTGGCCTGCAATCAACATTCACACCCAGGGATGAGAGTGACCTCGAATGGAGGAATATAACCCGAGGGTTACGCTGGGAAGCTGCCCTGGAAGAGATCCAGTTTCAGCGAGGAGAGGGACTTCCCAGTGTATACCAGTGTTTGTGGGACCAGGTAGCCCAACAGATGTCGCTTCTGGGGGAGCAATCCAGGGCAGAGTGGGTAAGATGCCTGGAATCCCTAGTAGAACGGGAACTGATACTGGATAATGCCTACCGGGTGCTGTGGTGGCACGCAGTACAACAGGATGCCTGGCTGTCAGAGGGGGCTTCGCCGGAAGGGAAGTACTATGGTGGACCCGGTCTGGTATGGAGGGCCCTTGAGGAGGACGACGATTTTGGCAGTCCTACCCAGTCACGCTACTGGGCCATTTATGCCCACCGGAATGCTGTACTGCAGTATCCCTCACTCCTGGGACTGGGACCTAACCTTGCCCGTCTGGCCTCAATGGAGTGGGAAATCGAAAGACATTATGTGGAGCTACTCGACGCAACTCAGTCAGCAGACAGTGGCACAGAACAGGAGAGCTGGATGACATCCCCAGACCTGCCACCCTACAGCTTGGGAGATCTGGCTGAGGTACCCCCTGCTTCCCTACCAGCTGAAGAAGTAGGGGACCTCATAGACTGGTCCTGGGAAGATCCTTAGGTGGCAGGTGGAGATGGGACTGAAGTCTCTCTACCAGCCCTACAGGGATGCTGGACAGTCATCCCAGATCTCCAGTGACAGTGCGAATCCCAGGGAGCTGAAGGTGTCGTCCTTCCTCCCCAGTGGCAGTGTGAGTTCCAGGGAGCCAAAGGTGTCGTCCTTCCTCCCCGGCGGCAATGTGAGTTCCAGGGAGCCGAAGGTGTCGTCCTTCCTCCCCAGCTGCAGTGTGAGTCCCAGGGAGCCGAAGGTGTCGTCCTTCCTCCCCAGCGGCAGTGTGTATCTTTGGGAGGGGAGACAGTCGGTCTCCCTCTCCAGCAGTCAAGTGTGTTACAGGGAGAGGAGAGCAGCGTCCTCCCTCCCAGGGCGCGAGGGGATCTGATGCGATGGGATCTGGTAGGATATTCATGGGATGGGATCTGATGGGATATTCATGGGATGGGATCTGGCGGGATATTCATGAACCTAAACACTGTGCAAAGTGGGCGATACATTCTATTGTGAGTGAGAAACCACAGAATTCTAAATATATTTGTGGATGTACAATTAAATGTTAGAGGGTGTGGTGCAAACTTTAACTATTTTATCATCAATTACAAAAGCAGAAAATACACAACTATAATCATTAATAATCACTGTAAATACTAATGATTTGGTCAGTCCTGCTGCCTCTTCCATTGAGATTAGAACTTGTTTTTCTTGTTTATTTTTCAATCCAATATCATGTGACTGGCAACAACTAAGCAAACTGGACATTTTGTATAATGGAAACAGAAGCTGCTCATGAAATTTATTTTCATTAACTGTTACAATATATTTTAGTTAAAGTACATAATCTTACAGTAAAGTTAAACTCAGGGCCAGATTAAGGCAGGGGCTAATGGAGATATAGCTCCAGGCCAATGCCTATCAAATAGGCACTTTTTAATTTATTTTTTACTTCTCTTTACACGCTCTTGTTTTGTGCAGAGGAAATTAAGCTTTGGAACTTAGAAGGGATATAGATGAACAAAAACCTATGTGGACTGTCTGACTATGAATTAGTTGATATAAAGCTGTGCATATGCTCTTGCTGCTTTGGTCTCACTAGCAGTGTGGCATCTCCCCTTTCTTCTACAATAAATTTTCCAAACAATTTCTCTGTCCCAGATTGCATACCAGGAGCTTCAAGTTCTGCCTGCTAGTAAGAAGGAAAGGAGAGGAATTTACAACTGAGTACTGGGGCACGCCAGGAATTTTTCCCAGAAATCGTAGAACAAGCACATCATTAGACATGTTCACGCCAAGCTCAGGATGCTGAAACAGAACTTTCTGCATAGTCTGCCCTTAGTTATCATGCTGACCTGCATGATTGGCAGCTAGCTTGGCATGCATTCAAACCAGGCTGACCTTCTTTGGACACACCTGCACCCCTCTCCAGGCTCTTTGGGTGGTGACCAGGCCCGGACTGGCCTTTGGGCATACCGGGCAAATGCCTGGTGGTCCGCGATGGCCGTGGGCCGAGGACGGCAGGGGAGATCACAGGATTTCCCGTCGGCCCATGCAGAGCCGGCGCATTTCAGAGCGCCGGCCCTGCTGTGTGCCTCCATGGGCCAGTGGGGAGATCAAAGATCTCCCTCACCGGCCCAGAGGCACTAATATACGGCCGCCAGCTGGGGAGGGAGGGAGTCAGGAGAGGACCCGGGGAGCTGTAGCCAGCAGCTCCGTCGGGTTCCTCTCGCGAGGTCTGAGCGTTGCTGTGGTTACCACAGAAACAGACAGCAACCTCACTCACACAGCACCCTCAGACACAGACAGCACCCTCAGACACAGACAGCACCCTCACTCACACAGCACTCTCAGACACACACAACACACTCTCACACATATACAGCACACACACACACACGTATGTATAATATATAAAATAACCCTCAGTAAGTTAACAGACAAAGAAAATTAGAAACATAGAATGTGACAGTAGATAAGAACACCGTCACACACACACAGCACCCCTCTTTCACACACACTGCACTCCTCAAACACATGCTGCACCCTTCACACATACACACAGCACACCCAACACAATCGCCTTGCTCACATACAATACGTCCAAACATATATATACACTAGAGCACCCCTCACACTGCACCACTACACACATTACGCTCCAGATACACGCTAGATCCCTTACCCTATATACACTCTGAATACACTCTGAATCCTCTATACACACACACACACAATCTCCTATACACACTCTGGATCCTTTACACACAAGATCTCCTACACACACACTGCACCACCTACACACACTGAATTCCTGACATACAAACTCTGGATCTCCTATGCACACACTACATTCCTTGTAAGCAAACACATACTACATTCTCTAAACACACACTACATCACCTATACACACACACTACAGCCCGTATGCACACACTCACTACATCTCCTATACACACTATGCCCCCTATACACACACTCTCTACAGCCCCTAGCCACACATATTACACCACAAACACAAATAAAATCAACCTATTTACACAATACCACACCACAATCAGCTCACTCTACACACAGGCAATCCCACAGGCAGGCTCCAAACACATGCCCCATACGCTTTCCTGGCCCTTTTGTCCTCTGGTATCCCACTTATGGAGACACCAGAGACAATTTAAAAGCAAACACAGCGCAAGCATGTTAGTACATTTGCTTGAGCTGCGCAGAAAAAATACAGGGCCTTTTTCTCATGCTTGAGCTCTTTAGTGGGGCTCTGCACATTGAACTAACATGCTCACTTTGAGAGGGGGCGTGCTTGTCATTAGTGATGACAAAATACACCCTCTCTGGCCCCGCCCCCTTCTCAGGGGGCCGCTGTAATTTAAAAATGCCTTTTTCCCAGTCCGGCCCTGGCGGTGAAAGTGACATGATTTGCATCACTTGCCCATCTCCTGTTACACACCAACTAATGTCCTACTTCACAGGATGCAGATGTTGGGGGTATGGATTTGGCTAGGAGATGAAAACGATATATTACAATATGTTATATGTATTCCTATAAATTAATTTTGTGGGCTTTGTCAATAAGATTCTGTAATTAGGCCCATCATAATCGTCAGCAGCAGGCCCAATGGGCTTTCCATCCAGCCATGGTTAAAATACTGCATTGTCATGATACCTTCCAACAAAATATATTAGGGATGCTATATAGCAGTGGTTCATAAACCAGTCCTCAAGACACCCCCTACCAATCCAGGATTTAGGGATTATCCAGTTTTGTCTAAAGTGTTTTTAGAAACAAAATAAACACCTTAGACACAACTGGGTAATCCCTAAATCCTGGACTGGTAGGGCTGCCTGGAGAATTGGTTTGGGAATAAATTCTATATAACATTAATGAGGATATACTTCTGAAGTTATAACATCACTGACCTTTGTTGGACACTATGTGGTCAACAAGGTAATTATCTTCATATGTGGTGGCAATGCTGGAAGTTAAATATGTGGGCGGGAAGAAATACAATTTTTGCAGCATAGCAAATTGTACATGCCAGTTTAAATGGGCCCTTAGCCATTCATTATTTCTAGGGCATTAAAGGACTTCAGCAAACTGGAAAATCAATTAATGGCTGAAATTTTCCAAGCGGCAAGGAGAGCCTTGGTCAAAATTTAAAATACAGAAAAGGTTCCAACTTTCTCAGAATTTCTGCATAAAATATGTGGAAAATATGCTGAAGGACATATTAACAGCAATGACTAGGATAACTATGAATGTTTTCAATAATATTTGGACCCTGTGGCAAGGCTGTACCAGCAGTCATTGTATTGGCAACCCAGTAGACCTCTGTTCAAATGCCAGAGCAGCTTCCCATCGTCACCCATTCTTTATCTTTCTTCTTATTAATTTCCTCCCTCATTCCCCCATTTATTTTCCACCCTACTTTACCCCAGGTCATTTATTTGATATTGTTACTCCTTATTGAAAATAATGAATGCATAGAATGTATGCATAGAATGTTATCACACTGCAATACTTTTTTTTCTTTTCTTTTGTATTATAATTTGTTTGTTACAGCTAATGTAGTAGTAGATCAGAAACAAGTAGACAGATGCAATATTTATGCTCTTGGTATGAAAATAAAGGAAAACTGTAATTATTTGATTTAGTATTACAGAAAATAAAATATTGAATGTTTGCATTTTCCTATTAATGCATTCATGTAGTATAATACCTCTTTTCAGCATATCTCTCGACTCACCATTCCTTCATTTGTGGGAACTGGGAATCTATCTGTATGTTCCCTTAGGTCAGGAACACAATTTATAATCCAAGACCATGTTCGATTTAATTGGCTGAACCAAGCTTAAATACATGTTGGTGAAGATTGGCACTTTCACAAAATACCAAGATTCATGAATGAATGTTAACTTTCATTTACTATACATGGGACCAGCAAAGCTTCTGAGTGAAGAGGACTTTAAGATGGCTGCCCCCATAGGAGCAATGGTAAACAAGGAGATATATATATAGCTATAAACTGAACTCACTCTTATATGTGCATTGTAAATATGTGCACAAAGAGGATATAACACATAACATATAGGGCCAAATAAAAAAGTGCTATTCTGAGGGCAAAGTGTTAAATGTTGAGAGACGTATTATTGGTTGTCCTTATAGTTACTTCTTATTTAGCACTTTGCACCAGAAGAGCATTTGTTTTTTATTTCAGAAATCTCGCTCACAATCTGTTATTTTAATTAATAATATAAATATTATGGTAGTTTTTCAATATTATTTTCACAGTAAGGAGGGCATAACATGTTACCTTAGCTATATATATATATATATATATCTTATACGGGCAATATTAAAATTAGACGTTTAGGTATTATTGAAGGAGTTCGGGGTTTATCCATATAGGTAAGACATGGTACTGAATGTTTACCAATGGAAAAATGGGGTCAAACAGATGTGGTGGAGAAAAAAAATCTGAATTACTTCACAGTTTATACAAAGTCACATACTCCAACAATTTACACCGGCCATGTTAGTCAATCAGGCTTAGAACTGGCTAGTGGAGCCAAGTCAGGCCTGGTCTATAAGTATAAAACACAATTATAATTCAGCGCTTATGTAAGATGATTACAGTCCAATGGCAGCTAAAACACCAAGTACAGAGTCTCTCTTGTCCGCTAAAAACTGGGTAACACAGGAGGTAGGTGCTGCACCTAAATAGTCCTTGTAACAAGAAGAAGAAATAAACAGAAGAAACTAATAGTGTAGTATGTAAAACATAAGTTTGTATATATATGATTAAAAATGTGCACTATTGAAGCTCCAAAAAAGTGTAAGTGCACATTTTTTATCATATATACACAAACTTATATTTTACATACTATTACACTATTAGCTTCTTCAGTTTTTTTCTTCTTGTCGATACATACCCCCAAATAAGGACTATTTAGGCACTGCACCTACCTCCTGTGTTACCCTGGTTGTTAATTTTAGGTTGCTACTTCAATTTTATAATGAATAATAAAATAACATATTAGTAGTACTGAGCTGGAAGCAGTCAAAAGTTAAAATGTAATGTTATTAAAATGGGTAGGCATTCTCAACCTGGCTGCAAATCTGTAGCTGCCTTGCGTTTCCCTAGCCTGTTAAAGAACCCTACACTAATTATGGTGCCAATCCCTCTAGTAAATTAGTGACATAGACGCAGAGTGTGTGTTATATTTGATAGATAGATACATACATACATACATACATACATAGATACATACATACATACATACATAGATAGACAGACTTTTAAATTAATTTTGCATTTATCAAATCACGTCGTCCCCAAAAAAATCATATCACTCTATGTTATATGGGTCTTGGTAATCCAACATGCCCCTCCCCACACCCCAACACCTTACAAATATTAGACTAAGTACAGAGCTACCAAGACCTCTGGTTAACCTTTCCTGCAGGCTGAGATCTGCATACATAGTACAGAATCGCTACATCACTAAATTGATTCTCAATTGCATGATCTGTCAATATTAGAAGGGGGGAATCTACATTGGTAACTTGTGTTTTTTTTAATCTCTCTTACTAGTGTATTGAAGCAATATCTCCTAATCTCCAGAGAGGCATCGATTGCATGTGATATGGGAGCTGTTTATTCGATGCGGTCTGTGTAATATTCACACAAACAAGATCTGTAATATACCCAGGTGGTCAGTTAAAAGTGAAAAAATATAACTCACCCTACACTGTTTTAACCTATTGGTCCCAGTTCTGTAATTCTGTCAGGAGGTAGGAAAGGACTGTCTGTCTGTTACTCACAAAGTTAATACAAATACAAAGAAACAAGTTCTGCTCTCAAACTCCCATTACTTCTGGGCGGCAGCAACGACCATAGTACACATCAGCCAAAATATATATTGTAAAAACCAAAGAAAAAAGTTACCTGTGCTCTTTCCACATCCCTATGTATTTTTAAACAAATGGAGGTTTTTAGTTACCTCCAATGGCCATGAGAGGGTATGCCCACCTGCCACGTCAAGGCAGAGCTCTTAGGTGGGTCCTAACTCTAACCATTCGCCTTGCTTCCTTGAGCTTCAGTCAAAAATATCTCTAATGAGACAGAAAGGGGTATTTTTTAGATACATTCCTACATGCTTATTAACCCTTAATAGGGAACACATGGGATGAGCAGTAGCAATGTAACCTAGCTGTGTAATACAAAAGTGAATACAAATACAAAGAAACTAGTCCTGCGCTCAAACTCCCATTACTCCTTGGCGGCAGCAACGACCATAGTACACAACAGCCAAAATACATATAGAAAAAACCACCTGCCACCCTATCACTGCTGAATAGGGGTTAAATATATTTAATTAATGAGGAAGGTTATTGACAAGTAAAATGGTAGAGATAGACAGACAGACAGACAGAGAGATAGATAGATAGACAGCTATATAGATACAGTGGCGTACATACCGCGCTAGGGTTGCAGGGGGCCTAGCTGCCCTGCGGAGCTCTGCGACCGGGTACCTGCCTCCATGTGTTGCGGCCATGGCCGGCCGCACATTCAATAGGGACCTTCGGATGGCCCATGCTGTTAGGGCCACCCAATGGAGATGAATTTCCAGGGGGCCCCAGTCAGCGCTTTAACATCGCGACTGGGCCCCCTGTGATGACATCACAGCTGGGAGGAAGTGACTGCCCATCACTCCTCCCAGCTATCAGCAAGCGCCCGCGCAGGAGGAAGGAGAGGGAGTCAGAGGGAAAGTCACCCTCCTGCACCTAAAAGGGAGAAAACAGGAGGGTGACTTAAACATTTTGTATATGTGTGTTTTTATTTGAATGTATGTGTGTATGTGTTTGTGTGACTGTCTGTGTGTGTGTGTGTGTATGTGTCTGTATGTATGTGTTTGTGTGTGTCTCTGTATGTGTATCTGTGTGTCTGTATGTGTGTATGTGTATGTGTATGTGTCTGTGTGTGTGTGTGTGTGTGTCTGTATGTATGTCTCTGTGTGTGTGTGTGTGTGTGTGTGTCTGTATGTGTGTGTGTGTGTATGTGTGTGTCTCTGTATGTATGGGTGTATGTGTCTGTATGTGTATGTGTGTCTGTCTGTATGTATGTCTGTGTGTCTGTCTGTATGTATGTATGTGTGTGTCTGTATGTATGTATGTGTCTTGTGTCTTGTGTCGTGTGTGTATATGTCTGTGTGTATGTATGTGTCTCTGTATGTATGTGTATGTATGTGTCTGTATGTTTGTATGTGTCTGTGTGTATGTATGTGTGTGTGTGTCTCTATGTATGTATGTCTCTGTGTGTATGTATGTGTGTATGTATATGTCTCTGTATGTATGTGTCTGTGTGTGTGTGTCTGTTGGGGGAAGCGGTGGAGGGGCCCATGGATCAGTTTCGAACCGGGGCCCCATGGATTGTGTGTACGTCACTGGATAGATAGATTGATAGATCGATAGATAGATAGATAGATAGATAGATATTCACTTCTTCTACTTGTACATGTAAATTACTTTTGTATTTATCAAATTACACGAGGTCACAGATGACCACACATCTACAACTATCACCTAATGAAATAAAACAGACAATAATGGACAAATCAGGATTTAACATCTAGGAAGGCACCTTGTAAAGACTTGCTAGCACCTTTTATTTTGAAAACAAATTAAGTAGTATATTCCGCAGCATTATCTTGTTCAGATCATGGAATGACATAACAAATGAATTACTCCCTAAACATAACAAAACATTTAGCAGTCTGAAATTGCAGTTACTAATTAGAGAGTGACAGTAAAGCTTTGGCAGCACTAAATACACATTTTATTCCAATGATGTATAGAAGCACTTTAGCTTGCTGAAATGCTTTATGTGTAGAGAGTATGTTCTCTTTTTTTTATTTAAATAAAGTTCAGATTTTAACAGAAATTGGCACATTTATGAATTTACCTGGTTACACCCAATTGGCTGTCAATCAGACAACCAGTCTTGTTACTTCCTGGTTGTTTATTCAGTGGGGCTAAACTCAAAAGGAATCAATTGCTCAGAACACCTGCCTTGCAAAGACTTCTCATTGAGCTGCATTAGAAGTCTGTGATTGGACAGCCACAGAAAGTCTGGACTGTGCTTAAGGAGGAGGGTTTGCCACATCTGCAGGCAAGATAGCTGCAGCCTTTGCAAGTTGTTTTTGACATATAACCCCAATGAAAAAAAATGCCTAATTAGATACATTTATGTTTTCATTTGGGGTACATATACAAACAGTTAGTTGTATTTGTTTTTTGTTATATGTGCAATGAAGTTTCCCTTTAAAGGGTCATTCCAGGCACCAATATACATTTTTAATTTGATAGGTTTCGGCCTCGCTAATGTGCTGTATTTTTTTGCATGCTCAAAAAAAAAAAAATGTTTTGCAGAATGCTGCACCATAACCCTGCTTCTTGAGCAACATCCCCTCATTCCAGAAAATGGCATCCATATCATATGAATGCACACAGCTCAGCTACTGACAGTACTGAATGATCTGAACTACAAGACAACCTGTATTCAAAGGAGAGGACACCCAGGGAGGCTTATAGTAAGAATATCACTATGTTTTTGTATTCTCTCTGACTGTCTGCAGACAGGTTGTGAATTAAAAGCAGCTCACTCACTGCAGTTGGGGCTGAGCTGTGTACACACGTTTGATAAGGAATTCTTTCTGGCATGAGGGGGCGTGGCCAAGGAGGTAGGCTTATAGTGCAGAATTCTGCAAAACATTTATTTTTTTTGTGGAAAAAACTGTAAAGATTTCAGCATGCAAAACACACAGCATAGTAATGAGACCAAAATCTATCAAATTTATTTAAAATTGCATTGTTTCCCAGCGTGTCCCTTTAAAGCTACAGGCTGGCTGTGCATTATAGGAAATATAGTTCTAAAATATCTGTGATAAGAGGAAATACATACAAAAAAACTAATGTTTACAAACCTCTAAATCTCAACACTAAACATGGAAAAGCATTCACACCACACAATAATAAACCGCAAACAACAAAGTGTTTCACTAACAAATCAACAATCTGTAAGTTTAAAGACGAAAAATCACATCCATGTGTTAAATTAATAAATCTAGTGACAGGATGGCAGAAGCAAGGATATATTACAAGAGAAACGTTTCCCAAATGAAAATAACTGGTTTAGCAAACTAACCATTTGCATTGTCTGTCTCCTAACCATGTCTTGATTAAAAACACCAACTTCAAAAAGACCTTGAATTCCCCCTCTACCCAACCCACCAGCAACAATACTGAAATACGACACAAGACCATTCACCCACATACGCATCTCCCACTCAGGGAGAAAACCCAGCAAACACAACACTACACACACACACACGCCTAAGACACTGCTGATGAGCAAAGAGTGAAGCAACCTTACTTTGGGCCTGGCAATCAGACCTGGACACCTCACAATGCAGTAAAGCCGACCTGCCAAGAACCTGATCAACATCTTAATATTTGTACTAAGGCTTTGCACCAATGACATTTGCTACGACGTACCACACAGCACCGCACTGTTTCACCAACACGCCACCTTAATGACAGACAAATTGACCCACAACTAAGCAATGCTATACTATCGTAACAAGACCCAGGTGTTTGTAGGCCTAGCCTTATATTGATACTCCTACTGTTTTACCTCTGATACCTATACCAAACTAGGATATGTGCTACAATACCAAACAATATCGTTGCATCATTATGTTGTCGCTACAAAACTCATGACTACCCTATAAGATGATGTGATACTCTCTTGCAGACATACTGCATTTTAATACTACATCAATAAACTTTGAATAAAAAAAATAAATAAAAAAAAACTAACAAAAGAAGTCAACCTCAAAATCAACAATCTCACATTTTTTAAACTATTTGGTTCGCATGAATAAATAAATTATATGTTGCTAGTTTCCCAATTCTTGTAACAAGCACACATATACAATATACAGATGATGACATGTTGATCAGCTGAGGCCAAGGCCCACCCAAGGCTGGAGGGGAAATACTGATACATGTAAATAAAACATGAGTGAATTAATTATCCACTCAATATTATCAGCAAGTTATTTAAAAAATAATAACACTACCCTCCTTTTTACCACACTTATTCTTCCCTATCTACATTATTATCTATCAAAGAAAAACACAGGTAGTACACACTTTTGCCTCATGTAACACAGAAGGTTTTATGTAATATTGTTAATGCTTAGTTCAATGTGGTTGAATGAACTATCATACATTCTGAGTTGATAGGCCCTGCGCGGCCAAGCCGTTATTTTCTAAAACTAAGACCTGCGAGTGTTACTCGTGATATGAAAATATGCTGACATAAGACTTCAATAAAGCTTTATGTGTAATGGATACGAAAAAAAAAAATAATAACAATAACCTTAGGGTTCCAAATATAAATGTACAACTTATGTTTGGATTTTGAAGTCACCCGGATGGCTGGTTCTACAGGTAAGTAACATGGGTTTAAGGAGTCTGTGTCACTGAGGAAAACCAGTTAGCAGTCACCTTATGAATACAGTGATATACATTGTGTGCTAGATTACTATTTAACACCAGCCATGCACTATACATATTAGGAGCCTCAACATTCTCCATGTAAAGGGGGCAACCAATCAGCAGTGCCTAATGATGACAACAAATGACAAAAAGTTGTCTGAGTTCTAATATATGTTAGGCACCCAAACAAGAACAAGACAAAATTAGTTGGCATATTGTCTATAATGTTTTGAACTTTACACATTATAAAACTATTACAAATCTTTTAGTTGTTTTCTCAAGTCTCTACATGTTTTATTTGAACTTTTGTATTGCTTTGCTTCATTAAAATGGTTAGAGCAGTGGTTCCCAAACTGGGTGCCATCGCACCACAACATGCACAAAGGGGTGCCGTGGAATCATAGCACAGGGGAAACATAACTGCTGAACAGGGTCCCCGGTTGGGTGCTGAGGTCCTTTAAGACTGTGACTGGGCCCCTGTGATGTCGGCCGGCTGGGAGGAAGGGACAGCCTGTCACTTCCTCCCACCTTCGTGCAGAGAGACCGTGCAGGAGGGAGAGGAGGCATCCGCAGCATGAGGGGAAGAAGCATTCCAGGAGCTGCTCTAGACCCCTCGCTCCCACCAGCGAGGAGGACTACAAGCCACCCTCCTGGACATACAAGGTAAGCTAACAGGAGGGTTGCTGGAGATATACAAAATATTGTGTGTGTGTGTGTGTGTATGAGTGCGTGTCAAGAAGTGTGTGTGTGTGTGTGTGTATGACTTGGGGTGTCTTGAAAAATTATTCAAATATTAAGGGCGCCTTGGACCTAAAAAGTTTGGCAACCACTCGGTTAGAGGGTCAGAGGGGGGGTCTGTTTTTGCCATTAGGAGTAGATGGTATATCATTTCCTTAACCCCTTAAGGACCAAACTTCTGGAATAAAATGGAATCATGACATGTCACACATGTTGTGTGTCTTTAAGGGGTTAAGGGGTTAAAATGGTGCCTGGCCAATGTACTTCTCTGTTTTATCTTTTCTTTATATATCTACTTTAATATTGTTATTGTCTGGTTATTGATTTGTTTTGTTTTTGCCTAAGTTAGCCAGTTATGTATGAGAATGGGAGAATAACATAGCTGAGGTATAGGATTCACATAAACCCACAGCTAGTGACATCATCATTCACATGAACAGGAAGCCAGTGGACACATAATTCAATGCATGTACACAAATGTGCTATTATACTTTTATGCTTATATCATTTCTACAATACAGACACCTTTATTTTTTAATTGGACTTTCCATATGCCCCAGTAATGACAATGATCATTTTTGTCCGTGGTTCTGTTATTTGTAACATTCAGCCATTGTGCTTTCTAGCTAGACAATTGTTTTGTAATGGAAACACTAGCCATATCACTGGAACTTCTTACATTAAATGTAAGTAGGCAATACTTAAACAGCAGATTTCAAGATAGCTAAAGTCTCTGGCTCGGGTGGGCTATACTTGCAGTAGATGTACCTGTCTGTGTGTGTTTTATTTGTTCAATACTTTCAATGCCTGTGTCTGTCCCTTAAGTGCTGAATACTTGAATAAAGAGTTTCTGTTTCTACGTGTTGTGTCTGTCCGGTTTTGTCTATCTCTGTTTCTATGTGTTGTGTCTGTCTGTTTTTGTCTATCTCTGTCTCTATGTGTTGTGTCTGTCTTTTTCATGGTGTGTACGTTTCTGTTAGTGGTGTATATTTGCCATAACACGTGTACATATTTATGCCTTATATGTTACATATATGCAATTTCCATTAGTTGTATCTGTTTTTCAGTGTGTTGTGTGCTTACACTAGCTGCATCTGTCTCTCCCAGTGTTGTATACTTGTACTTGTACATGTATCTCTTGAACATGGTACTCATCTCTATGTCTTTGTTCCATACATGCAATAGGTGTGTCTGTGTCACTCGGTATAAGGTATACTTCTTCTATATGTGTCAGTATCTCTGTTTGCAGCAGGTGTCTTGTCTGTCTCTATGGTGACTGCTTAAAGTACATGTATCTGTGTCTCTGTTTGGTATTTATGTCTGTCTGTGATATATATTATGCACTAGTTGTGTGTGTCACTCTGTGTTATGTATACTGTGTGTTAGTTGTGTCTGTATGTCTGTGTGTATGTAAATGTATATTGTTAGATGCTTCTCCCTCTCTTGTTATGTATATTACGCACAGGTTGTGTTTGGTTTTCATCTGTGTTATAAATACTGCGCAATAGTTGTATATTTATTTCTAGTGTACTTAGTTTGCCTTAGTTGTCTGTCTCTGTTATATATTCTACTCTGTGTGATATGCACTAATCGTGTATATATATATATATATATATATATATATATATATATATACTATGAGCTAGTTGTATGTGTGTCTCTATTATATATATATATTATACTATGTGTCTTTCTCTGAGTTTTATATTATATATTATACACTAGTTGTACATCTATCTTCTATCTCAATCTCTGTATACTATACACCAGATGAGTCTGGTTGAATCTCTGTTTGCTATATAGTGTGTTCTATGTCATTCTGTTGTATGTATACTACATACCAGTTGTGTCTGTCTTTACGTGTTGTATATACTTTATACCAGATCTGTGTTATATACACATTACACTAGCTGTGCTACATAGTGTATACTCTAGATCTGCTGTTGAACTCCAGACACAATTTAACTACAAATTAATTTGACTGTTAACTACAGAAATCCTGAGTCTCTGGCAGCATTAAAACCTTTGAAGACAATGTTAAACTCCCTTCACAAAACAGATGCTGCAAAAACAGTATTGTGCTAAAATAAATAAATATAATAGAAAGGGGTTAGAAATAATGTTTTTTATAAGCAACTGACGTATTTTGATATATTGTGTTTTTCATTATTCCAATATCCAACCTTTCATAGATTACTAAATGACCCAATCCTCCTCACATACAGACACTCTTCCCAGTGTTTAGCAATGAATCTATCTAGAGTTTAGTGTTACTGTTACTAAGCACAGCAGACTATAACAAAACTCTAAAACAGAACCCCTAACAAACAAACCTAGCACGTGTTTCCAGGGGATTCAATCTCTATACAAGAGCCAGTTAGTCAAAATACATAGCAGGAGTACATTGTAAGTGGGCAGGAAAACTGTATGGATTCCATCCAAATATGTTTTGATGAATGGAAGTCTATTCTCCTAACAGGACGGGGTTTATTCAATAAGTGATCAAGCTGCTCACACACTGGGTTATTTAGTAAGGTGAGAATTTAAAGTGGATTTCAAGTGTAAGGCTAATCTAGCAGAATTGGAATAAATCACTTAAGTGAGAATTCAATGTGAATCCAAAGTCAATTTCAAATTTAGTCCAAGATAGTCCAATGAGGACAAAGAAAATCATAACGAGCTATTTGTACTTGGCCTATTTTGGCCACTCAGAATTCACTTTATTTCCCCAACAATTCCCATCTACTAATTGTCGCAGCTGAAGGTGGAAAATTCATTATCTCAGCCAAGGTGAGCATTGATTTGTGTATTCATTTTATTTTTTTACATTGGCTTTATTACTTCCATGTAAATCTCCAATCCTACACAGCTAACTGAGGAACTTAGCTGAACTTGACATTTGTGCTAAAGTAGCCCCATCTTGGTGGAGAGGACAGTGGGATGTTAGTAACAAACTTGGTTTTATTTACTAAAGTGAGGATTCAAAGTTAATTTTAAATTTAAGTCTAAAATTGTTGAACTGGAAAAATTATTTGTCAATTAGGCTTTCAGTTTGACTGCTCTGGCCTTAATTTTGAAATTCCCTTTAACCCCTTAAGGACCAAACTTCTGGAATAAAAGGGAATCAAACTTAGTAAATAATTGTAAATGTTACAGTAGCAGGAATGGCTGAAGCACGGTAGACTACAGTAAGTGTAAGTGTTACAGTAGCAGGAATGGCTGAAGCACGGTAGAATACAGTAAGTGTAAATGTTACAGTAGCAGGAATGGCTGAGGCACGGTAGAATACAGTAAGTGTAAATGTTACAGTAGCAGGAATGGCTGAGGCACGGTAGAATACAGTAAGTGTAAATGTTACAGCAGCAGGAATGGCTGAGGCACGGTAGAATACAGTAAGTGTAAATGTTACAGTAGCAGGAATGGCTGAGGCACGGTAGAATACAGTAAGTGTAAATGTTACAGCTGCAGGAATGGCTGAGGCGCGGTAGAATACAGTAAGTGTAAATGTTACAGCAGCAGGAATGGCTGAGGCGCGGTAGAATACAGTAAGTGTAAATGTTACAGTAGCAGGAATGGCTGAGGCACGGTAGAATACAGTAAGTGTAAATGTTGCAGCAGCAGGAATGGCTGAAGTATGGTAGAATACAGTAAGTGTAAATGTTACAGCAGCAGGAATGGCTGAGGCACGGTAGAATACAGTAAGTGTAAATGTTGCAGCAGCAGGAATGGCTGAAGTACGGTAGAATACAGTAAGTGTAAATGTTGCAGCAGCAGGAATGGCTGAAGCATGGTAGAATACAGTAAGTGTAAATGTTGCAGCAGCAGGAATGGCTGAAGTATGGTAGAATACAGTAAGTGTAAATGTTACAGCTGCAGGAATGGCTGAGGCACGGTAGAACAGTGAGATACAGTAAGTGTAAATGTTACAGCTGCAGGGAATGGCTGATGCGGTAGAATACAGTAAGTAAATGTTACATGACTTAGGAATGGGCTGAGGGGCAGTGGGAATACAGTAAGTGTAAATGTTGCAATTAGCAGAGATGGCTGGGGGCGCGGTGGGAATACAGTAAGTGTAAATGTTACAGTACTTGGGAATGGCTGGAGGTATGAGGTAGAATACAGTAAGTGTAAATGTTGCAGTAGCAGGAATGGCTGAGGCACGGTAGAATACAGTAAGTGTAAATGTTGCAGCAGCAGGAATGGCTGAGGCACGGTAGAATACAGTAAGTGTAAATGTTGCAGCAGCAGGAATGGCTGAAGTATGGTAGAATACAGTAAGTGTAAATGTTACAGTAGCAGGAATGGCTGAAGTATGGTAGAATACAGTAAGTGTAAATGTTACAGCAGCAGGAATGGCTGAAGTATGGTAGAATACTGTAAGTGTAAATGTTACAGTAGCAGGAATGGCTGAGGCACGGTAGAATACAGTAAGTGTAAATGTTGCAGCAGCAGGAATGGCTGAAGCACGGTAGAATACAGTAAGTGTAAATGTTGCAGCAGCAGGAATGGCTGAAGCACGGTAGAATACAGTAAGTGTAAATGTTACAGCTGCAGGAATGGCTGAGGCGCGGTAGAATACAGTAAGTGTAAATGTTACAGTAGCAGGAATGGCTGAGGCACGGTAGAATACAGTAAGTGTAAATGTTGCAGCAGCAGGAATGGCTGAAGTATGGTAGAATACAGTAAGTGTAAATGTTACAGTAGCAGGAATGGCTGAGGCACGGTAGAATACAGTAAGTGTAAATGTTGCAGCAGCAGGAATGGCTGAGGCACGGTAGAATACAGTAAGTGTAAATGTTGCAGCAGCAGGAATGGCTGAGGCACGGTAGAATACAGTAAGTGTAAATGTTACAGTAGCAGGAATGGCTGAGGCACGGTAGAATACAGTAAGTGTAAATGTTACAGCAGCAGGAATGGCTGAGGCACGGTAGAATACAGTAAGTGTAAATGTTACAGCTGCAGGAATGGCTGAGGCGCGGTAGAATACAGTAAGTGTAAATGTTACAGCAGCAGGAATGGCTGAGGCGCGGTAGAATACAGTAAGTGTAAATGTTACAGTAGCAGGAATGGCTGAGGCGCGGTAGAATACAGTAAGTGTAAATGTTACAGTAGCAGGAATGGCTGAAGTATGGTAGAATACAGTAAGTGTAAATGTTGCAGCAGCAGGAATGGCTGAGGCACGGTAGAATACAGTAAGTGTAAATGTTACAGTAGCAGGAATGGCTGAGGCACGGTAGAATACAGTAAGTGTAAATGTTGCAGCAGCAGGAATGGCTGAAGTATGGTAGAATACAGTAAGTGTAAATGTTACAGTAGCAGGAATGGCTGAAGTATGGTAGAATACAGTAAGTGTAAATGTTACAGCAGCAGGAATGGCTGAAGTATGGTAGAATACTGTAAGTGTAAATGTTACAGTAGCAGGAATGGCTGAGGCACGGTAGAATACAGTAAGTGTAAATGTTGCAGCAGCAGGAATGGCTGAAGCACGGTAGAATACAGTAAGTGTAAATGTTGCAGCAGCAGGAATGGCTGAAGCACGGTAGAATACAGTAAGTGTAAATGTTACAGCTGCAGGAATGGCTGAGGCGCGGTAGAATACAGTAAGTGTAAATGTTACAGTAGCAGGAATGGCTGAGGCACGGTAGAATACAGTAAGTGTAAATGTTGCAGCAGCAGGAATGGCTGAAGTATGGTAGAATACAGTAAGTGTAAATGTTGCAGCAGCAGGAATGGCTGAAGCACGGTAGAATACAGTAAGTGTAAATGTTACAGTAGCAGGAATGACGGCACGGTAGAATTAGTAAATTAAATATTTACAGTAGCAGGAATGGCTGAGGCACGGTAGAATACAGTAAATTAATACCGTATTACAGTAGCAGGAATGGCTGAGAGCACGGTAGAAGATACAGTAAGTGTAAATGTTGCAGTAGCAGGAATGGCTGAGGCACGGTAGAATACAGTAAGTGTAAATGTTGCAGCAGCAGGAATGGCTGAAGTACGGTAGAATACAGTAAGTGTAAATGTTGCAGCAGCAGGAATGGCTGAAGTATGGTAGAATACAGTAAGTGTAAATGTTACAGTAGCAGGAATGGCTGAAGTATGGTAGAATACAGTAAGTGTAAATGTTACAGTAGCAGGAATGGCTAAGGCAAGGTAGAATACAGTAAGTGTAAATGTTACAGTAGCAGGAATGGCTAAGGCAAGGTAGAATACAGTAAGTGTAAATGTTGCAGCAGCAGGAATGGCTGAGGCACGGTAGAATACAGTAAGTGTAAATGTTGCAGCAGCAGGAATGGCTGAAGTATGGTAGAATACAGTAAGTGTAAATGTTACAGTAGCAGGAATGGCTGAGGCACGGTAGAATACAGTAAGTGTAAATGTTGCAGCAGCAGGAATGGCTGAGGCACGGTAGAATACAGTAAGTGTAAATGTTGCAGCAGCAGGAATGGCTGAGGCACGGTAGAATACAGTAAGTGTAAATGTTGCAGCAGCAGGAATGGCTGAAGTATGGTAGAATACAGTAAGTGTAAATGTTACAGCAGCAGGAATGGCTGAGGCACGGTAGAATACAGTAAGTGTAAATGTTGCAGCAGCAGGAATGGCTGAAGTACGGTAGAATACAGTAAGTGTAAATGTTGCAGCAGCAGGAATGGCTGAAGTATGGTAGAATACAGTAAGTGTAAATGTTGCAGCAGCAGGAATGGCTGAAGTATGGTAGAATACAGTAAGTGTAAATGTTGCAGCAGCAGGAATGGCTGAGGCACGGTAGAATACAGTAAGTGTAAATGTTGCAGTAGCAGGAATGGCTGAGGCACGGTAGAATACAGTAAGTGTAAATGTTACAGTAGCAGGAATGGCTGAGGCACGGTAGAATACAGTAAGTGTAAATGTTACAGCAGCAGGAATGGCTGAGGCACGGTAGAATACAGTAAGTGTAAATGTTACAGTAGCAGGAATGGCTAAGGCAAGGTAGAATACAGTAAGTGTAAATGTTACAGTAGCAGGAATGGCTGAGGCACGGTAGAATACAGTAAGTGTAAATGTTGCAGCAGCAGGAATGGCTGAAGTATGGTAGAATACAGTAAGTGTAAATGTTACAGTAGCAGGAATGGCTGAGGCACGGTAGAATACAGTAAGTGTAAATGTTACAGTAGCAGGAATGGCTGAAGTATGGTAGAATACAGTAAGTGTAAATGTTACAGTAGCAGGAATGGCTAAGGCACGGTAGAATACAGTAAGTGTAAATGTTGCAGCAGCAGGAATGGCTGAAGTATGGTAGAATACAGTAAGTGTAAATGTTGCAGCAGCAGGAATGGCTGAGGCACGGTAGAATACAGTAAGTGTAAATGTTACAGCAGCAGGAATGGCTGAAGTATGGTAGAATACAGTAAGTGTAAATGTTACAGCAGCAGGAATGGCTGAGGCACGGTAGAATACAGTAAGTGTAAATGTTACAGTAGCAGGAATGGCTGAGGCACGGTAGAATACAGTAAGTGTAAATGTTACAGTAGCAGGAATGGCTGAGGCACGGTAGAATACAGTAAGTGTAAATGTTGCAGCAGCAGGAATGGCTGAAGTATGGTAGAATACAGTAAGTGTAAATGTTACAGTAGCAGGAATGGCTGAAGCATGGTAGAATACAGTAAGTGTAAATGTTACAGCAGCAGGAATGGCTGAAGCATGGTAGAATACAGTAAGTGTAAATGTTACAGTAGCAGGAATGGCTGAGGCACGGTAGAATACAGTAAGTGTAAATGTTACAGTAGCAGGAATGGCTGAGGCACGGTAGAATACAGTAAGTGTAAATGTTACAGTAGCAGGAATGGCTGAAGTATGGTAGAATACAGTAAGTGTAAATGTTGCAGCAGCAGGAATGGCTGAAGTATGGTAGAATACAGTTGCAGTGGTAAATGAGACACCTAGGCAAGCAGGCTTAATGTATTGTGCCAAAACTCAGAGAGCTCTCATAATAACCACCAATCTATGTGAAAATGAGACCCCTGATTAGTAAACAGCTTTCATCATTGCAAGAGGGCTCACATTAAGCTTAATACTACGCTGGATTTAATTAAATACAAGAGGGCCAGTCTCTCCCTAATGGATAGTTTAAAATAGGAAGCCAGGAGGAAAAAACACATTTCCGAAATGAATAAATCTTGTCGTTTAACCACTTGTAAACTGCCCCTTGCAGACGGAAATGTAAAGGTAAATGTTAGTTACTAGACCTCCTGATCATGTCCTTGCTTGTTGCTGCAATAATGATAAAGCATTGGCATTATTCCCAGACACTTAAAAATGAGATTACCAGGTGGTAAATGAACTGTGTCTCACAGCACTTACTAAACACAAGGGCACATTGTGATATGGATACAGACCTAGGGATCTAACACTGATATCACGCTGATCAAATGGGGAGATAGGAAGGGGGAGAGGAGGAGATGGGAGAGGGGGAATGGAGAGGAGGGGGTTAAAAAGGGAGAAGAGAAAAATTAATGAACAGGGAGAAAAATATATTAGAAGGAGATGAGAGGGATGTAAATTAAAATCGTTTGTAGGGGAAGAGACATAGGGAGATACAGGGGGATTAGGAGAGGGGACCAGACATTGTAGTCTTGTAAAAATAAGAGAGAGTCTAAATGAGAAAAGGCATGAGCAAATTGTATGAATTACAGAGAGAGGGTTATGAAATAGTGAGGGTGACATATAGAGGTACATAAAGGAGGGAGGGGGTATTTTGGGGAAATAGAATTAGAAGAAGAGTTAGTATCTAGACAGATGCATTATTATGGAAATTGTAGTAATTGTAGTAATGCAATGTATATATATATATATACACACACATTACATTACTACAATTTCAATAATAATACACACAATATATATATACATATATATACACACACACACACATATACATTTGTTTGGTATCATTAAATCAGTTTTTAATCAGTCTTACAATACTTTACTTTTTACCATTTGGACATAATGTTGAAACTTTGCTTTGATGTCATTTTGAGAGGTGCTTTGAGCCATCTAACCCACTAAGTACCAGGTGAGCACTTATTATTAAATCCTGTTTGGTGGGACCCACAGCACCCTGTAACAGTGTTAGTAAGGCAATAAGGAAACTCTAAGTGTACAGCTTTGTGATAACACCTTATCAGAGCAAGTACCTACCATGTCACAATAAGTGCCTGTCTGGTGTCAAATCAGCCTTCCTGCTGACCAGTAGTATAGCTCCTTGAAATTTTACCCGATATGTCCCACTAATTAAGGAACCGATCTATTACTAAACTTACTTTACTAAAAAGTTGGTTCAGTGTTCGGTAGACCGAATTAAAAAAACAAATCCAGTTCGCTTCAACATAGTAAATAAACCTATCAGTAATCCTTGCTGTATCCCCAGGATACCGAAAAAGAACTCTTGTAAAATCACAAGGAGTTCTGTCTAATACACACCAAGCGTTTCGGCAACCGAATGAACCGAATTGACCAGTTTTATCACAACACCGCAGTTTACTGTTAAAGTTAAAGGACCCCTTTTTTTACAGGAAAATATCTTAATGACCAAAGAAAATAGTAAAAATGATATAACGATAGAATCTTACTTTTTACTCTCTGAAATGTGTCTCAATGAAAGGAATTTCTCATTTAGTTTTTATTTATTTATTTTCCTTTTAGATTTTACATCATGAACACATATATTGGTACAATGGTACAACCTTCCATAGTGTTACACAGTGTGATGTACAAAGGGTGTGTTTGTGTACAATTTGGTTTGTTTGTGTTGGATGTATTATTTCGTTGCTATGTAATTTTCCACATGTAACACATCTTTCTCCAAATATTGTTCTATTATTTTATTTGAATAAACAGATCCTCAACAATTATCTCTTTTGCTTGCAAACAACACACTCAGCATCCTGCTTATTTGAAAACAAACACTTCCTGGTGTTTTCACAAGTACATATCTTTGTCATTTTACAAATTATTTTGATTGCAAAGAAATCAATGATCTGCGGAGATAGTTATTTTTTCCCTCTAAACATTAATCGTTAGGGAATTACCATATTTGATTTAGACTGTCTCACATCAACCTTTTTTGTGTAAGTCTTTTATGAAGCTGAAACATTGTAACATCTTAGTAAAGAATTGAACGATGAAATTGTTCCCCATGAGATATGTATATTACTGGAAAGATATGGTTTGGAATAGAGTTGATAAGTTAATAGGTATTTCATTTGTAGTATGGCATGAGACATATGTTTTATCTATTTATAGAGAACAACATGCATATTGGCTTAAACTCAATATATAGAGGATTATGGGACATGTAGTCCAAAAACAGTTACATTTTCACAGTACATTCATAATTTACCTGTAACTTGAGCTGCAATATACAAACTGCTTAGTAAATGGATATTTCGAAAAATTTCCATAGCTCCAATGATTGTTGACCACCCAATGGTGTTCTGGATTTTCACTCTTAGGGTCTTATTCACTTAACTGCGAATCAGCGAGATGTGGGCAGTTCACAGACCACTTGGAGAATGTATGCTAAAATATTACATTGTAGTAACATAGTATAAATTAATAGCAAGATTTTGTTCTAATTAACTGATCTATTTAACAATTGAGTCATTATAAACTACATTTTGAAAGTTGGATGTGAATTCTCGACTTTAGTGAATAGGTCTGCTTGATTCATGGCCTAGGAAGTGTCAGCCCATCAGACAACTTGTGAAACCATCCTCTCTCTGAGCTACAATAGCTGTTACTCTGCATCTATTGTCAAGATAGGGTATACATGAACACAGGCTCAATAACTAAAATGAAAATTTAAAGTGAATTTCAAATTTAAGGCCTCAGTAGCCAAACTGAAAGCATTGCTGGCCTTGATAATATTTCTAGTTCGACGATTTAAACCCTAAATTCACTTCGAATTCACTTCAAATGTTTCCTCTAGATTATAACAATGAATGTGAATAGGAAAGATATTTTGATAAACACTGGATAACAGTGTAGCAGTTGTGCTAAGTGTAACTGTGTGAATTATTGGTCTCTTTCCATTTTTTATCACATGTATCAATTAAATGTAGTTTAATATGTGGTTGCGTGACTATATACTAAGTCTGCGTCCAACTTGTACACCGTCACCCAGTCATAAGAGCTTACCGTGGGAGAAAGGAATCTACCCTGGAGATCTCTATAAGATGGCCTAAACAGAAATCAAATATCTTTTGTAAATATGCATATATCGCTGTGGGCCTTAACTTTAGCCTTGTACTGAGGGAAAGGAGAAAGAACGAAAGAAGAAAGAGAAAGTCATATATGTATAAACAAACCTTATTTACTATCTATATATTTATCTATTGGTCTTTCTATCTAGCTATCTATCTATCTCTCTCTCTCTGTCTGTCTATCTATCTATCTATCTATCTATCTATCTCTATCTCTCTCTCTCTCTGTCTGTCTATCTATCTATCTATCTCTCTGTCTGTCTGTCTATCTGTCTGTCTGTCTATTTCTATCTCTATCTCTCTCTATCTATTTATTTCTATCTCTATCTGTCTGTCGGTCTGTCTGTCTATTTCTTTCTATCTCTGTCTGTCTGTCGGTCTGTCTATTTCTTTCTATCTCTGTGTGTCTGTCGGTCTGCCTGTCTGTCTGTGTCTGTCTGACTTTATCTTGGGACAGTGGGTGTTTGCTCGTCTCCATGCTATTAGCTTTGATGTGCATTTGGCCTCAAACCATAAAGGAAATATCTAAAGTATTTACAGCAGTCTTCAAAAAGAAGAACCCGTTTGTGGGATTGATCACACTAGTCCAGACTGGGAGCACACCTGAAGATCTCCCTCTGATTAGGTGAAGGAGAGGAGAAGTACCATAACTGCCTCATGTACACGGTAAGCCCTGTGACTGTACATAGAACTTTACTTTCCCAAATATTAACATATTACACTGGAAAACAGGCTTTATTTATCGAGTGATCGTAACGTTGTGATACAAGAGCTTATTCACTAAACACTGAGTTGTGGTAACCTGGGCACCGTCTTACCAGCTCTAGGAAAACATTGCTGATTTGAAAAATTCTGCTAAGGTGTTTTTTGTTTTTCTTTAACTGTCTATTTTTTTAAAATTAGTTTTTAAAGTCTACTCTCAAGTCTCTACAACTTATCACTTTGCAATCAGGCCCCAATGCCAACACACCCCAGCTTGTAGTTTAACCCCTGCACAATTCACCTTCATTTCAGTACTCCCAAATAGATCGTGAGCTCTTGGGAACAGTGCTCTCTATTCCTTCTGCTTACATTATGTAATGTCAGTACTACAAAGTGTATCAATATATGTAGGTTGTATTAATAATAAAAAGTGTATGTAGCATGTTAAAAAAACAACAACAATAAAATGTAACTTTTAAAAGACATGTTATGTTAGATGGTAATGATTGGTCGTTTTGATTAAATGGACTTTGCTGAAGTCTAACTGAAACACCCCATCTCACGATGTTTGGGTATCATACCTGTCAAGACCAGGTAGCCAAGGGTTAAATGTCTAGGCTCTTTGGTTGGGGAACTCTACATAACATTGCGCATGCACTTTACAGTCACTAACTTTCTCCATCAGAAACAAACTTTTTAAATCCTGTACCTCCAAATAATCCCACACAGAGCCTCCGACCAGGATTAAAAAAATACACCCCACGTTTTCACGATCACCCTGCCTTGTACACAGCCAAAATAACCTGGAAATCACCATGCTTCCTGTTCCTTTAAGAATGGAGCCATATCCAATCGAATTAACTCATTCGATTCTATAATGTAGCCAGTCTTTGTCTATAGAAACACAATATTTCAATTCTAAGAACACCAAGACAATAACCTCAAAAGTTAAATACATAAACACAGCACAACACAAGATAAAGGCTATAAAAAAAAATATTAACTTTAACTTTACCTTAAAGAGATCTGAACAGATTTCACAGGAATAAAAAAAAAAGAATGAAGTTTCTGTACTTGCCTGAGGACCTTGTAGCAGATGAGCCCTTCCCTGACAGTTTTCTGAAGGCGAAGTAATCCACACTAACTGCCTTGTCCCACTGTCCCAGCATTAAAGAGCCCTAGCAGCTGCGATGGTGGACAGTTAACATTATATATGATGTAAATACATTGTAGCATTGTCAGCTCCCCCAAACCATAAAACTTAGTTTAATGACATCACGTGCTCAAAGAGAACCATTCAGGGCCTTTGCTTAGGGCCATTCACATAAATAACGTTCAAAACTTTTAAACTACTAAATTCACATAGAAGGCAGGACTATTAGCGATAATGTTCTCTCTTACACAAAATGTCCCTTAAAGACAGGGGCTCCATATTATTTTATTAACCATTTTCCTAAATAAGGTTGACTAATATACAGGTCACAGTTTGTACAGGAAAGGTAAGTGATTTTCCCTATAAAGTATGTTGTTGTGCTTATTTTAGACACATGTGGGTAAAATGCTGTGAGAGTAAAGCTTGCCGAGGCTGGTGAATAATTCAGTTTGGGTGTGTGTGTCACTGTAAGCAGGGGTACAGTGTGTGTGCGTGACGTCACTTACATATAGCACATAGTGTGTATTTTAGGGACGTGGGTGATTGATTTGCACCTATTATTCAATCTGGCAACTCTATTTTTTAGACGTTGGCTTATTCACTAAACATTTAGTCTTAATGACTTAAGAACAGTCTTGCTAAAATAACTGAATTGGATAAAATCACTGTCACTGTCAATTTTGGATAAAATTCTCCGATTTAGCTTTTTTTATTTAAAACAGCTCACCATTTACCGAATAGAACCCTGCATAGCAATGTATTAATTGGGGGAAATGGTCACTTTAGTTTAAACCGAAATATTATGCGACATATTGGGGCTGTTTCAGATATTTCTATGTTGTTGGTTTTTTTAAAGAAAAAATATTGGTATATCAATACACTGATATTATTAGTTGTTCAACGTGCATTGGAGGTAGCACAATTACGTGTGCATTTGAGTGTTCGTGTATTTGTTTCTGTGTGTATGTGTGTGGTGTTTGTATTTAAAGTCTCATTTAAATGGTCATACTTTAAATGCAGTATTATGTATATGTGTGTGTGTGTGTGTTTGTGTGTGTGTGTGCTTGTGTGTGTGTATGGGGATGTGTCTGTGTGTATGTATGCATATCACAGGTAAGAGGTAAAAGAGATGTTTGTTGGTATAATAAGATTAGTAATATACATAAACAATCTTCCCAATTCCACCTGATGGCTGTAAGAGACCAATAAAAATCTTAGCAGTTCAGAAAACTGATATTTTAACAATCCCTGATCAAAAGATAGAGCAACAACTATCTCCTGAATAGCATGTATCTTCAAAGGGACATTTGGCTCCCAATATCAGGAAGCTCTTCTTTTGTCTGCAACATGTAACGGAAGTGCCATAAAGTTTTATAGAACCCTTAACTCATTCCCAGCCTACTGTAAATAGTTGCAAGGCTAGATCACAGATAACAGGAATGGGTAATTTTCTCAAGACCTCTCTGAGCAGTTCTAGAGTTAAATTATACACATCAAAGGGACCAGTTACTTTTTCTTGTTTTTTTTCTTTCTTTCTTTTTTTTTTAAAGTCTTTTAGTTGTTTTAAAGTTAAGGCTAACATGCAGTGTAGGCATCATATTGGTAGAAGTCTGTCGATACGAGATTTCCAGATTATAGCTTTTACAGGTATGTTTTTCATTTTCTAAGACTCAAAATGCTAAACGATTTCCATTAGCAAATTTGTAACCAACATTGGGGATTATATGCTTGTCTTTGATATAGATTTATGTGTAGCTTATCCCATATAGGTTTCAGATACAATTTCAGGAGGCTTGGGTCTAGCTTTTTTGGGGGAGTCTAATTGTTTGAGGACTATATATTTGATCCTTGGTGTAGAACAACTCATAAGGTGTACTCAAATCTGTTCCAATTAACTAAATTTAAGTATAAAAATATATTTCAAATGTATAGGTACTAGTTATTTTGGAGAAACTGATGGCTATCTGATTCTATAGGGCCAATCCCCTTCTATTTTGTGGGTGGTTAAAACAGATATGCTTAATTAAAAGTTAAAGACAAAATATTACATAATATAGACAAACACACCTTTGCAACATCACGTGTCACTGCCTGGGATCAGGACAAGGAAATATAGAATTTAAATTGAGATATACTGGCAAAACTGCAGTCAGCTTGCTAGTCTTATTAGAAATAAACACAATTGAACATTACACCCTGGCTCACATGTTATATTACTTGCTGTTTATTCAATATGACAAAATATAGGTTTCATGATTTCTCACATATGAAAAAAGCAACCAATAAATATATGAAGTACATTATCCAATAAAATTGACTAAAAAGGATTATATTAAAACAATGACGTACAAATTGGCTTTATACATTTCAGCATTAATTACGCGAAAAAAATAAAATAAATTACACATTAAAACAAAGTCTGCCTTTTACTGTTTTTTTTTCTTATTTTTTTTCATATTTTTTTCTTTTTCTTTCCATCATGCCAAAATGCTATACACAAACACTTTTTTTTTTTTTGTTATTTTACAGAGTATATTAAAGTGTCTGGAGGGATAAACTTAAAAGAGTTTCCAAAGTGGGTACATTTGCCCCCTAAGTAATCTTTAAATATAAACATTATCTAGTATGATGCAAAGTCATTTCATTGTGTCTTGTCATTTGCAAAAGACTATACAAGTGCTCTGGGCAAACCAATTGGTATTTTTTTTTTTTTTAATCCCCCTACTCCACTGAGTCTGTCCTATTCTTTATTTTACAATCCAGGAAGTTTACTGTTCGGATCCTATTTATGATTTTCTTTTCTTATTATTTTCATAGCTAGCCATTTACCAAAGATATGAGTCCAGTCCTTATAGGCATCATATAATACAGCCACACTTTCTCTGCCCTTTTCAACCTAGTATCCCAATTAGCATTTTTTTCGCTGAAGAACTTTCCTTGACCCTGCACAGCTTGCAAGCCTACTACAATGGGGGCTTGCACAAATAAACAGGGGGCTAACTCCCTATACACTTTTTCACAGTTTTACCTTTACACGAAATCGTAAAAATAGAACACTTAAAGGGACAAGAGACTGTTCTATACATTATCTTGCTTTGAAAAGTTATGAGCGAGTGTCATAATTTAGATAAAGAGGGTTATAGCAGGAAAGACTTAGAATCCCTACTGTCGTTTCCCAATCTCATCACCCCCCTCAAACAAAATGATAAAGTTTCAATATTTGGGTGTAATAAAACTTAGATATGGACTATGTTCCTCCCCAGATTCGCCTTTGTTTTTTCTTGTTACATAGAGTCTTTGCTTTTCACTTTAGAATCTTTTTTCCATTTCATTCTTCGGTTTTGAAACCAAATCTTGATTTGCCTTTCGTTTAGACAGAGGTTATTCGCTATCTCTATGCGCCTTCGGCGGGTCAGGTATCGGTTAAAATGGAATTCTTTCTCTAACTCCAGGGTCTGGTACCGAGTGTAACTTGTCCTAGAACGTTTTCCGTCCGTTTCTGGATACAAGGAAGTATGGAAGTGAGGGGGAAAAAATATTATTATAAATGTAGCTTAACACGTAAAAAGTCAAGTCAAAACTATAATAATTCCCCCCAAAAGGTCTATAAATTCTCAGCCCATTCACAGAATATAAAAGCAAACATTACACACAGCGCAAAGTAGCAAGTCTAGTAAATAAAAACATAATAAATATAACATCTATATAGGTACATAGACCAAGTTATATCGTAAATTAATTCAATACATCCCACACAATATACGTATATTAAGCAGATCATTTTTTTTTTTTAAAGGCTCAGTTGTGTTCTACATATAACAAACACTCCAAAAAATAAATGAAGAAAATAAAACAACAAGGCAAAATATAAAGTTAATAAAGTGAGCTAGTGCATAAATAGGGATGCATTTAAAGTGATATTGTTTTATATGAATATGTACAATGCCTACTAGAAGGCGTTTTACTTCTAAGGAAAGTACTAAAGCAAGTCTGTATGCAAAAAGTTGTTGTTTTGTATTTTTTTTTTTTATTTCATTTTTTTTTGCCCCCCTTTTTTTTCCCCCCAAAAAATGGAATTATCGCCTTTTTTCTGCGCGTTTTGTTTCTATGATCCAATTATGCTGTCATAAATTTGAACGTCTATAGCCTCTAAGCCTTTTAGTGGACAGTTTTACGAGCAATTGATGCCTTAGTCGTAAAATTTACGACCTCGGGTTTTTTTTTATTATTTGCCCCGTATGGCCTATAAAAACCAATGCAGAAAAAAAAAAAAAGACGAAAAAAACCCCCTATGAAACAAAACGAAGAAGTGAAAGTTTACCATGGCTCATGTGTAGTTTGGTCATCCAAGGATATATTTGTGGTGGCTGTTGTTGCTGCTGTTGTTGTTGCTGCTGCTGCTGCTGCTGTGGTGTAGCTGCTGTGACTTGCTGCTGACCTGCTTGAGAAGTTGTTTGTATCGGTTCTGCTTTGATGTTCTCAAGTCCCTTAGATCTCTCCTCCAGCGAAGTGCTCCCAGTTTTGTAAATCCCAGGGCTGAGGCTACTGTGCTCTCCTCTACCCAGAGAAGATCCCATAACTGTACAGGAGGGCCGCTCAGAGTTAGGAGTGGGATTTGAAGGCATGTCCAGACCGTTCAGAGAGTTAGATGAACCAGGAGAAGGGAATGCAATACTCAGATCCAGCCCACTGTAGCAATACCTGGATGAAGGGACTTCGGGTACAGATCCATAATTCCCATAACTTTGCATTGAATAGGCAGGAACATTTTGACTTTGCTTATAAAATGAGTTGGCTACGTAAGAGCTCATAGCTGATTATTGTTGTTATTAATATTGTTATATATTTTTTTTCCACTATATATATATATATATATATTATTATTATTTTGCACCCTTTGATTATGCTTGATTTGTGGCCCTTTGAAGTTCAGGGGGTTTTGTTCTCTAAAGTGCAGAATTTATAGCTGGGGAATCCTGTTTCTTTATTCTATGTGCTCTGCCCAAATATGGGATGTTTAAATAGAATCACGTGACTCTGTTGGCCAGTCATAAATTTGGCTTGATGACCCCAGGAGGTTATTGATGGAATCCTGTGAAACGTATCTGATATGTTGGCAGAACAAACTGAAGGCCCCCAAGTACATAAAAAAAGACAATGAGCCCACAGCGTCACCTGGTGCCAATATGGTAGTAAAGCGCCTGTTAAATATGGCTGCAGTCTACTCTACGCCACCATTGGTGTGTGATAGGTCAACAGATAATGACAATTACCCGCATTATTTTTTTAATAAACCTGGTAACATGGGATTTTAAAAAATAATAACACCTGACCTTATTTTGAAACGCTTTTAATAGTTACAAAATGTCCCTCCAAGTTACCCCTCCCCTTTTTATTTGAATTTTTTTAATTCTTTTAGGACACACATTGTGCATTTTATTTCACTTCTACCTCGTCTGCAAGTGAAAGCTCTTGTCTTTTTAATAAATCCCTTTATGGTCTTTAGATAAGTATATTAATTTGTGTGAGATGGACTGTGATTAGTTGATGGGCCAGATTGCTGCTAATCGTGAATAAATCTATGTATCAAAGTCTCTAGTGTGAGAATAGCTTGCTGTATGAAAGTAACAATGAAGGTTATCCATCAGATCTAATGCACCATATTTCTGTGGCCCCCTTCTTACATGTAAATGCAGGGGATCTGATAAGAATAGAGCACGTGTTGAAGTGGGTGCCAGGCTTCGTGTCTGCCTTTGTTCACTTTGGGTTTTTTTAAAAAAGGTTTTTTTCTTGGTCTGGTCCTTGAAATGCAGATCTCTTATCTAGTCTAAAATCTCCCAAACATGCGTGTTCAAAAAATGTTTGTGTTTTGATCACTGCAGTGAAAGTCCTGCTCTCTCTCGGTGTTTGTCTTGCTTGAGAGATCATACAGAACTAATTTATTCTTCAAAATTCTATAGTGTTTTGGTAGGGTTCCATTCTGTTCTTACTCTATACAAATATACATGCTTCCCTATATCGCTATTTTAACACAGAGGACATTTTTATAATTAGTTTTTTTATTTTCATTTTGTTTTTATCTTTCCTTTTTTTTAATCTACAAATAAAAATAGCACATTCTGAGAGATGGGAGAGTTGCTTGTACAAGTTATAGATAAAATAATTTAATATTTCCCCATTCTTTCTTTAATGTAAACAATTATGTACCCAGAAAAATTACAAATTTAGGAAAATTAAATGGAGCTCTGAAGGTTATTCGTGGTTTATAAAGCGACTGTACAGCATTTTTATTTTTAATTTTTTTAGTAAATTAGCACTTCTTTGCAATATATAGATGAAAAATGAACTCTCACGTGGAATCTCTTAGTTTTGCTACAATGTATTTACAGTAAGGGAAATAAAAGGCTAGATAATAATAATGCTTAATATTTGCATGATACGCTTCGTTTAACTTTGTCATATAGAAAGGCAGTGTGTGGTCTATTGTCAAATGCTACTGTTTAAATAATATAGTGCAAATAGATGTGTTTTACAGTGAGCTTTAACTATATTATTTATGATGATTATTTTATATATAGAGAGAAAGAGAGAAATAACTAGGAGTGATTTATAGTGAATATAATATATACATGTGTATATGTGTATACACACATATATATATATATATATATATATATATATTCACTTTAAATCACTCCTAGTTTTCTCTGTATATACATATGTGTGCATGTGTAATGTTTTACTTATTTATTTTTGTAATATTTTTTTCTATGTGTGCTTGTTTTCATCCTTGTTTTGTTTTGCTTTCTGTGTGGTTGTGTCGGTGTGCATATACATTATTTGCAGCTATTTTGCTCTGTAGTGCATTGTGTTGTTCTTACCAAGATTGTGAAGAATTCTTTTTTTACATTACATTTTATAATTTCTTCTGATCTGTGCTGGCTGGAAGAGGAATGAGTGTTGGGATAGTCTGTGCTGTGCTTTTAGGCTCTTGGTCCTGCTCAGGAAGTTAGGTGGATGAAGAATACAGCTTGATTGTTCTATCATGTCATAAAATAACAATAGAAAGGTTGTGTAGAAGGATGAGGTGCAGAAAATTCTGACTTTTGTGAATGACCAAGGGGAAGTTCTATGTGAGCTGCGTTTGTTTAGTGTGTACAAAACCAGGTGCGAGGAAAATAATAATACATCTCACCATTAAAAATAATATCAATTTTATTAAATACTCAACAGTTTGTCCATAGGACGTGACCTTTATACATAATCAGTGAAACACAATTGGAACCATATTCTACAGCTATGGAATTTCATTTAACTTGCTACATTTTTATTTTATTGAACATTGCAGTGCTAACAGAAATTTATAAATACTGACACCACGATCACATTGAGAAATAAAAGTCCACACATCTGTCACAGTATGGAGCATGGGAGATGACCCAAAAGTATGGATTTTAAACACAGCCAGGCTATTTCTTGAAGGAAGGAGGAGGGAGGATTTCTTTGCCAGTTAAGTGGCAAAGGCATATGGATCAGAAGACAAGGGATATATCTTAGGGAGTGCTTGACTTCTGTTGAAATTTCATTTTGTGCAGGGTCTCTGTCCCTTCAATACACACACACAGGCAAAGTCTGGCAAAGGCTTGTTCCTTTGTTGCAGGCAAATGTTTTGTTTACAGGGAAATGTGTGACTCTGAAAACACAGTCTTTAGTCAAAAGTTGGTGTAGAATCATGACATACAGACTCACAGCCATAGGAACACAGAGAATATTTGGCTGGCCAAAAAAAGCTATCACAATGCACGGTGTGTTTGTTTCTGTCAATGTATATAGTCCACTTTTGGCTCTGGAGAGAGATGTTGTGTTGATCAGGTTAAGTCCCACCATGCAGCCCATCCATTGCACTGCTGCCAGCCCAAGGAAGGTGGGGGAGTACAGACAGGGGGGACAGAGGGGGCTTATGACTGGAGGTACCCCCTTTCATTCTTTGGGTTGTTCTTCTGTCTCTTCTCGTTTCTCCTCCTTACCCCCGGCCAGGCTATCAGCTCCACCACTGCCCCCAGACAGGGTTGAAGTTAGGTTACTCTCTTTTTTCCATTTCATTCTCCTGTTCTGAAACCAGATTTTGATTTGACGCTCCGTTAAGCATAGTGCATTGGCGATCTCAATCCTCCTGCGCCTGGTCAGATAGCGATTGAAGTGAAATTCTTTCTCCAGTTCAAGGGTTTGGTAGCGAGAGTAGATCTGGCGACCTCTCCTTCTATCCGTTCCATAGCCCACCCCTAGGGATTCAGACACAAGACAGACTGAAAATAATTAGTGAGAAAAGAAAAAAATATATAATATAACACAACATAACTATCAAAATTTCCCCAAGCCCCCCATTACCCTGCTGCTGCCATGGGCACCCCATTTACCCCAAAAAGGGGCAAATATTTCACACAATACATCGCCCTATCCCCCAAATATTAATTAACTCAAATAATGTATGTATATATATATAAGAATTATGAATGTGTATATATAAATACATATATGAAAAAACTTAGAGTTAATTAATGCATTTATTATAATTAGCCATATTTATTATGCAAAATTAAAATAAAAAGGTTGCTTGTTAAGTTGCTGCTCTTAATTAATTAAAAAAAACTGACCATTTATTTAATTAGAGCACCTTTCACATAATTACGTTGTCTAGCAGAATTATTTTTCCTGACTCATAAAATTACTAAAATATAATAATTATTATAATAATGCCACCACACCTATTCATTTTCCATTTAAAGGTCCCTTTAAAGAGACATCTATTATATATATAAATTAATCGTTATATATATATATTATTTTACCTAACTCTTCACTTCTCCCTTACCCCTTAATAAATTAAAATTGACAAAAATATATATTTAAAAAAATTAAATAAAAATACTCGTTGAACTTTATTACAGATATTTTACACTCTCAACGTCTTTTAATTAGAAAGAACATAACAAGACAGATTTGCTTTGCAACAACTTAACAAATAAAAGGCCTGTAACGGAAACTGTGAAAGGAGCTACTTTATGACTTTTATGAGGGCCATAAAAAAAGGAGCAGAGCCTGTTCTGCTAGGGGAGGCGATCGTAAAAATGGCTGAGTTTATTTAATTTATATCTCCAAGCTGTAAAACTTACCACTATGAGAATTCATGCGTTGCATCCACGGGTAGATCTGAATGCTAGTTTTCTGATCCTGTGCAGTGGCTCTGGTCTGATCACTGTTAAAATCCTGTGCAATTGAAGTCTGTGTATTGTGTCCCATTGAGTTCTGTCTGCAGCTAGTTAGCATATCCTTGTCCTGATAAAATGCATTAGATCCATACTCATAAGGACTTCGACTGGAGCTAAAAACCACATTATCTTGCGGGGTATAGAATGGAGAGGAGTAGATCCTATTTTGAGCAACCGCAGCCCCATAAGTTGAAAAATGCCTAACAGGGTCATAGGCAGTTGAATTAAGGGCCACATTTGGAATGACCTCTTGGCCACTGGCTAAATGGCAGGATAAAGAAGGATTCGTGAAATAGGAATTCATATCTTCTGCTTTACCTGCCTGTAAGATTTCTTTAATATTTATTTCTCGCTCCAGTTTGTAGTCTGAACTAGATTGTTATAGGGACGGCTCCACTCCAGGACAGACAAAATGACAAAGTCAGCTGACCTCCTTGGAGCCAATAGGAAGCGAGATGTCAAGAAAGGAAAAAATTGGTTTTTGCTAGTGTGTTGATTCCCTAGTTGAAAGTATACATTCAAACTAAGTCTTGCAGTGGAAATATTAAATTAGTTTTAGGAATGAGGGAGAAGGGGAATTAATAATGAAAAAAAAAAAACCTAAATAAATATATAAATTATATTTTGGGAAGGATGTCCCAGGAGTACAGCCCTGTTTTATTCAATTTACATTTTATTCTGATAGCATTCTTACATTGTCCCTAGTAATATCTAATGTATGCAAAACAGGCGTTTGGAATTTTGCAGGCACCTACCCCTAGATCCCAAGCATAAGAGCAAGCAAAGGAATGTGTGCTAACAAAAATATAATACCTCTGTACATAACATATACACATCAAGTCACATAGTCACACACATATATGTATCAATATACTTATATTCAAGCTAATGACAGATCTGAGCCTCTATAGGACACCTAAGGTATTAAATTTATAGTAAATTCTTTTTTTTTATATAAACATGCAAAGCCTGAATGTTGTAATCATAATAGCTGAAGCGTGAGAACAATAATTGAGATATTGCTTTATCCAACAATTAATGCAAATGCATCTGTTGTTGTAGTTCAGCCCATTGCCTGTACTTTAATAGTGTCCATAATATTTATGTGCATGTTAATATTTATATGATCTGTTTTACACGGGAAACGCCTATATACTTTTTTTTATTTATTTGTTTTTTAAATGATCAACGTGGCAACTGAAGTGTGTTTTTTGAAAACGTAAACAATAGGAATAATTAGTTATGCAATAGCCACTGCTTTCTTTAATGTTTCATAAATAACTCTGTTTAGTAAATTAATCGTTAAATAATATGATGTGCAAGTGGGGTTTTGTGTAAGGAAGATCACAGGGAAAAAGGGGGGCTCTCTTAAACTTGACAGGGGTCTTGAGGTTGTGATTTAAAATAGGTGATTATTTTATTCGATAATGCTTAGAATCACCTTATTTATGAAATTCAAATAGATATATCCCAAACAAATGGCATTAAACTGAATAAAAAGCTTATGTTATTTACAAGTGAACATCATGCTCTTAAAGTCTGCAATTTCACATAAGACACTAGTGATAGTTTTTATGTTGTTCTTAGAAGATCCATCCCTTTTTTCTGCTCTTTAAAAGTCACAGTTTCTAAAAGTTACACAAAGCCATATTTTATCAAGGCTGGGAAACAACCCGGATGCTGTAGAATTTTACGATCTTTTTCCTGAGAGTAACAAAGCGAAATTCTGGCTGTTAAGCCATAAAAACGAGAACAGACGAAAAGGGGTCGTTTATTGCTCTGCTTTAACACTAACAGTCCCCTGAGTGCAGCCAGCACCAAAAAAAATAAAGTTTAAACCAAAATAAAGAAACCATCTGAGTGTGGGATTACACTGGGACAGTGTGGGACACCCAGGATACAAGTAAGGATACTACAAATACAAAGCAACAATAATAGTTCCATATCTCATTGTAAAGATTCGAATTCTTTGTTAGACACATAGACCTTGGGCGTTAATGTTTCTCTGTCTGATGTGATTGAGGATGTAATTATATTTCTTTCAATCAGGGATAGCGATCTAATTTATGTATTTCAGATCAAACTTGCTATATTCAAGCAACCATGCAACATTTATTTTTAACACAGTAAATCGCATGTTCATACATTGTAGTATATATGTAAACACATGCATGCACACATTCCCAGGTATATAGCTTCGTAGAACTAAGGGTGTTTACATAATGCAAGTTTAGATGGCTATATGTGTGTTTTTGTATATTTATAAATGTATAGATCGGATAGATAGATACATATATAGATATATTACTTGTATGTTTACATACATTCAAACATACACACATTGATGTCATGACAGCTTGGTGTGATGATATACTTTAATATCACACTAAATCCCCTTAAGATGGCTATAAAACGTTTGATATCTTTTGAAGAGTCCTATTTCATTGCCCACTTATCAGCTTATCTCTTATTTATTGTGGAGTATGATTGGGATGTGGTTTAAAAATCCAAAAGGGCCCCCTCAGCCACCCCATCTGCCCCCTGTCAGTGTTATGATATTAAAGGAATGGAACAATGTTACCTATCTGTTGTTCAAACATTTTGAGAAAAAAAAATTGGTTTGTCCCATATGTCAATCTTCCTGGGAATGTTTGGGATTATTTTGGGGCAAGACATCGGTATTTCAAAGATTTCAGTGAGGCAGTTTTGTGCTTCTATTTGTAAGGAAAGTTAAGTGTTTTATTACTAGAATAAGCAAAAGGGCAATCCTTAAAGCAATAGTCGATTTATGGTGGGTAGAAAACCGGCTTCAACTTCCAACTTGCTTTAACAAAAGGAAAGTCATTGTTAGTGAATTTTCAGAGCAGCAATTTAAGGAAGAATTTTTTTTAAAACCCATCAGCCTGGTGAAAGTTGACAGGGCGGTCGTTGTGGTTGGCCAATAAATAGTTTTAAAAATAAGATTTTATTTTCTGAAAACATGTCTTTTTATAACTAAAATAAAGTTACATTCACTACAAGGTAATTGCCTGTGAGGTATTTTCTTTAAATGAAATCCCAGCACAATTATGTAAACTCAGTATATTTTACAAGAACAGATGTTTATGATACAAATAGAATCGTGACTTGTGTCTTTAGTTCTACATACCACAAAACAGCCGCCAGTGTAACAAACCGTACAGTCTCTTATATCCTAGGCCATGAGTTACAGGTAAAACATTTCTAATAAATAAACGGATTCAATAAATTCCATTCACTTTTCACACACCTGCATACATACATACAAATACTGCAGAATGGACGATTGTATTTTTTTAATTCCATAATTAGCGGATTGATTAACTGATAGAATAGAACACCTTAAAATAATTGCCTTTACACACGTGTTTTCTATATCCTTCTCAATTAAGGGAAAGGAAACAGCACCGAGATATATTTTCTTTTATGGGCAAAGCAAAGCTTTGGATTTCAGTGGCTTCTGTCAAAATATATTTCATCACTTAACATCAGTGTTATTAAAATCCCTAAACCCCCTGAGCCCCCACTTCTGCACCAACAAAGAATGATTGTGATTATTTGCCATCTCTATACGTTTAATTTCAACACTATCCTGCTTATTGGAATTGCAATAAACACAACGCCTCTTTGCAATCTAATGAAATGTTTAATTGTGCCCTGCACACTGGCAGGGGATGTCTGACAACCTTTACAGACTCATTGAGTGTCTGGTGTTTATAGGCGCCCCAGATATCTGCTATAATATCAATGCATAACTTCTAAGCCACATAAATGCATATTTGTCTACGATCAGGAGGGGAGATAAATATGTATATGTAATTAATACTGAGCTGAAATGCTGGACATCACATACTTGGGATATAAAGACTAAGTACTTTTCCCCTTCACCTTTTTAATTTATATATGCAATTTATTACCTATCTGGCTATCTGACTCAAATACATTTTATTTATTTATGATCATACTTTGCGCTAAAACCAATGATATGCGTGTTATTCATTTAAGGTTTCAATTCGTTGACTGTAGTCCAGCTTCACTGGGCCACTGATAATTAATCTCATTCAATAATACTTTGATATCAGTCACAGACACTGGGCTTATTTGATTTCCGGGACAAATGGGGTAAGTGAAGATCAATATATATATATATAAAAAAAAAAAAACTCTTTGATGGCCAGATGCCAAAAAATATTGTTTTTTAATTTTTATAACTGTTTGTAAATAGTTAAATGGAGATAGGAGAGAGAAACGCAGTGAAGAATCCCAAACTGGAGGAGGACGGGTTACATCGTATTTCTAAAACTATTTGTGAGATTGTTGGCATTTTTAATACAACGTGTACGATAGAAAGTAGCAGTCAGGTTACAAGAATGTAATAATTATTACCGTAAAGCAAGCTCACATAAACATATACCTGCAAATTAATTGGGCTTGGACTTACAGAAAAGTGAGCAGCAGAATTTTACATTCACAAGTTGATTGTTTACTGACTTGTTATGTAATTTAGGGATACAGATGAGAGCCAGGACAAAATGCAACATAAACACACAATATAAACAACTTTCCCTTCGAGCATTGTAAACAGTAATATTATAATATCAAAATATGCGACACTACACCAATCAGTATGAAGAACAATGCAAAAAGTTTCAACAAGCAGAATGAAAAAAAATAAAATAAAAACATCAAATATTATGTTATTCTGCCTAAATCCATCTTGACAGAATTTCTGTTGAATATTTTTTTTAAACGTTAGCTTGTTGGTACATCTAAGCACATACTGCATTCCATAGCACTTGGGAGTTTATGCTTTTGTTTTTGTCGAAATTTGGAGTCGTAACTAGTGAGATTTTACCTATTCAATACTATACGTTTCTGTCAATTTCTGAATATTTTGCTAAACCTACTTGTTTTATGAATCGAGTAATGTGTAAATGTAGAACCTAAAGTAACCTAAAGTAATATTTCCGGTGTATCTATTTATTTTTAGATTGTGATATAACTATGACGTCATTTGAAAGTAAAGAACTTCATGTCTGTTCTACACAAGTCAGTGGAATCGAATTTTCCCCAAGGATGAAGACAGTGCACTCTAAAAGTATTTAGAAAAAGAAAAGAAAAATGTTCTTCACCTATAACTTCTCATTAGGAAATTCGAACTTGTGGTTTTGTGTAATATTTAATCTTCCTCTTTCTAAATTACCCGTACATTTAATGCATTTGCAGCCCTAATATGTATATATGATTATTGCAAAATTAGCATATTTTAATTATTTTTGTCCTTCATTAAAAATTGTAACAAGCATTGAAAAATCAGAATTTGCAAACAATATGTATATATCGTGATTATTTACTGTGAATAACATCAAGCACACGCATGGCCATTGACACAAAGCGATCCTTCTTTGATTAGTAACACCAAAAAGCCATTGTCAAAACGTTATTAAATATGAAAACATAACCTCACAATGAAAAATTGCACAACCATTAACCTTAAGGGGCTTTATTCAACGTGTTTACAGGCTTGCAAACTGCTGTCTCATATCAGATTACAGGGAAGATTTATTTAATAAAACAAAACAGTGTGTTACCTTAAGTGGATCTCTTAACGTGATGCTTTGAACACAACGAAAATCATATATTAAATGCACCATTTCAAACGCTACATCATTTTTATGTGTCTTGATTTCTAACCTAACTGTGATGTGACAACATTGTATTCTAAAATAAACTACGCTTTGTACTGGGTGTAGTTCCTGTGTGTGCTGCATGTTACTGCTAGGTTTTGGGAGAGGCTGCTACAATGGCTATCTATGTGTGTACTGCATGGCTGTAATTGTTCCATATACACAAACCCCTGGTTCTATATCACTGCCCATCAGTAATAAAAAAAATTCACAGATTCTATGGTAAACCAAACTTCACACATAAAAAATGCATTTAAAAGCATCAAAGAATTACCTTCTCAATTGATTACATTTACTCCCCCCTAAGGTCTAGCACAGGCTCATCTTGACCAGTTCAGACAGTGTGCGATGGTTTGACAGCTTTCGGTCACTTGGTGGCAGTATACAAACAAGTAAACAAAGGAGCCCACGAACAGTAAACCGATTTTATTGCAGGGCGAATTAAATATCACCAGTTTGCACTATAACTACTTCAAGGCAAGAGCCAAAATCAAGTCTTATATGGCAAAAAAAACAAACACTTGTGGCAACAACCTTAAACTGGGTTTAAGCCTTCACAGAAACAACTTATATGACAGAAAAAAAACTAAAATAGGGTGGAAATGGGTACACAGGGCCCTTTCTGTTTTAAATATCTGTTTAATATTTTGCAAGGCCTTCTGACACTGAATGGGTTAATGAAATGGGAGCATTTTTACACATAGAAGCCCAAAATGCAGGGAGACTAGGCCATTCCCATATAATAGCTTAGCAATATGCGTTCATTTTATGTATCCTGACCCCTATATTACCTTTTACAATGTGATACTGGCTGCTATAATAAAACCAGAATGTGTAATCCACGTTTGAACAACAACAACAACAAAAAAATCCATTCGAAGTCATCATTTTCCATATTGTGGTTTTATTGTTATTACTGTATTTATACAATTACAAAGTACAACTGTAAATTTAAAAACCGGATTAAACCGAGGGAATAAGCACCAGAATCTGCTCAATAAATATGCAATGTGAACAGACGCAAAGACGCTTTCATTTTCTTATTAACTCAATGCTCACTTCAATAAATACCTTCTTATTTTAGCGTTTGAACGTTTTACTGCCAGTCCAAATAACAAAATGAACACATACATCGAGAAGGCATCAAATATTTATAGACACAGAGAATATTTAACACCACTTTCTGGTTTTTTTTTTTGTTTTTTTTGTATCTGTAAAAAAATCTAGCACAGGGCTCCTCCTGAAATATATTCGAATAGCATAAAAACTGCTTTATATTAAATGGACACCTGAAACGTTTTTCCTTCTGAATATAGATTTGTAGCAACAAGGAAAAATTCTATTGTACGAATGTCTTTCCAAAAAGCAACGCAAACAACACAGACATCATGCCCATTGCATCAACCACAATAAAACAGTAACAATTACAAAAAATAAATACATTAAATTAACCTGCGCTATGTGTAAATATATGTGTGTATATAGTAAACACATTTTTATAAACACAGATCTGCACACACACTATATATATGTATATAGTGTGTGTGTGTGTGTGTGTGTGTGTGTGTGTGTGTGTATAATATATAAAACTAATTATTTATTTTATATATGAAATAAATAAACAATATATATATATTGTTTTTTGTTCTATACCTGATAAATAGTAACGCACATCAGGAACTAAAAAGTATAAATGATGATAAATGATAAAATAGCGATGGCATTAGCAATACTAACATTGAATAATGAGATACTGATAAAAAAGATAATAGGGCCTATTTACAACAGGGATGCGTTTTGATTTGAAAACCTTTTTTTTGTAAATTTGAGGCCAAACTAGTGATGTTTAAAAAACGATATCCCTAACCTTTAGTTAAAATGGATTTCCCATCTACTCTGTGTTGGCCTAATGTTCTCTAGTCAATATTCTCAGGTACCGGTAACTACAATTCGTTAGTTAATATTCTCAAGGTGTTTATTCACTAAACAGCGAAATATCGTGAACTGAAACTCGAATTGTAAAATTTAGGCAAAAAAAGTGTTTATTCGTAAAAGGTGTCCAGCTAAGGTATGAGAAACAGCGTGCTTATTTTATTCTAAATTTGAAATGTGTTTTTTACTGTTTAGTAAATAGGCCTGAGAGTTTACAGGTTTCCAGTATTCTAACGCAAACAAATTAATATTGTGTTTAGATATTAAGCAGTTTTAGTTTTGTTTTTTCTGCCCAGTATTTAAAATAATTTAAAATTCGAGTTTATAGCAGGTGGATAAAAGCTCCCCCTCTCCCTCCAAGGAATTGGAAATGTCTATCTTATTGCTCTATAAATAGGCTGAATAACTCGATCTATGCTGCCCTTATTAAACTCATTTGCTTTCTAGCAATTTACTCCAAGGGTTTATTTGTGAAAGCAGCCAGAGCTTTGGATGACAGATAGATTATTTATATAAAATTCCTGTGTCTGTATGTTTGCCACAGATGGAAACACAGAGAAATTGATACATTGAAACAAAGCCTAGAGATTCCAAGCCACATAGGCCTCAAATTACTGGAGATTCAAAGCCAGGAGTAACTCAGACACACAGATCACACGGGGAGTATGAAACCCAGAAGCAATTCTAGACTACTTTCTGCTTCAAAACTCAAAAGGACAATCCAAAGCATAGATCTCCTCTCAGCCCGTCACTGAAAGGGTTAACAGGAATGCATTTCCACAAGCATTGCATGGACAATTCTGAGGCTAGACCATATCCGTTTGTGGCTAAGGAATAGAACAATGGCGGAATGGCTAGTATTGACCAACATCTCCTAAAAAGATCTGTTGGTATGTGTCTTAATGGCCAGGACAGCCATAAAACTGGCTGGGATTGCAGGCAGACAAGGTCTGCTGGGGAAGCACCCATTTCACTGTTAATCCAGATGGCCCCCAAATAAGGACAGCAGGCAAACAGAAATACACACAAATCGACCGTGTATATTTACTTGCAGTCTCTAAATAATTGAAAACATGGGATACACTGTTAGGCCAAACAGAGTCTGTCTGCATATTGTTTAAAGAAAAAAGCTCTCACATGGCTTTTCAGCTTCTAAAAGTACATTTCGATTTAATTAAGCTTGGGTGTGGCAATAAACATCAAGCATCAAATAAGTAGGTTAAATAAACACTCAGTAGCATTAGGGTCATATGAACGAGTCACACAGTGCAAACCATGTGTATTTAAATTGTAATTTAATTAGATATTAAGTTGAATATAGGTTTGTTTGTGTGTGTTTGTGTGTGTGTGTTTGTGTGTGTTTGTGTACTCCATTTAATATCTGTAAATTTAGAAACACATATTTTCTCACAAATGCACTAAGATTAACATGAGTGTAGAAAAAGCAATCCACACAGTATTTATTTCCAATTTCAAATATACCTTAATAATATTAGACATAAAACAACGTTACAACAATATCACAAGTCTATATGCATTTATATTGTTGCTACTAAACTGTAAATAAAGATAAAATCAGCTAAAAAAGAAAATAAAACAAATAAAGAATTTCTACAAGAACTGTAAACTGTGATTGCATTATCACTTCCTAGAAAATCAGAACTCACAAATAAAGGAAATACTACAGATGCACACTATGATAAAATAATGAATAAAAAGCATGTTATATTTATGTATGAAGAATAAAACATATCATTTTATCATGGATAGGGAGTCTTAATAGCATTAAATATATATATTTTATTTTCAAATCTTAAAATCCATTTCTAGTACAGCACCTTAGTGGTTAATAACACAACTCTTGTCACTGCTTTAACCTCTTCTCAGAATAAATAAACCTATTTAAAAATACAAACTAGAATCTCATTCCAATTACATAATAACCCAGAAAGACCTAGATTGGCATACAGTTCTGGATATAGTGGCACTGCCCTTACTGCGCATGCTCAGTTCAACCTTACTCTTACAGAATTAAAAAAAAAAAAAAAAAGTTCTCATTTTTCTTCCTATCCTCAACATCATCATACAGTTTTTTTAAGCTTCCGACCTCAATTCCTTTGCGGATCTTCTCTCCCTTTCTCTCTCTCTTTCGTTCTGTCTTGCATCACACCCCTTTTTTGTAAGGCCCTCAGACCTTGTACAGCAGCCTTACAACATTGGGGGGGAATTGACAAGCAAGGAGCGATTTAATCTTAGTATCCTACACTGTCGTTGTGTAAAAAAATAAATAAATAAATTTTAAAAAGCCAATGACATCACATAAAGGGAAAAAAATAACTCCCAGCTTGCACTTTAATAACCTATTTCTGCAGATCTACCATATCACAATATTTTGCAAACAAGATTCTACAATAGAACGTTCAGTCTAATTTCCTTACCACCCATTGCTATGGACCATTAGCTAGATATTTTAACCAATAAGAGAACACTTACCAAGGCAGCCACTCTCTGTCACACTCTCTCTTTTCTCTCTCTTCCTCTCTCCCTCTCTCTTTCTCTCTCTCTCTGTCTGATCCGGTGATGCTGTGTGGAGCTTCAAGAAAACATAACAGGCTAAAAATAAATAAATAAAAAATAGGATAAAGAAAGGTGGGGACAGGAGCGATCCTCTGCTTCTACAGCAGGGAAGTCAAACCAGAGAAGGAAAAAAAAAACAAAAAAAAAAGGTATTTACAACTCGGCGCTCTCTTATTCTTTGCTTTCTCCAAACGAAACGTAGTGCCTTTTGCCCCTAGGGGTGGAATTGGGGGAGGCGACCAAAAGGTGCTGTAAATTCAGTTCCAAAATGCCTCTAAGCGAAGCAAGTGTTCCACCAGTCCCCCAAAAAAAGGAAAAGAAAAGAAAAAGGGAAAAGGAATATTAAGATGATCAAAAATATATTTAAAAATCAGATAGGATGAAAAGCCCTTTCCCTGGCTCTGGGCGGACTGTAATAGCAAGGAGCAGAGAGAAATACTCAGAAGAGAAACCACAATAAAAAGTTCACGTTCATGGAGAGTCCACATGACTTCCTGTGGCCAATCCAACTTGTGATTCAGTCGTAAACTTTTATTGCTCAGCTGTAAATTTTCTGCAAACAACCAAGAATGCAGTGGATTTTGTGGCGTGTGCAAATGTCTTTTCTTGACGCCATATTACCCAATTTTTTTTTATTATTTGATGTTTTTTTCTTACCTTTACACTTATTTCTAATTTTAATAATTAATCCTAGGAGTCTTCGCTTCCTGAGGATCAAATCAGAGCTAGTGTAAGCTTATGGGTTTTAATTAATAAAGTAATTAGGATTTTTTTCAAGGTTTTTTTTTTTTTTTTTTTTTAAGGCCTCTTTTAAAATGTATGCTTATGCTTATACCAGACCAGATTATGGCTTCTCCGTAACCCTCAAGCGGCCATATAATATATAGAGATATATAGTAAATATACATAAAATATATATCATTAAAGTTACAAAAATAAATAAAAATAATGTTATATATACACACACACACACACGTCACACACAAATAAATAAATAGATAAGAAAATGAGTGTGTGCCATGTATCAAGAGATAAAAAAAAATAAACAGCTGAATATAGGCATCTATGGAGTTGCCAATTAACTGAATATGAATTGCAAAAATGGCATCTAAATCCTAAATGTATTATTATTATTCGCTTTAACATAATTCAATGTATTGTTCATTACACTTAGTTTGTTGAACTAATTCTGTGAATGTGTGGTGTGTAACTTGTTTTAATTAATACAGTAAAAAAATTAATATGTCATGCAAGAATGTTACACAAACATAAAATACATAGTATTAGATATATATTATATAGAGATACGCACAACTAGTTCATAGTGTATATAATAAAATATATATATAGTAAAAAAGGCGACAACACTACATTTTAACATATATGTGTTTATGCATATACACTATAAATATATATATAAAAAATAAAAGTAAGGCCACAAAAAAGACGACAACACCATTTAAAAATAAATAAATATATATAATGTTGTCGCTTTTTTGTGGCCTTACCTTTATTTGTAGTTATTACAATACAAATCAGTTTCCTTAATTGTTGTTGTTTTTTGTTTTTGTTTTTCAAATTTAAATATACTTTTGATCATTAGATGAACTTTATTGAGCCATATGTGATTTGGTGAATAGAACCAGCCTTAAAGAGGTCCACAGTGAAGGCCATTTTGCTGTATAGCAATAAATTAAACTCACATTTTGATATGATACATTTTGATATACATTTTCCTAGTTTTTCCCATATACACTCTCAACCTCCTTCTAGATATATTGATTAAAGCGTGAAACTTTGTGGATACTAATGACATTCAAAAGTATCTCGTGAGTACTTTTAATATACGTTTATGACATACTGAATATATAATTAACAAATATTATGCTATTTGAAGTATCAACACACACACAGATACATATGTAATATATATGTTCGTGTGCATGTGTGTACCATATGTACACATAGAGTACTTTACACATACACACACACATGAACACACACATATATATATACACACACATTCATACATGAACACACACACATATTTATATATATATATATATGTATATATATATAAATATGTGTGTGTATGTGTATCTATCTATCTATCTATCTATCTATATATATATATATGAGTGTGTTTTGTTTTTGAAGAAATTTAAAAAATATAATGAGTGAGAAAGACATACATACACAGTTACACACACACACACACACACACACACACACACACACACACATATTAATGTATTTTTGAGTTATCATTAAATTTTTCTCTTTGTTTTCGTATCTTTTCTCAAAAATTGTTGTCTGCTAAATTTATTTTAATGGATTTATCTCCTTTTGGTTTAAGAATTCGTTTAGATTTCGTTTTTCTCTGAGTAAGGACAATTTTAGTTTCACGACTACATTAAAATAAATAAATATATCCATAAAAATAGCGTTCTGTTAAAAATGATATCTTATTATTTCTTATTTTGTGATTTCCTTCGTTTAATTCATTTTTTGTTGTTTATAATTCGCCACAGTTTATTTCACTTTGCTGTTGCTTTTAAATTCTGCTAATAAACTTATTTGGACGCAAGAAACGTTGTTTATGTGTAAGGTATATTTATTACCCAACAACTGAGGAAGATACTACTTAAAATATTGATGCTCTTTGATTTTCTTCTTCAATAAAAGTTGGTATTTTTTTCACCTCACACCTAACAATGGAAGTGGTGTATTACAACCGGATGGAAGGGAATTACCTTTAGTCTTCTTTACGAACCACCAATAAATTTTATAACAAGTAGTTAAAAGTTACGACGAGGGGAATGGTGTTGAAGCAATGACGGCTTTTAGGGTACAAAGCAAGCTTTCTCATCCTGGAGACCAACAAAGACAGACATAGGAACTAAACGCGGAGCCATTTTAGTCCCTGAAACAGCAATGAGGTGTTTATCTATAAAAAGCCATTTTAACTAGTTTTATTGTTTTATTGCTCCCTAAAAACCATTTGTAGTCGATTTTTTTTTCTTAAGTAGGGACTAAAAAAAACTATACTAAAATAATCCTTTGCTACCTAGAGAATAATTCAGCAAAGTGCAAGTTGTAAACACAAACAAACAAAAATACTGAGAGAATGTTAAAAAATAAATAAATAAAATAACGTATTCTGTCATCATAGGGTGTATTCACTGCAGATGAATTGATTACTGAAAACAGTAAGTTGTAGTGGAATCAACTTTAAAATATGGAACTATAGCAGTGCATATAAATAAAATCTTTTCTCCTATGTTTTCCGTAATTAATAATTTTGACCTTAATTTTGCAAGGAGTTTCAAAATGACTCCAATTCGTAGTTTATGCAATGGATCACAATGCAGTTAAGTCTTGACACCCACTTGAAAAATAGATTTATTTATTTTTTATTGCATTTTTTTCAATATTAACTCGCTGTTTAGAATATACCTTACCCTTTACTGAATTGTCTTCCAAATTTGGAAATAAATATATATAAATATAGATTAATAAATAAATCTGATTTTGCACAATAAATAAAAGCCTGTGGTTTATTCCACGATCTTATACACTGTAATAACAACTGTGTGGAACAAACCTACCTTATTATTCAAATCTATTTAATTCTTCCATTATATTATTGCAAATAACACAGAAATCGGAGCCCAAATAAGGCTTGTACTGTGTTATCTAAATGCACCCCTTACTTATCTCTGCCATATTCTCACATTATGGGTGCTGATTTTAGGGATCTTTGTTCACATATTTACCGTTTCAGATTCCTTTTTTATCATTTAGTTTTCATTCTACATTGTTTTCTCTTTAGTGGATAGAGCCTATCCATTCTTTTTAATGGGTACATTATCATGTATCTGTTGCCTTGATTAGAATAATACATTAAATTAAAATGAGCAATATGCTCTGGCTCAGCTTTCCAGTGAATTATGATTTCCCTTTTCTTAAACGAGTCTTGAAAGAAATTTTGATTGGTTAATAAAAAAAATGATTTTTGCAATACTATAGTTTCCTTCAGGCGTGTCAATGGGTCCATTTAAAGGCATCTATAGACAGCAAAGATCATTTTCATAGGCCTCTCTGAGAAGGCATATCGTCCTCAAATTACTTTTTTTTACCCTGTAAGAACATTTCATCCCCATCATATATTGGAGAATGATATAATGATTTAATCACATAAAAACAAGATTTTGTATTAATCTCAAGATTGAAGTTTGGGGCTGTTGACTTCAGCATAAACACCAAGTGGAATCAGCAATAAAGTCATAAGCTTATAAGGAATTAAAAAAAAAAAAATACTGGCAGCTTGCCATTGTATTGTAAAGAATATAGCTTCTTAAAAAGCTTTGTGTGTGTTGTTTTTGTTGTGAATTGAATAACATTCAAAGAGAAGGCTTATTTTTTGGTAAACGCAACGTTTAGTTTGAATATGGAATTTGGGTTAAATCGTTAAAAGAGAATTGTACTAATCTTTAAGAAACAACTGTGTGTGTTTGTCTATTTGTCTGTTTATTTGAAGTGTTGTGTGTGCCTACGTGTCTGTGTGTATGGGTGTAAATATAGTCTAGCTATATGTCTATCCCCTTCTGCAGTTATAGATAAGCTAATATAGTAAATAATTTATTATTATTTACAATTACTTTCATAAAGCGATAGAAACACATATACACACATGTATGGATAGATAACTATGTATGGATGTATTGACGTGTACTTGTGTGTCTTTGTGTTGAAGAGACAGACAGAGAGACAGATAGATAGATAGATAGATAGACAGACAGAGATAGATAGATAGACAGACAGAGAGAGATAGAGATAGATAGATAGATAGATAGATAGATAGATAGATAGACAGACAGAGAGAGATAGAGATAGATAGATAGATAGATAGATAGATGATAGATAGACAGACAGACAGATAGATAGACAGAGATAGAGAGACAGACAGAGAGATAGATAGATAGATAGATAGATAGATAGATAGATAGACAGACAGATAGATAGACAGAGATAGAGAGACAGACAGAGAGATAGATAAATAGATAGATAGATAGATAGATAGATAGATAGACAGAGATAGATAGACAGACAGACAGAAAGAGATAGAGATAGATAGATAGATGATAGATAGATAGATAGATAGATAGACAGACAGACACACAGACAGACAGACAGATAGATAGATAGATAGATAGATAGAGAACTTGCAATGATAATTGCTGATACAATGTTACTTAAGATATAGAGATAGATAGATAGATAGATAGATAGACAGAGATAGATAGACAGACAGACAGAAAGAGATAGATAGATAGATGATAGATAGATAGATAGATAGATAGATAGACAGACAGACAGACAGATAAACAGAGATAGAGAGACAGACAGAGAGATAGATAAATAGATAGATAGATAGATAGATAGACAGACACACAGACAGGCAGACAGATAGATAGATAGATAGATAGATAGATAGATAGAGAACTTGCAATGATAATTGCTGATACAATGTTACTTAAGTAAAGTTCTCAAAATGTCCCACATGCAGTCTTGTTATATGGAATGGACTATGTCTACACAGTTTGAAGTTTGCTGTTCTTTATATCTATAGATGTGTTTTCTTTTTGTCTGGGCGGTGTGTAACACTGTTAATGATGACTTTGTGAGTCTAGCTGGGTGTATGAGGGTCACACCTAAAGTGCCCAGTATAAGATTTGCATGTTCCTATCATTTAATGTAAATAATAGTAAGCAATGGAACATCTGCAAGCACATCCACTGAGCTGGCTTTCATGAAAACTCTTGACATGAAAAAAAAGCCATTTCTTTAAACTTTTCGAGGTGTAAATCGTGTTTGGCCATAAAGTAAATTGAGGAAACAAGTGTTGTTAAAATTCCAGAAATGAGGGATTTCGCGGTTTTGCAGTCCATATGCCCAGGATAGGTCCAGGAAGTGATTCCTATCACACAGTACATTTGCTGCAGCTTTGAGAGCAGTTTTATGGCGTTTTTGCTAGCAGAGCAGTTATTACTTTGCCACATGCCTGGTGTTTTGAGTAGTTGAAACCCAGGACATTGGCACAGAATAGGTTACACACCAACTTTGTGTTCCCCAGTACACTAGTGGCCTATCTCAATTATAAACAAAGGAAACTTCCCAGGCAACAAGAGACAGAAGATGGTACGGTGTATGACGTCACCATTGTTGTATGACTCACCTATTCTTTGAAACCACAATATACAATTATGTGTAGGTATATGGGTTCTGCTATTCTACTATTACCCTCAGTGAACTAAATTGTAAGCATTCAAAATTATTATTCAACCTTAAACAGTTTATTTTTCCAAACTCAAAGTTGTGTAGTTGAGTGTGAGTCCCATTTGTTCCAACAGGTGGGAAGTCTTTGGAGACCTATTTATATGTTGTAACATTCTCTCATAGGTGTCTGTTTACACCAACAAGAACCCTTTTTTCCTCTGAGGAATGTAGGCGATATAGCAGACGCATGAGAGCATATTCTCTAAACGGCGAGTTGGGGTGACCTGTTTGTCGAACGGATTGCAGAATAAAGGCCAAAATAGTAGAGGTTATGAAAACTTTCCAACACAACTGAATTTGAGACTTTTTTTTTTTTTTTTTTTTACCAAATCAGTTCTTTTTGGTCTTAATTTTGCAAATAAGGTTTTCCATTTTCACCAATTTATTGGATAAAGCATAGTAAATAAATGTTGTCTTATTAATCTATGTGCACAAAACATAGCCACATACAAACATGATGTCTGTAGTATACATGAATACAAATCATGCAACATTCTTGTCAGGCAATTCACAGTTACAATAAAATATGAATAATAACCCAGAAAACTATGCACATCAAAGATGTAAACATAAACATAAATGGCATTAACACATTAACATGCACAGAGAATTTGAGTTGACTAATGGATATACAGACAAACTAAGAGGCAGACAGAGAGTGATAGACAGACAGACAGACTGTTAGATGCATTAAGCATGTGTACATGCAGCAGAGTATGGGTCACTGTAATTTATTATTAGATGGGCACATTTAGAAAACAAAACAGAAAAAAAAAAACCCTATTGGCAACTTTAGGCAAAATCATCAAAGTAGAGAGATTTTAAAATATTTTATCAGACTGCAGAAAATGTGACCTTTCAATACTTTGAACCAGAGGCTCTTGAATGGAAGTTCTGCATATTGATATATACATTTATATCTATATAATAATGTATTTGTTTATTTAAGCGTGGTGTTTAGTAGAGATCATTTGTACACGTGGATCTGTAGTTCTCACAAACATAGCGAAACCCTGAAAGTTTATGTATATATATATATATATATATATATATATATATATATATATATATATATATATATATATATATATATGTGTGTGTGTGTGTGTGTGTAAGATTCACCTTTTACACCAATAATCTGAAAGCCACATGTGATTTTTTTTATTATTTTTTTTAGCAAAGCACTACACGAAATGAATAGGCACGTTGATCTGACTAATCCATGTATCCTAATACAGAATATATTAAGTTCTACTTAACTATTTCAAGGCCAATTGTGTTTGTCATCCAGATACCTGCTCAATCAATGCACATTTTACACCAAGGAATTTCATTTTAAAATCATTTATTAATATTAATATTATCATCATTATCATCATCATCATCATTATTTCATGTTTCACGTATACAATACAAATGTTTTCGTGTCCAGAAACATGTTCATGACACAACTGCTACATTCAGTTAGAACACGCTTTACTAGGGCTGGTACAGAAAGAAAACAAAGAACGTTTTTGAATTTATAATTATTATTTTTTTTTTGTATTTTTTTTGTGTTGTTTTTTGTTTTGTTTTTTTTTTGTTTTTTTAATATTTCGAGCTCTTGCAATAACAGATAAGGTCAAGACAAATAGATAACTTTACATTCAGTGCAATTTAGTCCTAAGCTACTTTAGTAAGCACAATAAAAGTAACACAAAAAAAATGTGCGTCCAACTATAGGCAGTTTCAGTTGTTGGGGAAATAAAATAATAATAAGCAGCAACAAACAACGAAAAACGCGTTAGAAATACTTCCCAATAGCATATTCCTTCTATAGGTAGTGATTAGGTACATTGCAAGTTGCAGTATGTATTCTTTGCTACTTAGTAGCTTTGCATCCGGGTCACACTGCTAGTCATTAATAAGTCTGACCTAGTATTGAATGGGATACAGAGACCCCGACATTGCTTGTTATTAGTTTAATGATTATTGCGTGACCCCTTTAGGTAGTATATGAAGATTTGAAGTGCTTACACATCAGAGATAAACTTGTACAAAGCAGGGCACTGGGGACATGAATTCAGGGTTGTTATTTTTTTTCCCAATGTCTTGGCCTGTTAATATGAGATACACATTGAAATATGTTGCTTCTTAAAGATATAGCTGCATCTAGATATCTTGGGGACCCCCCTACACGCACTCCACATGCTGACAAGTTAAACTTGACAGAGCCATAGGCATACAACACCTTTTAGACAGCATTAAATGAAACAATGATATCTACACAATAAGGTTAAAATTATAAACAAGGGTAAGTATTCCCCCTCCCCCATCCCTTCCCACACATATATGAATACATAAATCTAAATAGAACGTAGATTACATAAAAAAAGGCCATCAATTATTGGACCTCATAAAAGGAAGAAGAAGAGAAAAAAAGATGGGAATAAGTAGGGTTTTTTTTCACATAAAAAGGAATTAATACTATTGTGGCTGTTTTAGAGAAATGTCAGTCTGTTGTAAACCTTTGCAGGGTTCTTCACGTGTATATATATTTATTTATAAGTTATTAGCCTATATCTCAGGACTTGTAGGACATAAATAAGAAGTTAATGAAAATGCCCCTTCCCACACAAACCATAACGAAATGCTAAGGGAGTCCTGGCCAAGCAGAAAGGCTGGGTCTTGTGACAGGTAGTTACTGTTGTGTTTCTCCCCTTCTATACTCTATAAAAGCAAATGATCGCCATAAACGTTTTGTTTTTACATCTACCATAAAACGAGAGTTTCCACTCACACTCACACTCACTCACTCACTCACAGCTCAACTCACACACTCCAAATCATTCCTTGCTTTCCTCCTTCTCTTCCTCCTCTTTCTCCTCTTCCTCATTCCCTTCTTCTTCAGTCTTTTCTTCATCTCGAGCCCCGGGTAGTTTGTCTTTGTTGTTTTCCTTTTTCCATTTCATTCTCCTGTTTTGAAACCAGATTTTGACCTGCCTCTCAGTCAGTCCCAGGGCGTGGGAGACCTCAATCCTGCGCTTCCGCGTCAAATATGGATTGAAAAGGAACTCTTTCTCCAACTCTAGTGTTTGGTACCGGCTGTAAGTCTGTCTGCCACTGCGCCTTCCGGGAGCTGCAAAAAAAACAAAAAAAACAACAGTATCAGTGCTTAGAACACTGGAGAAATCAGCTCCCTCGAATGCATATGGCTGCCTTGCTTCCTGCAACATTGTGTCTTGTTAAATACCTGAACAATTTAAAGCTCCACAATGGCAGATCTCTGCTATTAAAAAAAATATTTAGACAAATATATGAATTATTATGATTGTCTGCAGTGGTTACAATAACATCAACAGTGCAAATAATAATAAAGTGGTATTTATATTAGTGTGTGCGTTTACAATAATAGGATTTTTTTGTTTGTTTGTTTTTGCATTTCCTGGTTTTCCAATGTAAAAATTTAATTTAAATCTATTAAAAAAAAAAGTTAAAGAGCCTAAATTAATATTAAAAAATAATAATAAAAGTCTCCTGATTTACTATATAACTACTTTTTGTTGTTGTTGTCATTGTATTTACTATAAGAAGCAATAAAGTATTATTCTTTATAGGTTCATAGTAAAAGCAGTGTAAACAATAGTCTAGAACTTGCAACTATCTGTATGTTGCGTTAACTATAAATCAAGCCTTTCAGGGCGGCAACTTTAAAACAGTTTTATGGCCCATTTTCGTGTCTGAAGGGAAAGTATGTTTTATTTTCACACAGTCTTTTATTCTTTAATTTAAACGTGCCCTCAAAATTGATTTTTAATCCTCCTGGAGAGGACATGCACTTCCCGCCAGTAGATTTGAATTTTGAAGTTGCAGTTTTGCTTTGGAATACATTTTAATTTTAGAAAAGAAGTGGTTAGAATAAATAGGAGATATTTAATTTGGATCGAGTTTTTTTCCAGTCTAGCTGAAGTCAGTCCACCACTGCAAACACTAACTGGCAGGCTAGTTGAGGGAAGAATTTCTCTTTTCTAAATACTGCGATTTCTTTCCTTTTAACTCTTAACCCATTAAGATAAACTATATGGCTTTATGAAAGAGCTCTGTCCTTAAAAGCAGCCCTATAACCTCGTGGGAGCTGTATACAGTTCTCCTCAAGGCAAGCCATAAAAATAACTCAGTACATTGTGAGTTCAAAAGATCTGTACTTAAAACACCTTAAATACTTTCTATTTCACCAACAAACTGCTGACTAGGAATTACTGTGGAACAAAAAAAGGGCAACAACTGTGTCCCATGCACTATTTATTGCTATACGATTGCAACAATCCCTAGATTTAACACTTTAAATAAGGAACAGGCTCTGCTAGCTATTCGGTAACAGGAAAATGACACACACACACAGGAAGCAAAACAAGCTCACAAACAGACACAACGTGAAGAAGAGACAAAAAGAGAGAATGTAAGAAAAGTCCTAACCGTGTGGTCTCATCCAGGGGAACATGAGGCTGGGAGACGAATTTTGACTTAAATGGCCTTGTCCCTCGCTAGTGCTTGAGTTGGTAGACGATTTACAGTCAGGATACTGCACCACGCTCGCCTCTTGCTGGGCACCATAAAGGGACTGTCTCGGTAGAGCCTCGTAGCCATAGAATTTTGAAGCATCCCCATGGCATGTGAGGGCGCAGGGGTTCTGCTGGTATCCAGTGTTGGAGATGGTTGACGATCCATGGTGGAAGAATTCCTGGACGTGGTGGGAAGGGTGCTGGAAGCCAGGGGCTGTGGTGCCCGGACCATACACCAGAGCATGGCTCCTGCTGACACTTTGTGGGAAGCGACAGTCGTAGTAAGTGGGTTCCAAAGACTCACCGCCTTTGTACTTGGAGAAGAGAGGATTCACAAAATAGGAACTCATGGCTCTGGCATGAAAGAAAGCCAGCTGCAACCCCCCTCCTAACTAATAAAAATAGAGATTAAAAAAAAATAGATAGGGAAAACAATACTAAAAAATACAAGCAGTCTTTAATTCTAGGGGAGATCAATGAAAGACTGTCCCCTGGGCTTGCCTTAAAGTCCTGTTTTTGTTTGTGGGCTTTTTTTTTTTAAACAGAGGGGGGGTTATTTGGTGTCTATCACAGACGTTTCATGGTGCAAGAGTGTGTGGCTGGTAAGGTCTCTGGGCTTCGTGAATTCTCGTCTATCAGTCGGTATGTAGAGCTGTATGTATCTCTCTCTCTGCTCCTTTCCCTTTACACCACAGGCAAATTCCTTAAAATATCCTGCTGGTGAAGCTTTCACACGAGATTTGTATCCATCAATCCTCCTCACCAAGACAGGCTGGAGAGAAATGACAAGGATTTGGGGGTATCGGATGAAGGGGACGTGGAAAACCAGCCTTCAGAAAAAAAAAAATATCAAATGAATGAGGGAGGGTTATGAAAGGTGCGCATTAATATGTTTAGGTGCTGCTTTTTTTTCCAAGCCAGCCTCTTCACTGATGTGGGAAAATACATGCGCCGTGAGGTCAAGCTAGGTAACCTCAACAGGTAAAATATTTAGGGGAGCATTGCATTGGGTGACATGTAGATGAACCGACCTGCAAAATGATTATTTTTTGCTTTTTTCCCCTTTTTTAAAAAAATGCTGTATTCTGCCTTAGCAAGAGAGATACAGACAGTTCGCTCAGTGCTTACGTCACTTGACTCTGAAGCTCCCCCAATTACGTGTATAGCGCGCCTCTCTTACCACTTGGCGTCCTATTGGAATTAAGAGAACAGTTTAATGCATCATAGAACGTTCTAAGCTTAACATAATAACAAAATAGAATGTTGGAAGCGAAGGAAAGGGGTGTGCACAAGTCACAAGGACAATGCAGGATTGGGCTTAATGTCTAAACATAAACATGGTGTTTTATTCTTTATTATTTTTTTTTAAAGGTCTTGGGATGTTTGAGTGGGGAAAATGCCATGCACAGTTTATCATGTGAAATGTCAAGAAGAACATTTACATTTGGAAGTGTGGAGGGAGGGGTGTGAGTACTTATTTCAATAAATAAGTTTTCTTTTCCTATGGTGTTCTTGAGGGGAATTGGAGTATTAAACAAAAGAAAGACTGCAATTAAAAAGCTTTAACTGTGATCCTATCGCATCTGGAACCTAAAAAAAACACACCAAAAAAAACCCAACCTAAAATGCAATTACAAAGTGAAGCTATGTTCCAAATTCTCTTTTTCCATCTGGTGGGGCTGAGCTTTTGTAAGCACCCAGTTTTAGGGTAGGATTTTATAGTTCAGACGCTACATGTTACTAACCATTGAAAATCTTCTATTGAAAAGCTTAGCTTTTATGACAGCACTAAAAACATTAGCACATTATATAAAGCACTCTCTTCACTTTCCCTATATAAAAGTCAACTTGCAATATTAATAGTCTTACTGCTGCTACTGCTACTGCTACTACTAGTATTATTATAATTGTAAGAATTTATCAGTGAGACTTTTTAAACAAGGAATTAGGCAATAAAACATATTTCCATAACGTATGTATTTATTAATAGATCGGAGACAATACACAGCTGGGTTTAGAAAAAAAACTCAAACACACACTCCCACACTCACTTTATTTTTTTAATACACACACACACACACACACATACACAGTACGATATGCACATATTTATACTGTATTATTTTATGTTAGCATTCAAATAATACACTTTATATGTTTGCAAGCACACACACACAAACAAACAAACACACACTCACTTTATTTTTTTAATGCACACACACAATACGATATGCACATATTTATACTGTATTATTGTATTTTAGCATTCATATAAATACACTTTATATGTTTGCAAGCACACACACACACATACTACTACATATCGAGATAATTCTTTATATATACATATGTGTGTGTGTGTGTGTGTGTGTGTATGTATATATATATATATATAATATTTATATCAATTATATATTATATGTATGTATACACAAACATATATGTGCTTGCCTTTGGAGTGCTGTTCTACAATATATCTGCTTCCTATCTTCTCAAATGGTTATTTTATGTCCTTTTTGGCATGACGCATTATATAATGTTAGTGTGCAAAATATCCAGACAGATTATATATATATTATATATGTTAAGCACAAATCTAGATCCGTCTATATACAGTGACAGCTTGATCGGTAATGTAATAATTTAATACCATATTCTTCAGATTTGCAGCTCATTTCGAAAACAAAGTGAGGGCACTATATTTAACCTCCACTTCTAGGTAACGTGTTAACAGTAACGTAGTGTGGGTATTTATTTTGTAATAGTTTTTATTGATGTTAAAGAAAGGGTCATTACTGGAAGATATAGTTTATCCTGTAATTCCTTCCGTTTAATTAACAAAGAATAGTTCAGTTATATCGAAAAAATATTACATGAAATTAATTAACGTTTTCAGAAATTATTTGTATATTTTTTAAATGTTTGGGGGGGTTTCTGAATGGGTATTATTGTTAATTATCATTACTAATTTAATGAAAGATAGATAAGTTTTGGTTCGGAAATTGTTACAGGATAGCACATAGGACCCTGCGTGTCTTAGGTATACACTGCCCTAGGCAATTATTAATGAGCTGCAGTATTAGGATTAAGACCTGGGTTTTATAGTCATCAGACTTTCTATGTTAAATTCGGTGTTCATGCAAGTTGGTAAAACTGGAGGTCCGTTCTTTTTTTTCTTTTCTTTTTTCTCTCTCTCTTTTGAAACTGCTATAAACTGGTTTATTATAAATCAGTGATATTATCAGATTACAACATCTTAAGTGTGATACAAGCAAAGAAAATGAAAAGTATGTTTAATGTGCTCAGTGTTATAGACAGATCAATGAGTGTTTAATTACTTATTGTTGCAGTTTGATCGTTCTGCCTTTAGTGTTTTGTTTCAATGATACTTTGTCAGCTAAGACTCTCAGATATTATCACAATGACCCATTGGTAATTTGTGAATAATCTTATACATATTACATGCTAAATCGCCATTCAGGGGTGAAGGATGTTGTGCATATTTGTTTTGATCTGTTTTCCAACAACCTTCTTGGGACCCTAAGGTATAATGGGATGCAATGCAGCTTTAATTGGCCAACTCACTTTAAAATTTGAGCAACAGTGCCACCATGTGTCGAAAGTTCGAAGAACACCAAATTTAAAATTAGCTTTGTAGAAATAAACCATTAGGAATAATATATGTCTACATTTCGGAATCTTGAGAACATGGTGTCTTTTTTTTTTAATGAATGAAGGGTGATCCATGAGTAATGTATATTTCAAATTAGTGGTCCACATATTTAACATGTGTGCACCTTTGTTCAAATTGTAGGCCTGAATGTTCATATGCCAGTCTATAAATCTAACTTAATTAGATTAATTTAATGATATCTATCTATCTATCTATCTATCTATCTATCTATCACCTATCTATATCTATCTATCTATCTATCTATCTATCTATCTATCACCTATCTCTATCTATCTATCTATCATATATCTATCTATCACTCTCTATCTATCTATCTATCTATCTATCTATCTATCTATCTATCACCTATCTATCTATCTATCTATCTACACACACACACACACACATATATATATATGTATATATATATATGTATATATATATATATATATATGTATATATATGTGTGTGGGGGTAAGTGTGTGTGTATATGTGTGTTTGTGCAATTAAGTGTGTGTGTGTGTGTGTGTGTGTCTGTGTGTGTTTGTGCAATTAATGCTTAAAAGGCACACATGGCACCCATACCTTTTGTCCCTTGGTATATATATATATATATATATATATATATATATATATATATATATTTTGCATATATACAAGATAATGTAAAGGGTTTTTCTGTGATGTACATCATAGCACAGATTTATGATCATACTATGAAGCTCCCTTTATCTGTGGACATGTATCATCTAATAATTCATTTGTGTTGATTTGACAAGCAACCTACAAAATGTAGAACATAATAGTTGAATTAAGGTCCAACTTATTTCAATTCGGTTGTTTTGAAGTAAATGTGGAAATTAGTCTGCGTCCTAAATTGCTCTTCTATTAACATTCCCCTGTGTTTAGTAAATAGATACCAAAATGATGTTGTGCCCGCTATGTGCATTGCAGAACATATCAGGTATACAAATTCGGTGTTGATATTTGCTGATTATTCATTTCTTTACATTTTAATTACTTGGCACAAGCTCATTTCCTTATATGAGTAACATAGGTGCATGCTGGTATACATTATAATTATTAAGGGATGTATTCACTGTTTATTTCAAAACATTTGCAGAATTATTCACTAAAGTTGAAACTCTTGGAAATTAAATATGAAATTCAAAATTTAGGCCACAGTAGAAGAATCCTCCAACTCAGCTTTGTTTTCAGTTCTGATATATTGGAGCAAAATTTTAAATTCACTTTATCTTACAGATAATTCACACTTTAGTAAACAATCCTCAAAAGGGTTATTTAATAAGGTGAGAATTCAAAGTGATTTAATTTAAAAGAGAATTTTTAAAGTCAGCTATGATATCAGTTCAACTATCCTGGCCTTAAGTTTGAAATTCCATTTGAACATTCAGTTTATTAAATAAACCTATTAGAAATAAATATTAGTTGGAAAAGGCATTAGATCTGCCAATCTGAATTGTAACCAAGCTATTTTTTGTAGTCAGTTGTCAGTGTGCTACAACTCAATGTATTGTGAATAGATTACATAAATTGTCTTCATATGCAAATACAGAGAGGAAACAAAAGATGCACACTCTAACATGCAACATGTGGCTGTTAAACATGAAATGTAGGCATTAAATGCTAGTTTTTATGTATGATCCTTATTAATTGGAAAGATATAGAATCAATATTTAAATCTACTTACACTAGTAGAAAGACGCATAGATCTATAGATAGATGGTGTGCATTTAATTAATAAAAGCATATAATATTATCTATGTATTATTACTAATAATAATCTATGTATGCATGTTTGTATGTATTTATCTATATGTGTGTGTGTGTGTGTATATCTATCTATCTATCTATCTATCTACTATCTAAATAGATAAAAACAAACTGGCATATAAGTAGATTTCATTTTAAGGCAAAGCCTTAATTGTATTTTCTCTCTCTCTCTCTCCTCCTCCTCTCTCTCTCTCTCTCTCTGTATATATATATATATATATATATATATATCTATATATATATATATATAGATATATAGATAGAGAGAGAGATAGATAGATAGATAGATAGATAGATATGCTTATTCCATCAAGCAGTGCATAATTACATGGTTATAAATGCCAAAACATGTATATATATATATCACTGTGTATATTACAAATACTCTACTATGTGTACATATAATATGTGCCCATATGTCTATGAAAACCCATATAATGTGATATGCATAGCATTTTAATTGATATATTTAGTAATGTAATTTAACTACAGATATTATATATATATATATATATATATATATATATATATATATATATATATGTGTGTGTGTGTGTGTGTGTGTTTATATTATGGGTCTGCTTCTATGTGTGCTTATCTGTGAATCTATCTATCTATCTATCTATCTATCTATCTATCTGTATGTCTGTCTGTCTGTCTATCCTACAAATGTTGTGACATAGTATCTGTATGTTAATGGGGGTCATTGTTTTGGTAGGTGTGGCATATAGCCTATTTTTGCTGGTTACTGAGTTTATCAGATTTAAAGCATGTTCTATCTCTGTCAGGTCTGCTGTTTGTTGCATGTAGACAAAACATTCCAACGGTCCATTTTCAAAGAGCAGAGTATGCACCTTATTTAAACCATAAAACAATTAAAGCCAGACGTCTAGCCAGCACCGAGCTCTCGTTTTGTTCACTTCCATTCAAGACACACAGCAGTGACACAAACTAGGTTGTAAAGATTGCATTTTCTCTGCGGAAGTGTACCTACAGCCTGCCTTAAAACAGCAGCATCCTGTCCCTTTTATGTGCTTTACAAAGGGTTGTAAACTTTATGTTGACCGGAAGAAAAAAAAAAAAAAACAAGCTATACTCACCTAATACAATAAAATAAAATAAAAAAATAAAAATGTTACAAAAAATGCTACATTTACCTTAAGTATAGTAACCAATATAATAAAATAAAATATAGACTTGTGAAAATGTTGATGTACTTGAGCTCTGTGTATTTGTGCCTCACTATCTCTTTCTCTCTCTGTGCCTTTCTCCTTTTGAAAGATAAACTTCCCATCATGGGACATTAAACTGATTGATCAATTGTTCTGAATATGCCATGGTGACAATGACACTTAGGGCCTCATCGTTCAGCTAAGACCTGCGATGTGAAAATCCTGTTGGGGATTTTTTTTTGTGAGTGTGTGTCTTGCAATATGATGCATCAACTTTATTGAATTTATACAGGGGGGACATTTTTTTCCCTTTTATTCTTGTCTGTTAAAAAAAAAAACTACCAAGAAGTTCCTTTTGATCGTTAGATGATATTTCTACTGAAGGAGCCCCTCTAAAGAGAATGAGGGGGAAAAGCTAGTTTATTGTGGAACGCAGACATCCTAAGGTTTTCTAAATCACTAAATCTGTCCTTGACATCACTTGTATTTGAATGATAATAATAAAGGGCTTTCTGTGCTCATGGATGCTCAGATTTAAAACAGAAAGCCATTTATAACGTTCTGTGGAAGAATGCTGAGTTATATTTCTATTTAAATAAAACAAATTTAGTTTTGGCAGTAGGATACAGCCACAATGTATTTTACGTTGCTTTATTTTTGGTTATTTTCTCTATTATTTTTTTATTGAAATTCTTTTTCTAGAGCTCACTTTGCTAAGTAATAAAATCGATGCTTGAAGAATTTTTCTAATACCCTGCAGGGCATTCAGTAAATGTATACACTTGTGCTGGGAAAGTCCTATTCTCCTGTTAGACCTCATGTTAGACCTTGGCATCTTCCAGATGAATATTAAAATGATATATAAAAAAAAAAGAAGTGGCAAGGTTTTTATTTTATGATTTGTTTGTAGTGCTGTTGAAAAGGTGAGAAAGTTTTACTTTTAGGATTTGTAAATGTGTTCACGGATATTAAAGATGAAATCACCTTCGATTTATACAATAAATTACCCCTATTGTAGTATGCAAAGACCACACTGAATCTTAAGAAGCATGTTACTTGTTTCATTCTGACTTCTAGAGCACTGATCTAGACCTGGCCTTACTATTCTATCCATATATATTCCACTTTACCTATAAATACTTTTAGTTAAGCAGGACATGCTTTTGCCCCCCCCCCCCCTCCCTTATTTCACACCCCCCCAATAAAAAAAATAATACAAAAATCCTACAAATCATGCCCACCCCTTTCTCTTTTCACAGAACCTTTCCACCAACAATAGACTTACACAGATATAATTTAAATAAATATGATTAGAAGTCAAGTGTATTTACTAAGATAAAATATCAGTAGATTAAATTCGAGCAGAATTTAAAATGATCTGAAGTCCTGGAGCAGTGTTTGAGGGAGCAACTTAAAATCAGGAATGTCCTCTACTTTTATTGTCCAAACCTGACATTTCTGTCGGCGGTCATAAATAACTGTGTCACTTATTCTAAGTTGGAAATCACATGCAAATTGCACAAACAGGGCCAACTCTAAAAAAGATGATCTTTTTTTTTTTCCAAGACTTGCACTTAGAAGGAGCCGTAGCTAATGTTGGGCTTCTATATGTTTTGTTTATGTACATTTTATACATTTTGCCTAATGCTAGACTTCATTAGTGGCCTGGGACTCTGTATATGAAATCAGACGCATGGAGGAAAAAAAATCTCACAAATTAATCGTAAGTAGCTAGAAAAACCAGAGAGATATTTTATGTGTTATAAATTATATGTACTTATTTATTATTGTTAAGATTTATTATATGTTTTTTAATGTATTCAGCGCGGTGTATGATTAATATTAAATTAGACCGCACTATATGTTCTTTTTCTTTTTTATTATTATTATTATTATGTATTTATATTTAATAAAATTAACCACAACACACGAATGGTAGTAGTGCACCCTTCTATATTTACACATCTTTTTTTTTCTACAAGCAAAACAGAACAATACAGAACGGTTCTTTTGTGACAAGAATAGAGAATACACAAATATGTACATCCAACGGACTTCAAAGACTATAACAAAACATACTGTTATTCCGATTTGATTTATACAAAATATGCACTCACAAACTTTTAAAATAAAAATTAACACTGGTTATGTATAAGTTATAAAATAAAATACTAAAAAAAATATTCAAGTACTTTCTCGTTTTTTTTTTCTTTCTTTAAAGAAAAAAAGAGGGAACAATTTAGCATTTTCTAAAAGCATGTGCTTTCAAAATGCTTCTGTGTTTATCTATTCTAAACACCGATCTCCACATTCATAGTCATATAAAGTTTATTTTTATTACGTATTTTTTTTTTTTTAGGCAAAAAATTGTTTGTTTTTTGTTTTTTCTTCTTCACGTATCTGTGATATTGAGGTTATTAATATTAATAATATCTGTTATTCTCTAGGGCTGTTCTTTGTCGGTTTTTTCTTTGTTCATTTTCTTCATTTTCATCCTTCTGTTTTGAAACCAGATTTTAACTTGGCGTTCGGTGAGATTTAGCACTCTGGCCACTTCATACCGCCGGTCTCTCGTTAGATACATGTTAAATAAAAATTCCTTTTCAAGTTCTAGAGTCTGATATTTTGTATAAGGGCACCTTTTCTTCCTGGTTGACCGTGCATGGATCCAATTTGCCACTGGGTTATCTAAAGCAAGCACAGAGCAGAGAAAATCAACGTTAATATCACATAGAGAATGAAAACAAGCATACATTTCTGATATTACATTGTTTTCCTCATGTAGGTCGATAGAACAGTATATATTACACACCTATCGTTAAGGGTAGGAATTCAATTTATACAAATAGAAATAATCAAATAATTACAAAAACACATTTTTGGGGGAATATTATTATTGCCTGTTATAAAGGCCTGTATTTTTTTTTTATTATAGTCTTAAATTGAGGTGTTGAGGGAATATTAGGGTATATTACTCTAGGTCACCCTAGTGATATGTTTAAAGACAGTCATTAAAAAGTACACTGTGTTTTCACAAGGCCATAAAGGTTTTAGCAAGTGCAATTTCCTTAAATATAGTTTAACCTAGTATGCCCTTAATTTTCCTGCTGTTAAATTCTCTAAAGGTTTTTATTTTTTTTACTTTCATGATACTTATGCCCAGATAACCTGAAGCTTTTTGACCAAACTGAACCTAAAAGACATTTGATTGCCCCTTTATTATTTTATTACACGGCTTCATAGAAACACACAATAGACTTTGATAATTGGTGTGTTTACAAGGGCAAAACCTATAAATGTCCTCTTTTCTATGAGAAAATATACATATAAAAGAAAAAAATACACCGTGTTTTATTTTCAAGCAATGTCATAAATCTATTAGTCTATGTATATATGTAAGTATGTTTTATTAAATGTAATTATACAGCAATGATCTACCCCTGTATAATTTGGGGATTATTGTTTATGAGAATAGTCATAAAATATTAAGCTGCCAGGTGTCTTGACTGCTACATTAACCTTTATATTTGCAGTCTGCTTGTATACCAGTTTAAAAGATGCCCATTAAATTTTAACTCCTGTTTAATATTAAGTGAATTCAAGATGCTACCACAATAAAGAGGGCTGTTTAAGAACTTCCTGTCGCTGTGTGTGAATCTGATCTGCTCTGGTCAATGCAATAAAACCAGGACTGTAACAAACATTTCAATTTAAACGCCCAGTTGTCGCTTCATGTTCCTGTCCTACGTGGACATTCAGCTATCTGCCTTGATGGGGCTGGTCTGTTAGCCTTTCCTATACACACTGCTATCTGATCATATTGCCTTGAATATAATGAAATAAAAAATTAATCTGAATATAGTAAGTAACAAAATGGGTCCTCCCTGCCACAGCTGTAGCAGCACTTTCTGTCTCAGTCCCTGCAGACATTTAGCTGCAATGCTGAGTATATTGTCAGAATGAAAGTGACACTGAGCTGTGGGGTCTGCATGTCACATTAAACATATGAACATGGCTGGTCCCTGCTTTTGCACCCATACTGCCTGGTCTAATACATGCATCCCCTGCCCAGCCATGCAGCCTGCCTGGATTGTTTATTTAATAGATATATATATATATATATACATATATTTAAATAATAATAATTGTCTTTTAGTCCTCCTGCAGGCAGTGTGTTTTAGGGCTGGGCCCTGCTAAGCAGGCAATTTGATTTTATGGAGGTTATTGCATTCCTCCTCCCCCTCTCCGGTTGTAAACAAGAATGACTCTAACTTACTGGGGTCCAATTCCGTCTTGTCCTCTTTGTGTTTGCTAGAAAGGAGAGCCTCTGACTCCGGAGAAGGGATGGTGTGCAGGGGTGGCCTGTCCCTCAGGTCCCCAGGAGATCCATACATATAATCCGGGTAGCTGCGGCCATCGCTGGGGCCACAATCCCTTCTGCTGGGGAAGGTGTCAGGCTTGAGTCCATAGTGCCTGCTGCTGGCTGGGAATCCTGGGAATGAGACCGTCCCTGAGATGGGCTCCAACCAAGTGCGCATATATCTTGCATCTGCCCCCAAGTGAGCCTGGTGGTGGCTGTAGGGGTGGTAGACCACTGAGGATTGGGAGTGCACAGGACCCCAAGAGGTGGTAAAAACTGCAGGTTTAGGGGCAAAACTGCAGGAAGGAAAATCTCCACAGTCCGGGACTAATCCTGTGGGTCTTGCAGTGGCTGGGTGAGCCCCAGTGGTGGGGAACCTAGAAGCCAAGAGGTCTTCACTCTCATGGCTGATCAGAGAGTCCACATAGTAGTTGCTGATGGGACCAGAAGCAGACATTGTTCCCCCTTCTTTTACATTCATAAGATTATTGTATGAACTGTATGTGTACTTTTTATCTGCTCATAGAACAATCAGGGCAGGTAATTATTTTTTCAGCCTTCCAGGCTCGTCATTGGCTCTGGCTCCCCACGTGATAGTATTTACCAAAAAAAAAAAAAAAAAAAATACAGTGTAGATCAATGCGCAAGTCTCCCCCCTTTTTCCTCCTCTCCTTTTAATAGAAGCAAGAGAGAGAGAGGCTCTGGTTTCTATAAAATGGAAGAAATTATGTGAAATTCAAAGGGGCCACCTCATGGACCACATTAAACCCTGAAATATTTCTTGTGTTCTGAAAAGAAAAATGGGGCAGTGGATACATTTGAGCAATGCTGGAGCACGAGAGGACGTGGGAATCAGGAGAGGGACTATTTCTTGACGCAATCTGTCTCTGTCTCGTCTCCCTATTGCTGGCAGTATGCTAGCCTGGATATATTGCACAGCATAGGACATAGCTTTTCATTAGAAATGCATTATGATTTCTCTTTTTCGTTTATAATCACTTAGCCAAAAATGTGCTACTTGCCATGGAGAATAGGGCTTGTATTCTATAAATACACACACACACACACACAAAGAATTCTAGAATCTTAAAAGTAGCCATTTGACTTGTATCATCTTTTAGCTGGTATGATTTTTTTTTTAGAACTGCCTGTCTGTTTATTGCCAGTCTGCATGCACAGTTTACCAGTTGGTATATATATGTTTTTTCTTTACAAATCAGCAGGTAGTGAAAAGCCAGCACGTGAAAGCCACTGGAGTTTAAAAAAAAAAAAAAAAAATCAGGAGAGAAAAAAAATAATTCAGGAGACACATTTACACAGAATAATAGTTTTAAGCTACTCCCATCTTTCAGTGAATGTCTGTGTTCGTCTGCTGAGGGTTGGATGTTTTTATGTTCTTCAATAAAAAATTTACGAGGATCATTCGATTGTTCATAAACTTGTCGTTCATTAAACAAAACTGCAGAGTTGGATTTCCACTGTAAAAAGCAAAAGTTACTGCAAAGTTTCCCCATTCATGTCTACATAGGGAGAAAAAGGAAAATACAACTATAGAAGGGCTTCTTTCCTTCCCTGAGAATTATTCCCAAAGAAGAACAAAGTGTAATGTCACCGCTGTCTGCATGTGTTGCTGTCAATAAATTCATTGTGTTGAGTATAACAAATTCCTTCACATTTACCAAAGCTGGGAAACCCTGATACAAATATATTTAAGGCAAATAACATGAGTGTAAATGCCTACCAGACTCAGTACAAATCTATGGATATAAAATAATAAACAAGTTGCTTTATAACACCTTCTATGGGTAACAAAAATAATAACAGATAAAAAAAATAATGGAAGTGTCTTAGGCACATCGTTTTTGTGTGTAGACTGGGGGCTGAAGACTCTGTATATAATGGCGTTTTCAGTAAAATTTCAATAAAAACGACAAATGACATTTACTCTGGTGTGATACGTGTATATAATCCCACCACCATCTCTCCATAGACATGTCTGCTTTTAGATTCTTCATAGAACGTTCAATGTGCATGTATGCATATATAATTCTTAATACAAAGAGCAATTCGAGATTTACATTCCCACAGAGAAAAGCATGCTCACGTTATAGAAATAACAATGAAATAGACTGCAATCACATGAAGAAGAAAAAACAACAAATCTACAGGCACATTTCATACGTTTCATGTAGTTACAGTGATACCAGGAGCCATACATGTTGTACATCAACCTTAATAACACCTTCACAGAGCAAATATTGGGGTATTCTCCAGAAATTTAACTCTTTATTAACAAGACAACAGCCAGCTCACTGCTGCTCCATGCATTATTTGAGGTATGTTCTAGTGGTATCTGCAATGGAACAATAACTAACAAAGCTGCTTACAAAACATCACTCAATCCAGTAAACACTATCTTAGTATCTCTACTTTATTTGAACAATTTGGCTCCAGCATCCATGATAATCTCCCGTTGACAAGTACTCTCACTCAATCCTAATGCTTAATTTGACAAGTTAATTTATTTTATGCAAAATATATTCAGTGTTCTATTTTCACCTATGTTTCCCTTGCTGCAGCAGACAGAGAGCACACCACTCCACACATGTAGACTGGAGAGGTTATCTGGCTAAATATCAAATATTAAAATACCATTGGAAGCATGTTATGTATTTATTTTTACATAGTTGGCACAGGAGGAGAAAAAGCTTACATTCCAGAGCATAAATACATTATAAAACACACATAAATGAGCACAGTATATGCATGTAAACAACAGAACAAACACACAGCACATAAAATGTAGACATCAAAATATACAGATACAAATAGCCAAAAATATTAAAATGCATTTTACATTGAATTAAATATAATAATCAGCCAATTCAACACGCACAATATAACTGATAAATATCACTTACTATTTGGCACAGTCTATCTTGATATCAATAGCAATATATTGACTGATTCCCTTCCAGGTTCAACGTAAGAAAAAACAAAATATGTATTTTTTCTGATATACAGACATGTAATGCGCAAGAAACAGTTATAAATCACTATACACTCTGAATAGCAAAGAATAAAATCAAATGTCACTGCTTTACCTTGTTTGCTGCATCGGGATCTACAGGAGATTCGCCATCGGAAGGAAAAAGCCCATTTCGTTTTGCATACCAAATAATGCATTATTCTCCTAAGGCCTTTAACGAGGATCCAGATAGCAAGTTGTCTTATCCTAGCAGTGTGGTGCCTATTAAATCCGCCATACACACTACAGGACTCATCTAGTGCATGAAAACAATTGCACTGAAAAAAAAAATATATGAAGACTCCTAAAATCCCAGCTGGGGTTTCCTGGTAATTTTGCTGTATATTTGGATCCTTGGATGATGCATGCACACAAGTAGATCCAAATCCTGCTACCATGTTTGAAAAGGGATGCTTGTCCAATGTCTTGCCCTATAAATAACACCCAAGGAGGCTTTTATTTTCCTGTTTCTATACCAGTCTATGATATAGATATTTCTATTGGACTCTGAGAAGGAGAAGGGCAATCCTACCATAAATTTCTAAAAATAAAAAAATAAATTAAAAAAGTGCAAAAAGGCACAGTGAGCAAATCAGAGATGAGGAAACTCATCCTTGATAGTAAAAAAAATTTAAATATATATATATTTATTTTTTTAAATCCCCACGTACACACACACACACACACACAAAGCCAACAACAACTGGCTAAAGACAGTTTTGAAGTCTCAGGCCTTGGAGAAATAAAAAAGCTAACTCACTCAAGAAGGGGCCTTTCATTCTCTTCCAAATGCAGGTTTTATGAGTTTACTCTGGAAGCACTGCAAATTGTAAATGGGGTGGGGAGAGAAAAGAGTCACCTCAATATAATATCCTGCTAATAG